TTAAGCAAAAAATGTAATTGTGCTTAAAGTTGTATAATATTTATTGATATATTTAATGTCCCTTTTATAAGACGACAGATTCATACAGTTCTCATATACGTCAGCAGTGTGGTTTGGAAATTTCTTATGATAAACTGCTATATGGATTATTTTGAAGTAAGTATATGAAGTGTTACTTGTTTTGTATTATATGTGTAAAGATTTGAGTCTTGCCAAACGTTTGATTTATATTAAATTTGTTAATTTTTGTGCTCATATTTTATCATATGTTATTTACTGCCATATAGCTTGTATGAATTTCTTTAATTTCGTTGTATTTTTTGTCAGAGTACTCTAAACTATAAGTAAATTGGTATTTTGAGGTAGTATTAAGCCTTTGCTCTCTGGGGATGACATCAAGCAGTAACTGTTACTGTATTCAGGATTGGACTGTTAAGAACAGGGCACAGTAGTATTGCATTAGCTTGCATTTCCTACATCATTTTATATAAATTATTTTATTTGCAAAAGGCGGAGGTGAATAATTTTAGTTTTGTTAGTATGCAAACAAATTCTTTCTGTGCATGAATATAGTGAACTATCAAATTAAATGACTACTTACTGAGGTAAGCATGAAGCTGCTGCGTTGCTGAACAGAGTTGGCGTAACAAAGAATGACTAAGTACACATGTTTTATTTTCTGAATTTGAGAAAGACTTAAATTTTATTGTAAGGTGTAATGTATTATATTGTAAGGTATGTTACAGCTTTTTTAGATTAATGAGAAAGCATAAATATTATTCAAGAGATATTCCTTCAATTCCTTCATTGGTATTTTAGCTTTGTACATCGTACTCTCAATTACCCGTGCAAGGATTATCCTGTTTGCAGCTAATCTGTGCTCCTTTCAGAGCATTTGAAACCCTGTGAAGTATGTCTGTTGAGTTCATGCTGCCCATTTGTATGTAAGCATGAAAACCTCAAGAAATGCTAGACAGATTTTCGTTTGGATCAGACAATTTTAATGATCACTTACTTGACCCACAAAGCACAATAAATCACTGTAGGTCGCGGTGCAAGGGCCGAGAAGGCCCACCCCTTATACATTCACTTATTCATACTTGACCCACATGCATTTTTATGCATATCTCAAACTGAAGTGAAAAATGTTTCAAAGAAGTGTTGTAGAAAAAATAAAACATGTTTAATATTTACCCATGTCTGATAAGTCATATGGTTTTTTAGTTATTTGAACAAATCAGACACTGTTCTTACATTTCCCAGTTTCTGCTAATCACACTCAGAACATGAATAACCTTGGTCTTTCAATTCATGCATCTTTTGCCCTTCATTATCACAGATAATCAGCAGTTTATCTTTCTTGTTTTCTTATTCTTTGAAACTCAAAATCATTCTTTCTTGTACACTATTGTATACTGTATTAACGGATTTTATAATTGAAAATGTGTTTTTTAATTTAAAATATTCCTGCAACTTCTTAAGTTAAAAGACTATGTTTTCTTCAATCCTGAGTTTCAGCTAGTCACAGAAGTGGAAGTATTATAACTATCATAAATGGCAAAAAAAAAACTCAGTGGCTCCAGTCCACAAGCCAACTAAGGGCCTCTCATAAAAGAATAAAAATATGTATAAACCAAATAACTTAAGTTGTAGTTCCACTGAATACAAGTTAATGTAGTTGGAGAGAAAAATTTACTTATTTAGAATAATTTTATATTGTGTTATTCCCTATGAGTGGTCACACCATATGGAATGTTACCATGTATTATGAATGGGTACAACACTGTTGTTGATAATTACAAAGATGGAGCACCTAGTAACTTACACTGTTTCAGCAAGTGGCCTATGTCAGTTCCATCAGATTGTATGAATGAACTTGGGATTCAGACAGGGTTGAAACTCATAAGCACATCAAGATCCTCTGTCATTAGGTAGCTTAGTTTAGTAATAAAATGGGTGTACATAGTATGTTCAAGGAGTAAATATTGTTTACTCAAATTTCAAGGTTTCACTCATAATTGAAATTGTACAATGCTGTGATATAATGCAATTTAATTAACTGGCAGCTGACATAAAAGTTACATTTTAATAATGTGAAATGTAGCTCCCTAGTTATGAATATTAATGATTTGTGTTCAAGCATCTAAGTAGTAAGTTAAATTGTGACAACTTGTCAATGTTCAGAAATATTTAGACTTGTGAAAGTTAGATTTTGTTTAGTATCCCAATGATGTATATACCTAGGGATGAATTTCTGCTCTTTGTAAAATGTTACACTTTTGTTTTGATGTGGAAATGTGCTTGCTGTTTTTAAGGACAGTATATTCACTGGCAACTTGTGATGCATGATCATATTGTGTGCGTCATCCTCTACTGCAAGTAACTAGTCTTATGAGTGCACGTGTGTACATGTGTTACACCAGAGCTTATTTTCTAGCGCTACTACTTGTTTAAAATACACTTACGTTAGTCACAATCTCCACTACTCCAGAGTATTTGACTTTAAGTATGATAGAACGTTGTTCTTCTTACTAGAAAATTAAAAAACTAATATAAATTGCAGTGAGCTTGACATATGTATAACCAAAATAAATTCTTCAAGAAGCAGCATGGCAGATTTTTCAAATTCAAGTGCTGATTATTGCCCAGTAACAGTGATAATGTTGGTATAATTTTTCCTCTTTATGTTTCTTTCTGGCTATTTTCAGAAATAAGATATAATATATTTAGAATGTTCCGGAGAAGTGTTTTCATATACGTGTTTTATACTACTTTTACAACTACTGTCTTTAGGATGCAGTGCCGGCAATTAAGTAGACAACAGAACTGAGATTTAGTTTTAATTGTATCAGGAAAAGCACATTGGTAGGCACTTAATTTCAAAATTAAAATTGTATTCATTTGAACATTTTAAGTTTCTAGATTTAACTGCTGCTCTGGTATATATCCACATCAAAAACAATGAACTTACATGTATTTTCATTCAACATGAATTTTTTTAATCATAAAAATATGTTATTGTGAGAACAGTTGATCAGAGTATTTTGAAAATTTGGTAGATATGTTACAAAGGCCTGAATAGTATGAACTTTATCTGACCTACTGGATGACCTGATTTGTATTGTTCTATAATAGGTACCCAAATTAAGTTTTCATGCAATATGTGCATTGTAGGTATCACCATTTGCTTTAATTGTTTAAAATACTTGAAGTGTTAATGATCAATGATTGTCAGTTATTTAACATTTTTGTTTTTGTTAATAAACTCCTTTTGTCACTATATAGTGTTTCTTACACTTTGCAGTGTGTCAGCAAGCAGACTCTGCTTCATGCTGTTTCCTTGCTCAGCTTATTCTTCGGCCTTGAAAATGGAGGCAACACATTCCTCTGAAACATCAGTTGACTTTCACTGGACTAGACATTTCCTAGAAAACAGAATTCTTCAGGAAACTTTATGTTGGATTGGAGATTCTCACAGTGGTGATTATGATCTGGGTTGTAATTCCATGTAGTTCAGTATATGCCTAGTGATGTTTCGGAGAAATGTATAACATGTATATGGTCCAAGAGTAAGCCAAATTAGAACCAACAAGAAGCAGGCTTGCATGTAATAGATATAAATACAGTAAGTTTACATACCCTATGTCAGCAGTGTCCCAGTACATTTGTAATGAAGAAAAAATCTGGGAAAGAAATTGGCTTTGGCTGGAACCAATGCATGTAACAGCAAAGTTGAATTTTTCCTTGGTTGCCTTTTCAAGAGAATCATATTTTATATCTGCAAACTCCCCTCCCCCTGGCACTGTCTGGAAGGAACGGCGTTTGACTATTATATATGGACATCAAACTTAATGGAGAACTATATGTACCATGAAATGTTGCTGTTGTGTTTCAGTAATGTATGAGGAAGTAAGTAATTCGTTTACCGACTGAGCTCCCGATAGCTTGTCTCTCGCTTGTAGATGGTAGCACGTGTTTGAAAAGAGTCTTTGTTCAGTCTCTCTTTCATAAACTCATTTACAGGCCAGCTGTGTGCTAAAAAGTCTCAAAATGCAATTATATAGAGTTGTTGTCAGTTGCATAATTTGCGACGGTGTAATTTCTTTTGGAACAAAAAAAGGTATGGTTAATACCTGTTTCGTTGCACATGCAGTGGTGGAACCACATGCTTTTCCGTCCTTGTAGGGATTAGGAGGGTTAGAAGGTATTCCGAATCTGTCCTCTCGTTAACTCGGCTTTCTCGTCAAAACTTTTCGCTGCCCTAGATGTTCACAAGGCTCTGACCATTCGTTCATTTTCTTTTTTTTAATCTTTTAAATCAAAATACATTGATTTCGGATACGTCCACCTATATTAATATTTAAATGCATTAATGATTATGTTATGAACTTATTAGAACTGTAGCTCATTCTATACATCTGCTTATCAGTGGCCAATATCACATTTTTTTATTTGTAAATAAAAAGAGTATGCTGCAGCCAGAAGATAAGCTATGTAGGATCTGAGATTCTCACAGCTGTGTTTATGACGAGTTCATGCTGGTTTCTTGTTTGGTTTGTTCTTAGACCCTGAAGATGAAGGATATACCGATGCGTTTTCTTTACCTTAAACGGATTACATGGCTTTATATATCCCAACAGATAAAACTATTTATGTGGGGATATTTTTAAAAATCTGAAGAATCCTTTTTAGGAAAATCGCCTTAACTTTACGCGATCTATTTAAATTAATATACGTCCGATGCTGCCATATTATCGTAGTCATGCAATTGATTATATATTTAACATGAACAGTGCTATTATTTCCTGGCTGCAGTCCGTTAGGAATCTTATTAATCCATCACGCGACGATTCCATACCGTGCCATATGTTGCCACCGTTAGTGTCGATAAAGTTAAGATACTTGTTGATGTCTATGTGGCCCATGGTCCCAATTTCATTATAGCTGTGGTAATATCTGTGGCCACTAATCAGTAATCTGTGATTTAACATACAGTTTACGAGTTTGTAACATCCGTAACAGGCGTGATCCGGTTTGGTTCGAATTAGTGGGCAAAGATCAGAAATGTTGTGAAGGACAGTTTAACTGTACATTTCTGATTTTGACCCATGACGCACATAGCACGCGTCATTTAGTTTATTACGCAGAGCAACATTTACTTGCAGCCAATCGCTGTTCTTACTGTTAAGTTGCCTACCTTCGTTGTCATGTACGGATTATTGAGTAGTTCAAAAAATTGTAGGAAGTTCATTGTGACAGCATTTAAGTCTGTTAATCTGTTTCATCATACAGCTCCTGATATTAATGAATATGAGGTACTGGGTCAAGAATCTCGTTGTTATGTTGTAGTACTGCAGAACGACGATTTGTATAATTTTTATGGTTATATTGGTAGTACTTGTTACTTCAAATTCAAATCCAAGGGCGTCGTAATTAGGAACTGTAGATGACGTAGTGACAAAATTTATTTGTTGGTTGTAACCGATAACGTATGCGACGCAATATAATTACAATTTCTTGCAGCATATCTTAATAATGTTTTCACATAACCCTGCATCAGATTATAAGGTTAGATATGGATTGTATGTGGGTTGAAGGAAGTGCAATTGTCTGGCAGTCTTACCTTAGAAGTGTTATTATTTCATGTGAAATACAATTCAAAATACGTATACAGAAAGGAGTGAGGTAGATAAGTGTATGCACTAAAAGACGGTGAAATAAATCATGGACGTATACAGGTTTGAATGAAATATTGTAATACTGTAGCTCAGTAGTCCAAGGACTATCTGCTTATCCATGAGGTCTTGGTTGATTGTTGGAGTTTTGAACAGATGGATAAAATAATCTAGTGTAAATAATGTGGTTTGAAGAACAGCCTAATTAGAGCACAAGACTTCCAGTTCAACAGAATCACAAATGAGTTTCTAATAAAGGTAGATGTTATTGACGCATTTTAATGCATCCAACTTTTACTTGTTAGAAAAATTTAATGACTCATTTTACCTACATATTCCAGCCAGTTTTGATAATTTAAAAAAAACATCCACCGATGTATGACCATGTGTTTGTTCCTAATGTTATGGATCAGTCTGTCTTGTTCATAAAATTGTAATTTTGTTTTCTAGGAAGCTATGAAAGCACTAAATTCATTACAGACCAATAGAGCTCTTTTAGAGGAGCTGAAAAAGGAAGCTAGAACATCCCATGTTACAAACATCAAGAAATTGCAACAAACTGTTACATTTTTAGAAAGGTATGTAGGCCTTAATTGTTAGGCTTTTGAAAAAATGCACCTCATCGGGACTTGAACCTGTGATCTTACAGCTTGTAGCATAGTGCTTCAACCAACTACATTACTGTGTGCCTCCAAATTATTTACATAATTTTATAAAAATATTCTGTATTGATTTGTGAACCTTTTACAAATATGAATCATATCTCGAGGTACCAAGCAAGATGGCTGAAGCACTAAAGATTCTGACTTGTATTTAGAAGATGATGGGCTTGAATCTCAGCCAGGCACCAACTTTCCTGACAGCTTTCATGTTATTTCCCAATCCCTCCTGGCAAATGCTGGAGTAATACCTCATAGTAGACCATGATCACTTATGTCCACAATCTTTTAAATTTATTAGTTACTATTGTTGCATCATCTGATGCTGTATATCAATAGTGGCCAAACTTAATGAACACTGGAACTAAATATCATTTTCAGAAGTTTTGGAGCCACAGACAGACATGGATTGGATGCAATTTTATAGGTGTATGCTTTCCACACAGCAGATTTTATATATTTAATCTATTTGTGAAATGGAAATTAATATTTTTCCACAAACCATCCTCTGCAGCTGATGGCCAAGTGTCCTACATAGGCTGAATTACTAACAGCGTCATTAATTACGCTACCAAAATAAAAAACCCAACAAACTCTAAACTTAAGGTAGGAACTGCTAATACGTCTGATTTGAGTTGCCTTTCCTTTTCATGTGTTCATAATAGTTCTGTGTAATAGTTGATATTTGTAATTTTATTGTTTGACTTTACATATAGGATCTGTATATTCTTTTAGATCTGGGGTAAGCCTAGAGAAGCTGGATGAATTGTCAGTGATTCATGTGTCTGGAACAAAGGGCAAGGGATCAACGTGTGCCTTCTGCGAGTCTATCTTGCGTCACCATGGTTACAAGACAGGCTTTTATTCTTCGCCACATCTTGTTGCAGTCAGAGAGAGGATCCGGATAAATGGACAACCACTAAGCCAGCAAGAATTTTCTAGATACTTCTGGAAAGTTTATAATTCATTAATAGAATTAAGGGTATGGAACATCATCTATTTCATGGCTTTTCAAAATGCAGTAATGCTTGCAAAGTAAAGACTTCACATTGATTCCAGTCAGTGATGTTAATCAAATCTGTGCCTTCCAAATTTTCTTAATGTGATGGAAATAAAATTGTATGCTGCGATATGTATTATCCTTTGTATATGAAAATTAGATGGATTGTTTGGGGCAACATAGTCAGTGTTTAAAAGACAACTGATACTTGAAGTGTTAGGCCAGTATACAGGATAGGTGCTTGGGAGTCACTGGTTATAGAGAAAATGAGATAAAATTTTGGTACGGGGGGACAGAAAGATGTGTAAAGGTAACCTGAAGGTGGATTATAAGGAAGTAGGTTATGAGGTTGGAAGGTAGACGGAACTGACTCAGAGTCATATCAATTGTTAAACTTTGCTGTTAGCATTACTGAATCTATCTGCTATTGAAGGGTCAAGTACTGAGTAACTATTTATTTTCATGTTATTTTTTCTTTCTTATTTTCTGCTTATAGGATATAGAGCTACTGCATGATTTATGTGACAGTTCTATTCTAAAAAGTGCGAATAATGAAGTCTCATAAATTAAACATAGTTTCCCCCATATAATCAAAGATGTCAGAGATTTACAAACGGTATCAGAATATTCTTGCTGTAACTTAAACTGATTGTCTTGTGCAGTACAGTGTGCTACTTTTATTATATTATTAATATTTATATAATTTCAATATGAATAAATTGTATAATATGTAGGAGCTATGCTACCGTCAACACAACAATCATGAATTTGCTGTTTTAACTATACACTAATTTGAGGCAAAGTTTTTTACATTGTGTTGCACCGATAAGGATCCATATTGGTATTTCAATAACTATACATATTCCTGCCTGATGATGGTTGTGTATGACCGAAACATGTTGCAGTAAAATAAAGATCTAAATGTAATACTGAAATATTTGTTGTGTTGACAGTAGCATAGTTCCTACATGTTATATATTGTCCGAGACACACAACAGGATGCAATCAGCGGAAAAGAAAAATGAATAAATTGTGTTAATGATTTTGAAAAATGACTGCGGACATCACTAAAAAATGGGATTGTATAATGTCCTTGAAATGTATATAGAAAACTTGTACAATTGAGCCAGAATTACTTGTCCAGCTTATTCACATACTCTCACACATGTGTTTGCACACATGCACACAGACTGTCTGTCTCTCTGTCTCTGACATTAAGAAACATACAGAGTGTCCAGATGAAAGGTATCCAAAATGAAATAATTACATTTCAAAAAGCATTTATTATACACATTTATGGGTTTCACCATTACAAAGGTAAACTGTCATAGTTTTTTTCTGAGTATATAACTTTCAGTAAATTTCAGTGTGGGCTTCCTTGGTGGCACAATAAATATCCAGATGATATTTGACCTCATTCCATGTTACTTGAAGCATGTTTGGTGTTACCGTAGCCATAGTGTCCCTCATGTGAGCTTTCAGGTATTGAAGGTTGTTGATCATAACCTGGTAGACAGTGTTCTTCACATAGCCCCACAAGAAAAAAATCCAGTGGGGTTAAATCTGGTGACCTAGGAGGCCAGGTGATTGGTCCGCCTCTGCCAATCCATCTCCCAGCCATTTCTCTGTCCAGGTGATTTCTAACATGGCAGAAATGTGGTAGTGCCTCATCTTGTTGGAAGTTAGTTTGAGGTGGTAAGTGGGACAGCTCCAGCATGTCCAAGTATGAACATCCGGTCACAGTCTTTTTCCAGAAAGAAAAACTGTCCAATCAACTTGTGCATTAAGCCAGTGCATACATTCACTTTGAGGCTGCCTCTCTCCAAGTCACTTGTAACATGTGAATTTTGACTGCTCCAAATCTTGCAGTTGTACCTGTTTACAACTCCATTAACATGGAATATTGCCTGGTCCAAGAAGCACACTTGGCAGAGGTCATCAGGTGATGGTTCAATTCTTTCTAGCATGTCCACACCAAAGTTTGTGTGTGCTACTTTGTCACTTGGTTTCAGTGCATGAATCGTTTAAATCTTGTACACTCTTAGGCAGAGCCTTTTGTGTAGCACGTCATGCATTGTTGAATGTGGAATTTGTAATTGAAACTAGCAGCACAAATTAATATGCACGGACTCCACTGGAATGCCTCTCTAACGCAATTTACATTTTCTTCAGAGGTCTCTGTCTTTCCATGACATTTTACATGCAACAGACTACCTTTACTCCTCAGTTTGTTGTCCCAGAACCAAATGCTTTTCCATGTTGGAGGTTGATGTCCATATTGCATTCTAAGATGATGCTGGGAAGGCATAAGAGATGGCAACTCTGCTAGCCGTAACATGCATTGAACCATTTTCAGCAGTATTGACATCGTTACTGAGCTTGCCAGAGGTTACCACCTGGCCCATTTGTGTAAGCCAGGCATGAAAAGGAACTTTCAGCATTTTCCTTTCTGATTACATAAATAAGATACATGTATGACAGTTAGTTTCTGAGATATAAATTTTTTATATTGATACCTTTCATCCAAACATCCTGTCTTAAGAAAACATATTTTAAATACTGTTAAATAATTTTATATGACAGAACTGTAAATTAATAATAAAGGATTAATAAGATGAACATTCACTGATACCGTGGAAGATGGCTTGCTAAATTGTTGAGTGGGTAATGTTATACTTGGGTAACAATTGTATAAGATGATGGTTGAAGACAGTAATGAAGCAGGTGATTGCAATGGTAAAAAGGGGATTGAATTGGGTGAACAAATAAGCAAAGCTGGGTTTTTCATTTGTGGCATTTGAAGTTAGGAACATTTCACTAGAAGTGTTTGATGGATCTGCTGGCCATGACTTCTTTAAAAGATCCATGTCTAGTTTCTTCCTAACCTCTGACTTCTCTTGCAACAGTAGATATATAGAAGAGGTTGTGCAGCTAGGCCGAATTTCCCCCTCGCCCCTTGCATTCCTCTGCATACTCTGTTCTCCCTTCTCCCTGCCCCTCTCAGTCAGCTTGCAAGCAACACGCATTAAAGCAAGTGCTGTTAATTAAATTTGACTCAAATTAGTTTGATGTATTAAAACAAAACACATTTCTGGAACCCGCATATATCGAAAAATACTTTTAGTTTGAAGCTTTTGTCATTGAACTGCACCCTTTGTATACATAAACTGACATTGCTTTTAATACGGGAATTAAAGAGCTTCCTGACAGTGAGTGTTTTGTATGAAAGTCGTTGCAAGTTATTCTTACTCTAATACTCCAAAGTTAACATGACTATTGCATGTTAAATGTTAAGGATAGAGTATGTTTTGTGAGGTTTTACATCAAATAGTGCCATATGTACAAAAGCAGACAATACTGATGTGTTTTCACAGATTGGGCCATAATATTTTATGTTTTCTAAGATACATGTTTATGAAGGTGAGCCATAGATTACTTCTTTGGATCAAACATGTAAATGTTGCTCTAATAATGATGTTATATATCCCATCTACTTCACAACAAATAATAATTGTCCCCTTCATTTAATATTTTATAGGACATAAGATGTTAACTGAAAGTAATTTTAGAGTTTACTTATTTGGGTGAAGCTTTAAATTTTATTTTAATAACGATGTACTCCCTCCCCCAAGTTCATAATTTTCCTGCTCAGGGAACATAGCACATACCTCAAAAGATTAACAGTTTAAGTTATTCAGGTTTATTATGATTATATTACATAAATATTGATACAAATGGCTATTGCTAAATTTGTAAAGAATACAACTGGACAGTCATTTAAAAGCAGAGAATAAATATGTTTAATTATATCAAAAGTACAAATCCTTAGAGAAACATAAATAGGAATGTGAATGCTGAAACTACAGAAATTTTTAGACCTTGAGTTTGTACATATGTGTCTCTGTAGTAAATTATACAGATAATGCTGTTATGCTGTTATTTCAATTTCATGTGAAAGCATCTTCCAACACATGATGATGGTAACACTTGAGACTGGTTTTAAAATGTGATTACACACTGGTGATGTACGTAACTTGTCTTTAATATACGTGGGTGGCCTCATTACCCTGCTATACATTGCAGTGGTGGTGACATACAAGCAACACTGTGTTATTAATGTCATGTCATAGTCATATTGGTTTCTTTAGTATGAAGTCATGAAGCATATTGTCATGCGTTGCTGTATGTCACAACAAATAACTTCACGCCAGTCTTGGATCTAACAAATTGCACACTTATCCACACTTACATAAGTCACAACTTCAGGATCCCAATTACTTCTCCTGCTGTAGTCACTTCCTGTCTTGATTCCATTCACTCAATACAACTCAACAACTCGTAAGTGCTAGCCTTCAACTCATACTGAATACTGCTCATAACCCCTACTCAATACTCGCTCAACACTGACAAATACTCTCGTTATGTAGCTTCCGCATTGACCACACAGAAATCAGCCTATTGCCCAGCAACGGACTCCATAGATAACACACTGCTGCTTTGCAACAGATATCAGGTATTGTTGTCAGGCGTGTTTACCGAGTGTCGTGCAGCAAAGGGATGAGTGGAGGTATGTGACGTCATTCTCACTTCCTGTTGCGCCATCCAAGTGTTCACATAGTTGTTGCCTAGCAACGTGCCGATACAATCCGCAACTCTCCCATTGCGTGCATGCCCCGAGGCCTCTGTGGCTCAACAGTTCCTACATAGAGCTGGTATGCCACAATATACGAGGGGGGACCCAAAAATAACCGGAATTTATTTTTGTTATTTTTTATTTTTGCATTTTTATTGAACTGTATATTAGTCCCCTTCAAAGTATTGTCCATGTGCATTAATGCACTTGTCCCAACGCTTTTGCCACTGCTCAAAACAGTGCTGGAATTCTTGAGGCTGGATACTGTTCAAAGCCTTTAGCGTGTTTTCTTTGACTTCATCCACATCACGGAATCGCTTTCCTTTCAGACTTCTCTTCATCCGTGGAAAAAAAAAAAAGTCCGACGGAGCCAGGTCGGGTGAGTAAGGTGGATGAGGCACAATCACCATGTTGTTGCTTGTCAAAAACTGTCGGACCGTCAAAGCTGTGTGGGCTGGAGCATTGTCGTGGTGAAGCAACCAGTTCCCATTTCTCCACATTTCGGACCGTTTTCATCGCACACTCTCTCGTAATCTTCGTAACACGTCCAGGTAAAAATGTTGGTTCTCTGTTTGTCCTGGAGGAACGAACTCTCTGTGGACAATGCCATTCACATCAAAAAAACAAATCAACATTGTTTTCACATTGGATCGCACTTGACGCGCTTTCTTCGGTCGTGGTGAAGTTGGAGTTTTCCACTGGCTTGATGATTGCTTTGATTCTGGATCGTACCCGTAGCACCAAGACTCATCGCCAGTCACAATTCTTTTAAGAAATTCTGGATCGTTCTGCACTTCACTCTTCAAGTCGCGGCAAACATTCACGCGGTTTTCTCTTTGGTCATCTCCGAGCAAGCGAGGAACAAATTTTGCAGACACCCGTCTCATGTGCAAACCTTCGGTTAAAATTCGCTGGACCGTGCTCCATGAGATGTTCGTTTCCTCAGAAAGTTGGTCAATGGTCTTTCGACGATCTTCATCAATTGCACGTTTGATTTTGGCAATGTTTTCGTCATTTCTTCCTGTCGAAGGACGCCCGGGGCGTGGCATGTCTTCTGTTGACATGTTGCCAGATTTGAAACGGGAAAACCACTCGTAGACCTGTGATTTCCCCAAAGCATCATCATTAAAGGCTTGCCGAAGCATCCCAACAGTCTCGGCTGCAGTTTTCCCTAACAGAAAGCAAAATTTCACGCACACTCTTTGTTCCTTCTGGTCGGCCATCTCACTAATCGCCAAAGGGTTGAAACAGGAACGCACACAACAGAGCACCACAGACAAACCACTTAACTCAGACTGACGCCAGCTCACTAACAGTCACGGGAGACCCCCAGCTAACACCACCTAGCAGCACAACTCGTAACTACAAAGCATGCGCGCGCAACAGGTCGGTTCCGGTTATTTTTGGGTCCCCCCTCGTATAATACACTGTGTAACTTATACAAGATTCCAGAATTCTGCATTAACTGACACTTCCATCTGTGACATTTGTATTCTTGCTACCACATTGTTGCATTGTTATGAGTGATTTCTTGCACTGTAACTTTCATTTGTTCTTAAATTATTTTGAGGGAAAACACAACAAAGTACATTTTGTATTGGATGCTGTTACTAAAGTATATTTCCCAAATTCAATTTTACAGGCAGCTGCAAATGCTTTCAGTGCTGGAGAGAAATGATTTAATGTTGTGTGTGTATAAGTTTTCATTTATTTTGTGCTTTGTGAAAAAAACATTTCACATGTATTTATAACATGCATACACAGATACCCACAGACCAGAATGCCATTAACATCTTCGTGCAGTTTACAATTAAATCCTTAAAACACTGTACAGAAAGACTTTGGCTGTTCATTTTTGTTATTATTGTTGTAGATGAGAATTATAACTTGTCAATTCTTTTGTTTCAGAAAACAGAAAATGACATGCCGCCATACTTCAGATTCTTGACTGTGATGGCTTTTAATGTTTTTTTGTCTGAGAAGGTGGATGTTGCCATTGTAGAAGTTGGAATTGGTGGAGAGTATGATTGCACAAACATCCTTAGGTAAACAGACTTCTATCTGACTTAGTTTTCTTTTTAAACAAAAATTGTTACATTATCATGAACACAGCCCATTTTCAAAATATGTGCAATACCTCATCCTCAGGAAGTCAGAAACATCTGTTTTACACCATCTTGAATACTGATGGCCATTTGACACTGAGGTGTACTCTACAAAAGGTGATGTTTGCTTGTTGGGTTCAGTTCTTTTATACTTCTTTTGGTGATGGTGTTGCATTAGGTACAGTTTTATTGGTTTAAATGGACCAGCAGTATGCCACAGGGTCTGAACATCGAGTCACTGTTATAACGAGATATTGAGCCAGGAAATTTCTGTTATGTTATAATTGAACATTCCAGTGTCTGTGTGATGTCATTTTTTAGTGGTTACGGCCCTTGTTATTGTAGCATGCAAGCAGGTATCACTTTATCCTTTGAGCCCAAATTAAATGGCTACATGACTATGAAGCTCCTGTAATTAGTATGATCTTCTAAATTGTCAAATTCTTGAATATTAGAAAATTGGTGACATCTTCATAAATGTTTAGTGTGAAGAAAACAAAAGTGCATAAATTGCTTAACAGAACAGAAAATATGCTTTTTCCTACTGCATAGTATACATAAAAATTGGTGACTCATTTTGAATGCAGTACAGTTTACCATTAGATTTTGTTAGTATGCAATATTACTTGGTGCATTAATTGTGCCACATTCAGATTACGTGTTTTATCAATATTGTTTATTCATAAATTAGATGTAATATGACCAAACTCCTCCTTGACAGACTAAGAGTCACTGAGATAGTTGAAATGCCTGCCATTTGTGGAACCATAGGTTCATTACCAAGTTCATAAGAACTTGTCACTAAACCTTTTCAGATGAATCCAGTGCACATCCTCGCACCCTATTTCTTGAAAATATGGTTTAATATTATTCCACCTGCATCTCAGTTTTACAAGTTCGGTCTTCCCTCCAGGCTTTCTGACAAACCCTTTTGTACCTGTCATACATACCATTAAGAATTTTATACACTTTTGACTTTATGTTTTTATATAGTAGATGGAGAGAGAAAGTTTTGGACTGAGTGGGTGGCAAGCATTTCCCAAATTTAATATACTCATGAATGTGATTACACGGCATGTCCACAAGCTGGGGATGGATGGTAGTTGCAAATATAATGAATAAGCTGTCAAGGACTGCCAGCAAAAGGTGGCCGCTCAACTTAATGGTTGGTTGGGAATGGGGCTATCAACTATTCACCGTAAGGAGGCCAGCATGTTACAAAATATTACACATTAAATAATTCTGGAGGTGACGTGTAATTGTTAATGAACACTTAATAATCCTGTCCTTAAGTTTTTATGAACAGTTGTATCAGTTAGTGTCATGGGTATGTGTGTCATCATAGTCTGCAGTTAGTTCCTAGCATGGCTGTGCCATAGCTCAAGCAGTTAGTTGCTGGTGGCCCGGGTTTGATCCCAGGTCTGGTCAAGTGGGATTTGTGGTGGACAAAGTGGTGTTAGGGCAGGTTTTCTCCGAGCACTTCGGTTTCTCCTTCCAATCTTCATTCCACCAATTGCTCCACAATCACCCTCACCTATCATCTGGGCCTGGTACAATAGGCCAGAAGTGGACGCAGTACAAGGGACTTAGTCCCACTCCACTAGCAATAAAAAAAAATAGTTCCTAGCAGCCGCTAGCAAAAATAAGTAAATGTTGATATTGAGTAGGTGGAGAATAGTGAGGAAGGTTAAGATTTAAAACAACAGTATGCCTTTTGGTAGAACTCATTAGAATGTAAAATCAAATGTGGTCAATGTCTTCTGTGTGCTTTTAATTTCATAAAGAAAATTCTGAACTGTAGGGCAGTAGGTTTATAAATCACATGGTCAGAATTGTTTAAAAAATGAATAAAGACTTTTGAACAATTATGTCTGTATTAGTTTGCCCATTCAGAAGGAACTGCATTGCAGTTTGTGGAACATTTCTGTTGTTCACTGCTTACACTTAATACCTCTAGGGTCTTCGATTCACACGTTATTTTTATGGCCTTCAGAACATAATTTTTGTTGGGGAAGACTGCATAAAGAAAGCTGTATTCACTAAAACACTGACCATCTTTGGAATGTCATGTAAGTAAAATTGTAGTACAGATATGTCTTGTTAAATGCAAAATCATGATTTTAATGCGCTCAACTAATTTAGACTGATTTCAGGTAGTAGTACCTGCTTTAATGTGGACTGCATGTTGGCTGATTGAGAGAGATGAACAAAAGGTGGAATGCAGTATTGTGTGGGTGGTGGAGGAAAAATGTGAGGTGGAAGGGAAAGTGTGGTCTAGCCATGCACCCTCATTTCTGCAACTGCTCCTGTTCCTCTTGAAGGGATAATAAAATCTTCAGTACTGTATTTTGTTATGGTCAATTTATGCAATTTCCAGTTTCACCCTCTGTGACTTTTTTTTGAAACACAACTCACATAAATTGAAGAGTACCTGTACAGTACTACTCAAACACAACACTGTGTTATCTTAAAACAAAAATTAAAATACATAACACCATAATGTAAACATTTCTTTTTTTTTCCCGTGGTTACTATGAAATACATGAAGTCTATGTATTCACTGTTAAGATTCCACTGCTTTTCTTATAGGGAAAAATTAACTCAGACTCAAACCCATTCATTTAATAGCAGAATTAACAGTTTTCCTGAGGTCTCTCCAAGAGGAACATTTGCTGTATTTATCTTTCTTTTCCTACCATGGACTGTTTGGGGGAAACAGGATGAGACAGACTCTTGAATATTTGGCTGTTACAAGTATATTATGGATTATTTTGAGAATGACTCAGTTCTGAGAGTACAAAATCTATGTTAACATTTATAAACACTATACCTTTTACATATTTGCATTGATTAGCAAATATATAGTTGTATGAAGTGAGAATAATGTTAGGCTTCTGTAGGTATGTTAGAAGCTCAGTGACATTCTCTGCCTTATATAGAACTTGAAGGCTCATTACCATAGTCTACCAGTGGACCCAGTTCAGAGTCAAATGAATCCTGTCCACATTCTTAAACCTTATTTGAGATCCATTTTAATATCCTCTCATCTGTGCCTAATTCTTGTAAGTTGTCTCTTCCCTTCAGGTTTTGTAACAGCATGCCCTTCCCATCTTATGCTGCTTGATTTGATCACCATAACATTTAGTGAAGGCTACAAATTATGAAGATCCTCATTTTGCAGTTATTTTTCCTCATCTTCCTAGTATTTTCTTTTGTTAGGTCTAAGTGTTCTCAGTATCTGTTCTCCAAAACATGTCATAGTCAGAGTATACATTCATGAACTTTCAAAATATTTTGTGGCTTATAGACAGGTTTCAACTGTTGGGATAACATCACTAGGCATTGACCACACAAGTTTGCTTGGAAGCACAATAGAAGATATTGCATGGCAGAAAGCTGGGATTATGAAACCTGGAAGCATTGCTTTTACAGCGGACCAACAACCAGCAGCAGCGTTAGAAGTGCTCAGACAAAGAGCATCTGAAAAGAAAGTAAGGCTAAGCTTATGGGAGATGAAGGAAGTACAGTGTTCAATTGAGGTGGAAATGTGCTGTTTACCATATTTTATAAGAGCTGGTGGAAGTGACCCCCCTTCAAGCATGTCTTGCAGCACAGAAGTCTTGTAACACATTCTGAAATTCATGCCCAATATCTGAAGCCATTACACTTGTTTCTTCATTCTAAAGAGCTTCAGTGGTGCGAGGGTTATTCTTGTGCACTTTTCCCTTCAGGTTCCTACAAAGATAAAAGGCACAGTAACTAGGATTAAAAGATGTAGTTGGGGAAAGTCTGCTGATGATTAGTAGGTTCTGAAACACCTGTTGTAGAGTGCAGTTGTCATCAGTATTGCTGTGCTGTAAATAGCCATATTTTCACTTGGTTGAAAAAGGGATGTAGTGTATTGCTCATCGCACAGATCTGAATTCAGTTTGTTGAAAAATGTAAGGCCATTGATTTTCTGCATACTTACAGCACATAACACCCCTACAAAGTATTAGCATTTGTTCAATGGTCTGAGAATTTTCTTGTTTCATATTTGTATATTTTGTGTATTTCCAGGTGTCTTTATGATTTGTGAGAACTGATCTCTAATCATGCTTAAAAGTCTTGAACCTTTTCTTTCTCTAGGACATTCCTCTTGGATTGTCTCTTTTTGCTGTAAACTGATTTGTGGTGCACCACTTTTTGCCATGCTTCATTGCAGACAACTGTGCGGGAACTAATTCTTGTGGGCATTCACAGTGAATCTCCAAATTAACTCTGTAATTTTTCCATGTTATGAAGGATCTGATTATGAAAGCTCACTGTTGAAAAATATACATCAATGCAGCAGTGGAACTCAGTCCTGAAGACAATATATATGAACAAGCACAGTCCAGTTACAATATGTTTGGTGACTCTGAATGACTCAATGTCATATCAACAAGTTAATGCAGTATTCACAGTGATCCTGCTTTCTTCTGATTTGAGCTCTCTGTATATAGACTGAGAAAAGAACAACTGACTTTTACTCATGGATCACTGTTTTAATAACACAATTGCTATTTGTTATTTCATTAACTAATACAGAAATCAGCATTTTTCATGATCACATTGCATTTATTTATTCTATTTGCCAAAAATATAGCAACATTCATTTCCCTACAATTCATACAAAATATAAAGCGTGGGGTGTGTACACATCATCATTATGCATACCAAATGTTGCTTGTGAGTGTTGACACTTCTGCTTTGTGTTCAGGAGATCTTTGGCACAAGTACTGATCTGGAGACCAACTTTCCTGATTGAGGTTTTCCTCATTTCTTCTGGGCAAATTCTGGTATATTGCCTTAACTTAGGCCATGGCTACTTCCACATGCTTTCAGATTCACTGTTCAGTAATACTGTCATTCAATGCTGTAAAAACTTGGCTGTTGTGGGCATCATAAATCAAACAAAAATTAAATTGTCATTGTTACATGCTGTTTCTCAGATGTTGCTAGAAAATTATTAATGATATATATATTTTTTTTTTATTGGGTGTAATGTGTGTATGTGTTTTAGAGGGTGTGCTATGTGGGACCATGTTTGTATCTGCCCTGTCTACTGTTATTCAGCTGTCCAGACTGAATAGTAATTGTCAGACAGCAAGGCAACAACAGAAAGGATGGATGCAGACTCATTCCAGCATGGCAACACACAGCTTCTCCTCTAAAATGTGAAATATATAGCAAGTGTCATGTAACTTCGAGCAATGCCAAGAGTAACCTTGAATGTGCAGAAGAAAAATTTCAGACTGGCTGGAGGGTGTGAGAAGTGACATGCGGCAGTGGAAAAACAAGTGTTAAGAAACTCCTCCACCACAAGCTATGCGCAGGATTTGAGTATGAATGCGGGGCCTTGTTCAAAGTTATGTGACACTGTCTATACAATGTGTGTTATGTAACAACCTGATTGAAATGTCTGAAGACTTCATGGCTAATAATCCATCTAGTTACAGCACGACATCTCAACCATGGCAATGGCATGTTAGAATTATGACAAATGTGACTTGGTTTATTGACACTTGTGTGAATGATGCACATGTGATCTGACCATAAGAACAAAACATTTAACACACAAGTCTGAAGGTGGAAAAAATCTTCATTCTGCCCTATTTGTTTCTTTCTTCAAGTATAATACGTGTATCATGACTTGACCCAAACAGAATTTAACACTGTATTTTTATTCTTTATGCAGACAGATTTTTTAAAATAACATTAAAAGTGGGTGTGTATAGACATAAGGAGATAAAGGACCTGAAGTTTGTATTGATCTGCATTTCATATATATATATAATATGAGTGAGAGCTGTTTCTTTTGTTTTAATTTCATGAGGATGTATTCATAATAGCAGCATGCCAGTGCTCTGGTATACTGTGAATGATGGTTACAGAAATATGGGATTGAGTTCAACCTCTTAACATTGTTTATAAGTCATATAAAGACTGTTTTATTTTAAAAGCTAGTGTTGTTCCAGAGCACCTTGCTCATTGCCCCACCACTGGAATCATATGATTGGAGTTCTTTCACAACACAACTGGGAACTGTAGCAAAAGTACAGTTGGTCAATGCATCATTGGCAATTCAGCTGGCAAATGCATGGCTCTGGCAACATGGAAGTGGTTTGTACTTTTTAATTACTATTTGAAGGCTTTTCAAGTTAGTGTTAAGAAACCCTCTTGTATTTTGCATATAACATAATGATATTTTTGTTTGAAGCAACTACAGAAGTTTCAGTCCTGCAACAATTTAAACAATTCCAAGTAACATGGCATTAGATTGTATGTTAGTTGTGTAACTTAACCAACATGAGATGCCTTTGCACTGCTGCTTGTACTGCAGGCAGAACTGAGATAGGGGGATAGGTAAAGTTTTCCCTGTGCTTAATTAGTTAAGTACGTATGGGGGAATGAAGGCATAGTTCCACCTTTCTTGACCTCGACACTAGATGGAGGTGAGCTTCACGCCCCTGCTGCTTTACTCCTGGGGAAAGAGCCCCCAGTACCTATTGGATAGGTTGGGTGGGCCCCACTGACAGTCTGGACACTGGGAGAAGAGAAAAATCTTGCACTCCTGGAACTTGAACTTAGGCCGTCCAGCCCATAGCCCGTCACTATACCGACTGAACTGGACTGATAGGAGGATAGAGTACAGTTTAATCTCACAAAATCACTTGATGTCTGATGAGAGTGAAGTTCATATTTCTCTTGACAATATGTTTGTTTTGAATTTGATCCATATTCCTGCTACAACGCTACAATCGGAATGCATCCATTCCTAGACAACAGAAGTGATGCAATATAGTAATTATAAAAATGAGTCTCCATGGTTACAACGAATTGTAGAAGCACTGCGTGACAATGGGAAAACTGAACTGTGGGAAATGGTGCCTGGTATCCGGTCCGAACAACACCTATATAAAGGAGGGAACATACCAGATATTTCAGAGTTGGATAGACCCGTGTGAACGCCAGAGTTGGAAGAGACCCACGTGAAGTTATCTGTTGCGCTGCATAGGCAACACATGACAATATTTTATTCTGTACCCAGAAGTTTAATGTGTTGTGTATTTCTTACAGGGGTTTTTACTGTATTACTAACATGATGTGAATTTATTGTGACAGGCGGACATCCACCTGCTGATGTAGCACTGAGAAGAGAGCAGAGTAGAGTGTCAGAAGAACAGGTACCTGTATCACCAGTATTTCAAGTATCTTTTAATATGGCATCGGGCCTGAAATTTTGCACCTGGCCTGGTAGGAACCAGATCATCAGTGAGGGGTTGGTACATTACTTCCTGGATGGTGCTCACACCAGTGAAAGTCTGTGGCTGAGTATTGACTGGTTCATTCAGAATTCACATGCAATTTCTAAAAAGTAAGTTGTATTTTGTGCAGCATACTGTACCTAGGTCTGATGTTCAAAAACATAAAAATCAGAATATACAAAACTAATTTTGCCTGTGGTTCTGTATGGGTGGGAAACTTGGTCTCTTACATTAAGTGAGGAACATAAGACTGGAGGTGTTGAGGAGAATATTTGGACTGAAGAGAGATGAAGTGACAGGAGGTTGCATAAAACTGCATAATGAGGAGCTTCATAACTTGTACTCTTCTTGAAGTATAATTACAATTATGAAGTCAAGCAGGACGAGGTGGGCAGGGCATGTAGCACAAATGGGGAGAAGAGGAATGCCAGAAGGAAAGAGACCACTGGGAAGACCAAGGTGTAGGTGGGTGAGCAATATTAACATAGATTTAAGAGAGATAGGATGGGATGGTATGGATTGGATTGATCTGGTTCAGGATAAGGACCAGTGGAGGGTTCTTGTGAACACGGTAATGAACCTTCAGGTTCATGCTGTGAAATTCTTGAGTAGCTGCAGAATTGATGGCTCCTCCAGAAGGGCTCAGCTCCATGAGTAAGTAACTAATACTGTACTTAGGCGACTATCTTTTGTGAATATGGCTACTTATACCAAAGTAACCAAATGTGAATAACAGGGGAATTCAGCCAGAACACTTGCAACATACACTTCCATTTTCAATGATCCATGGACAGCTTAGTTTTAATAGCATGTTTCATCATAGTACAGAGTACTGTCCATTGCATTTTATGTTATGTCACTGCCTAAAATTGGGTCATGGTGTTAACAGATATGCAATGAAATATTGTCAGTATCTTTTTGGGGAAGTTAACAGTTGCTGAGCTAGTCAGATTCCCATTGCAGCCTTGCCTGCCGATTACAACCATTCCGCCTTTCTTCAGAATTAAATTTTGTATAATTAACATGTCAGGTCAGATATTGCAATTAATCTCCATTATGGGTTCCTGTAGGCAAAACTGATAGCATTTTAATATCTTTGTGCCTACTCTGTTTACTTTTCTGTACTTGATACCACAGTCTTATTTTCTGTCTCAGTACAGTTGGTTATACTTAGTCTAACTTCCCATTCCCCTGTTTCAGCTTTGTGCTTCTTCAAAATCTGTTACTTCCAGACTGAAGTCTTACATACCATGGCCTCTCATATCTTGCATTTCTTTGTTTGTTTTTCTCTTCTCTGCTAGTTGCATTTACTACCTCCGTTCTCATCATGTCTTTTATCCTCCCTATTTTGCAACTAAAACTACTCACCCACTCCTTTAAACTATTATTTTACGAGCAAGAATCAGTAAATAGGTCACAGGTGGAGGTAAAACAGCTCTAATTGATGTAATAGGTTTTCTGTGTGTATCACTAGGTAGCACAGTCCAGCTTCATGACAGTCTAGGTAGCTTAAGTTAAGATATAACGGGAGACTGCTGTAATATAATAAGATGCATATAAGAATGTGCTACAGAGGGCCAGATGGATATTGCCTAGGCCTTTTTTGTATTTGCATTTATTTTTCACAGTAAAAAAAAATAGGTAGAAGATGTGCATGTTCAGAGGCTTGTTTTAATAGTCAAAACGGCAACTGTGCTTGAGGATGTGCTACCGAAGAGCAGCATTCTGTTGTACGTTTTATGTGGGCAAAAAGACTCATGTAAAAGATATTCATAAAGAAATGTTTCCTGTTAATGGTGGGATATGCTTATCATGTACAGTGGTTCACAGCTGGGTCAAGGAATCTTTCGAAAGTTGCAGATGATGCCCGATCAGGTTGCCCTGTTTTAGATTGCAACAGAAGCAACTGTGCAGCAGGTGGAAGAGTTGATTCAAGCTGACAGGATAACAATAGACCTTGTAGCAACTGCACGAGGGTGTTCCCATGGTTTAGCATGCAGCAAGATGCATGATCGATTGAAGTTTTGGAAAGTGCACGCAGGAGGTGCACAGAGAACTGAATGACTGAGAAGTAATGAACCAAATGGGTATGTTTTTTTCAACATCTCTTGATTGATTGATCAGTAACTGTCAGATGACAGGTCCACAGTCTCTTCCAAAACAGTTCCTCCACTTAATGTGATCTTCTGTTTTTGGAAAGAGACTGTCCAGGAAAAGTGATAATGTGGTAGTTTTTCCATTTGCTTTCCACATCGCAGTACAGCAGCCGTTCAAACCACTCTGGTCACGCCTGTTGCTATACGAACTTGAACCATCTCGAGCATCATTTGTTCTGTGCTTCAAGTCGCTGCTGATGACGCTGCTTCCGGCATCAGTTTTTGGTTTTTGGTGTCTCTCTTCGTCTGATGCCTACCCTTTGACCTGTCCAGCAAGGGAGGCCCTGCCAGTAGCTACGCTACCGCTGGTATAGCTCTCAGGGTCCTTGGCATACTCAAACCCCCTCACCACGAGACACCAACGAGGGGGAACATCTCTTATGGTATGCATATAAAGAAGAAATGCTTAACAGGATTGTTACTGGGGTCGAATCATGGATGCATTACTACCAACCCAAATCAAAGCTTTCTTCAGTGCATTGGAAACATTCCAGTTCACCTTCAACCAAACCATTCAAGGTTATGACATTGGCTGGGACACAATATTTTGGGATTCTCAGGGAGTACTATTAGCCCATTTTTGGAAGCATGGTGAAAATGTGAATTCTGTGTCATACTATGAAATGAAGTTCTGTTGAAGCTTTGGGATGCAATTCGCATAAAACGTCCAGGCCAACTGGCAAGAGGGGCACTGCTTCATCATGACAATGCCAGACCCCATACAGCCTCAACAACCCACGAGAGAATTCAAGAACTACAGTGGGAACTACTTGAATGTTGCCTTACAGCGTGGACTTGGTCCATAGTGACTTCCGCCTATTTGGTCTCCTAAAAACCACTTTGGTGGCAAACATTTTGCTGATGATGAGGTTGAAAGGGAGGTGCGGAAGTGGCTGAGACAACAGCCAAAAGACTTTTATGCTGCAGGTTTCAGTGCACTGGTAAAGTGATGGGACAAGTGTATCAATGTTGATAAATAAATGTTTTCCCCAGGTTTGAATATCACATGTTTTACATTTTATATCAATTTGTGACCTATTTACTGACTCTCCCTCATAGAATATAGTTTTCCCTGTAGGTTTACCATAGTACAAGATGGGTTATCTTTACATTTACATTCATATATTCAGTATTTTTACTAATATCATATACCACATCTGAAATCTGTTCTTAACTATTACTACAAATGATGTGTGCATCCACAGTCTAAATGACGTCCAGAAACCATGGCATACCTTGAATTTTTGTAGCCAGAGACAGTATTTCCATTTGAAGCAGAAAGTCTCTATGGCAAAATTATGGACTCATATTTGGTAGATAGTGCATGAGTCAGTATGAAATTGCTGAAAAAGCATAGAAACTGCTCCAGAAATATAGAACTGGAAAAATTTCATAAGGTATGATGGTAAAGGTAAAAAGATATTTTCATATCTATATGATATACTGGGTATATGAATTCAAGACATGCCATTTTTTCTAAAAAAAAAAATTGAATCCTGTTTGTTTTCACAAATTTTTCTTGATGAATGTAAAGTGACCCCATATTTTTTAATGAAAGCAATTTTAAAAAATTGTTATATCATAGTTTTGTCAATACTTCATAAATGATTTTTGTAATATGATTAGTATAACACCCATTCAACAAGAAGTCTCAAGAAAATGTGGATCTATACATCCACTCCCCCACACATCATGGCATAGTGCTTAATTAGTTAAGCACAGGGACAACTTTACCTCTTTACCTTAGTATAACACCCATTCAACAAGAAGTCACACCAATTTTATAGATTGGTATTATTAACTTCCCCTGCTTTCATCTGTATTTCTTTTCAGTCTATCAAATGATATGTCAAGGCTGACATTTAACGCCATCTCCCATGAATAGCATGCAGAGGTAGTTGCTCATAAACTGTTATCCACTACGAGTATACTACACTTAACATATCCACATGAAAATAGTGTTACTACTTACAGAATAGACATAATACACTGAAACAAAAGAGTGCTTGCTTGTTAATGACCTACTGCATAACTTACGAGGTCTGACAGTAAAGTTCGTGAACTTGCCACCGTGTTTGCCATGGCAGCAGTGGATAGAAACCTCAATATAGTTTAATGACATTGGCATATCAGCATTTCACAGTCATGTTGTTGATCTATGGCAGTCTATCTCTAAGTGGTGTCTATTTTTGTCTATGTGTTTTGGTGTGCCATCATGAGAATGTCAGAACGAACATTAAATTTCCTGTTAAACTTAGCAAGAGTGGAAGCAAAATCAGAGAAATGTTAGTACAAGTTTGTGGGGATAATGCTGTGAAGAAAACCAGCAGTTTACAGGTGGGTGACACGGTTTTCTGAGGAAAGAAAAAGTTGTCACTGACAGAGAGATGACAACCAGCAGTGAGCAGAACTGAAGAAGATATTGCAAAAGTTTGTCAAATTATGAATGAAAATCGGCTGTCAAGGAGCATAGCAGAGCAAGTTAATATCGACAGAGAAACAGTTAGGAAAATCTTAATTGAGGATCTTGACATGAGGAAGGTGTGTGCAAAAATGGTCCCAAAGGACCTGCTCACACAAGTCTGTCTGGGAGGGAGTTTTTAGCCAGTAAACAAATAACTGCGCTAAACACCCACCCTATTCACTGGATGTAACCCCCAGTGACTTTCTTCTGCTTCTGAAGATAAAGGAATATTGAAAGAAGCATTGATGACATCATGAGTAATATGACGGCAGCTCTGAAGGCCATTCGACAAAACCAGTTCCAGAATTGTTTTGAAGGGTGAACTAAACACTGGCATCAGTGCATAGCTTCCCAAGGGAAGTACTTTGAAGGTGACCACAGTGATATCCAAAAATTAGGTTTGTAGCACTTTACCATGATGAGTATGCGAACTTTACTGTGAGACCACGTGTATTCATCTGACATGTTAATGTTCAGCAGTTAATGTAATTTCAGAGCTTTCATTTTGCCATTACTTTACTTTTTTGTACACAGTATATAGAAGGATCTGATCTATTTTGTTAGCATTTTCATGTCATTTGATTTGGTATAGTTAGCCCATTCTCCTGGTTTTTAAGTAGACAGAACAAACATCAGTCCAGTAATGTTTCCAGTGAAATCCAGACAAACATGTTGATCAGCCATAAATTTTCATGTTGCATTACTTTATTATTATTTCGGTTATTTGTGGCAGGTTTTTTTTTTTGTTTTGTTTTCTTTATTTATGTATTATAATTAAGCCAAATATTTGGGGAGGGGGAGTAGAATAAGATTAACTCTTTGGACTAAGGTTACATTGCCACTTTAAAGTTTCCATTCTGACTTGCAACAGCAAATGTTTCAACAACATAAACTTGCCAGGTGTATAGTATTTAAACCTGTGTTAGAATTACTTTTGACTTATTGCACTCATAGTAGTGTATGCATATTAATCATACTACTCTCTCAAACAATTCTTTATGAATATATTCCTTTATTTTATAACTGTTTATTTCAACAGTATAATCACAAAAGAAACCAAATGAATGAAGCCCATGGCCAGTTTCATGTTATGTATTAAGAGTGTTGGTTGGATCACAGAAAGTAATGGACAGTTTCAGTGACTGTAGGCCCAGTTGTTTTATTTAAACAAAGACTGCTAGTAGAATTACTGTGCTCATTGCTTCTAGGAACACTCCTTATCGTGTTCTGATATTCAATTGCACTGGAGACAGAGATCCTAAGGCACTTCTTTTACCACTGTTGGACTGTGACTTTCAGCTGGTCATTTTCTGCCCCAACACAGTTACAACCAGTGTTGATTCCAGCTCAGGTCTGTAAAGAAACATGTAACTAAATTTATTAAACTTAATTAATAACTTCTTTATTGCAATATTTCATGTGCATTGTAATTTTCTTCAATCACAGATCAGGCCAATTACAAGATCAATATGATACAGCAGCTAGAGAACTGCAGGAGGATTCAGGAAGTTTGGTATGAACTCCAAGAAGAAAATGTAAAAAATAAAACCAGATTCTTCAATGTCCTCCATCCAATATACATTCGAAATAATGTTCCTAAAAATCTACTTGATTCCTGTAATTCAGTCAAATCAAAAGCAGAAGTGAAACTCTTTCCATGTGTGTCAGAAACTCTGGCTTACCTCAAAAAGAAAAATGAAGATGAAAGCTGTGAATTTCACATATATATCACAGGCTCTCTCCATCTAATTGGATGTGTACTAAGTGTCTTGGATCCAGACCTAACATTGGCCACTTCTCAGCTGTCAGAAGGCATTGGTGTTTCAGCAACTAACGGTACAAATATGGTGGAAAGTTACAGCAGTTAACAAGAGCTGTGTGCAATGTAGACTTAAGGAAGTAAGTGTATATTGTATAACCAGAGCTGAAGAGTGATTGCCAAGGAACGTAATGATTTTGCTAGATTGTAAAGTATACAAAAGGAGAGGGAATATGGGTGAATCTGATGGATTTGTTACATTACTTGGATACAGTATATTAAATTGTATTTAATATACAGGGAGTTTCACGACTTTAGGTCATAATTGCAGGAGGTGATTTCCTAGGTCTTTGTGATCGAAGAAGTTCATATAAACATGTGTCCGATTTTGGACAGATACGGAGTTATGACCGTGTTAAACTCAGAATAGAAGGTAACGATTACTGACAATAAACGGAACAAAATAATAAACCAGCATAATACATGATACATTTAAAGTTTGAATGTAAAGTTAACTTCGTAAAATTACTTTTAATTTGAATTTATTGGTGCTTAAAGCTGGTTTTCGAAAATGTCGCTGCTGGCCGCAATGCAGGCTGCTGCTCGGTTGTGAACCGCGCCGGACATACCAACCTACCCTGCTCTCAAGTGTCGAGATAACGAGAACTCTCTCTCTGTAGCTGGCTAAAAATAGCGACCTGCCAGCTGACATATGCGGTTCATACGAGGGCGTGTACGGGAATGAAAAAATGGTCATAACTCCGTAACCGTCCAAAATCGGACACATGTTTATATGAAATTTTTTGATCACAAAAACCTAGGAAATCACCTCCTGCAGTTATGCCCTAAAGTCGTGAAACACCCTGTATAGAAAAGGACACACGAACAGACTCCTCTTAGACAATCTTGCATTTATCTTCAGCCATGAACAGCATCTTGCTTTCTCAGTACATTCCAATGTATTTTAAATTTTTTAAAATATTGTTCCATATGTATTTTATCAGAGCCATTCTTGGCATTTGACAGAAATGCAGCAAATTCAATTTCTCTATGTTTTAACAAAGAATGGTTATCAAAGCCCAGAAGGCTAAAGCTGTGGATGCAGTTTGATGATGTTAGCATGAAGAATGCTTAGTTAGGTCCACCCAGTCTTAACCTCAGTACTAATGGGAGTCAGTGTCCAATTTTTATTTTTGCTCCTCTACCCCTAGGGAAAGAGATCTGGTTTAAACGTTTCAATTATTTCTATCCAGTAAGTGTACTTTACCACATGAGAGCTGTTTAGTACTGTTAATACTATTGTCACGTGAGTGATTTTATCAGTAGATCTATTTTCCTGACCATTTTCTGAAACAGACTCACAGCATCAGAGAAAAATATAAGAAAAAATACTCCTCTGTTTGAACTCTATTACAGATTTTGTTTGAGATTATGTATTTGGTGGCCATCAAAATGTTTTATTTCCAGAAGAGTGGCAACACTCAATCAGTCTTCCTATTATGTATAATGAATGAATGAATGAATGTAAAAGGAGTGGCCCTTCAAAGCCCTTGCAGTGCGACCTACAGTGGTCTATTGTGCTTAGTCTTCCTGTTATGTTTAAACACAATCTTTTCCCCATATTCTTTTTCAGAAGAAAGGAACTGAACTATTTACTTAATTGTGTGGGTTAATTTAATAACAGTATTTCAGATATGAAAGTTGTTTATTTCATTTAACATTTAATGTTATATGTGAACTGATGCGGGTATCCTGTTCTCTCCAGTCATTGGAATGGAGGTACAAAGGTGACTATTCAAAATTACATTACGCATTATTTGAAATACAGAATTTATGGCAATAGTGTTCTCTCTAATTGTGAAGCTCAAAATAGTGATCCAGTGTCATTAGCCTTAACTGAAAACTGCAGGAAAATAAGATGTCACATTATACACATCAAAATGTATCAAAAGTTATTCCAATTATATTCAATGCAATTTTCCAGATTATGTCAGCAATACTGTAATTATTCCATAAATATGCTGTAAAGAGTAAGAAGTCTCAGGATGTAGATACATTCAGAATCACATAAAAAAGTTACTTTCATCAGCCATGCTGCTTAATGTACGTAGACTCACAAACACAGAAAGCTGGAAACTACAAACAGGTTTTAAGTGCAAATCAAACTGAAGCATGAATGTTTGTATGCTTATACAGAAAAAGTCTTTCTTTCTTTATTTCTTCAAGGGATAAAGTGGAGATGGAATATACTAAAAATTTACATATTCTAAGAATGAATTACAAAAATGTCTGGAATTAGTTACAGTATCCAACTATTCTGAAGGATCCTGAATATTACTGTCTTGTGAAGTCACTTGAACAAGCGGACTTGTGTTCGTGGAGTTCTTGTACACCGACAAATATATTCTCTTCACTGGTAGTAGAGCTCAAGATTCATTCCATCATGAATTTCATCTGCATTCATTGTTAATGGAAGTAGACATGTAAATATTTGGGAATGACAGTAACAAATTTGGCTTTTCATAGAATACCGTACATATCTGATGCTTAACAAGAGGGGCGTCAGTAAAGAATCGCTGCAAACTATGTAAGTTGACTAGAACACCATTATACCAATGAGATATTTCAGGTTTTACACATAGGTACCATGCTTGCAACTTTCAAAGGACTACACTTTTTAATATGGTTGAAAAGAAGAAAAATGTTTAACTTTTATGTTTTACTTGTTTGTCTGTTTAATTACTACAAGTATATTCTCCGATTGTATAGCACTGATTTGTGTTTTGGAGATGCCCTGGAAAACTGCTAACCTGACTGAGGTTTCTGAGGTTTTCCTCAGTCCCTTCAAGCAAATGCTGATATTACTACTAATTAGATGACCACTTCCTTTCATATCCATGTTTATCCTGCCGCTGCTTTACAGTGTGAGTTGCTGATAGTATAAAAAAATAAACAATTATATAGCACCAAATTATAGTATGATATGCAAATAATGAACTGGAAAGAATATGGGAGTGGTTCCTCTTGGTGTCCCTCATTAGGACAAAATTGGACACACAATGCAATGTAAATATATGGAAAAATTCACATTCTGGTGGGTAGTATTTCACAGCATGCAAAGGAACAAACTGCACTTTAAAAATTGGAAATTTGTTTTTATAACTGCTTATGAGCAAAATAATTTTAATACAGTTCTTACATCCACAGTGTATCTAAAAAGAATTTATTGTTAAAATCAAATTAGTCCCCATGATACTGTATACTCTTGCTACATTTCACTTTTAATTGTTGAAGGCATCCTTGAAACTGTTCCAAGTTATCTCCTTGAGATGGCAACTCACATTTTTGTGGATGTTTTGGGTGGTGTGAAATTACTTTGGAAAGAGAAAATTCAGTCGTAAATTTTGTTAATGGGGTGGGGCAAATCTATTTTTGCAAAAGAAATCTTCAAATAATTAATGTAATAAATACAGATGTATTGTGATGCAACAGAAACTAGTAGTTTTCATGAAAGACTGGTTTCATCCAACATATTCTTTGCATGAGTTGTTCCAATGATTCTAAGTAAAACTGGGCACTTGTGGTTATTCCTTCTGGAACATATTACATGTGTGATTCCTCTTATGCGAGTCACATTACTTTTCAGCAGTACTATGCATGCACACCGTACTGCTGTAGTTCAAAAATACCAAAGGTAAAAAAGGATACAATCCTGAAGTTTAATATGGTCCTTGAAAATAGTATACCACTTCTTCAGGACAATCTTCTCCCACCGTGTTCCTGTTTGTGCAGCAATTAATTTCTTCAAATCTCCAATTGTATCATCTGGGTTACATTTAACACGGACTTTTTTCCCCAGCCGATCATTGCAAGTTACCTCCAGCATTGTTTCTTCTAATCGTCAAGAAATCGCTTAGAAACAAAGAAACACATAATACAAGTAAATATACTTTACGGTCACAACTGTTGGAAAATGACAATGCAATATTTTACTCTGCTGTGTGGCCTGTTTCCTGGTTCAGATATATTCTACAGCCAAATAAATATGCACTGTAATACCACATTTTTTTTTCTCACAAAATTTTTGTGTTTATTTATGTTTTCTTAGATTCGTATTAAAGTACAACTTGAAACATACATATTTAGCGTCATAAAATTGTACACTACCGAACATTCTTGCCCACAAAATTTTAGTGTTTACATTTAGATTTGTATTAAAGTATAACTTGAAATTAATTACTATTTAGTATCATAAACTTTCCTGGTACAGCTTCACAACCTTATTCATTCTATCACAGATCAGCTATACACACATTTAACAAACCTCTACTAGATTTACAGGGTCCTGACCACCCTGACGATGGTGTATAACACGCAGAATTATTGCATTTTAATACTCTGTCTATCGTCCGGTATTCTATAAACTAGAAAACACAACGTTTCGAGAACTGTAACTGTTTCCGTTCTCAGTTGAGGGAGAACGAGCTAACCTCAATTGACGTAGCTCTTTCTAAGAGACCCAACTGAGTCGGTGTCTTCCACTATGGACGGAGACATCCAGTTTCCAAGACGTTGTGTCTTTTAGTTTCTAGAATACGGGACGATGAACAAGTCCAAAAAAACCTCAGTAATTCTGAAACTTCTACCACACTAAGCTTTCTACGTACCTCAAAATTTGACAACAGGAAACAAAAACTTAAACGCATGCTCTTCTACAGTTATACCAACATAATGAAAGACAAAGCTTATTTCACATATCTCAGACATAAGCTAAATGAAGAAACGTCCGAATTATAATGCCAGTGAAATAATAATTATATGTAAATCATGGCTACTAGAAAGAAGGCGCTACAAAGTAAGAAGTAAAACTCTGGAATGAGAACTTTGTTCCATGTTGTACTCACTGACAAATTGTACATCAAAGGAGATTTAATAAATGTAGAACTCCAAATGTTTTATAGCAGTTCTATAGCAGTTCTATAAATATGAAATAATACATGTTTTACAAGTTTAATAGTATTAATTTAAATTACTTTATATTTGTATGATATAGTTGTCTTATAGACTAAGCAGTAGGTCGCGGAAGTTATGCTTTTGTCATTCTCCACATCATTCCACACAATTCCCTAGAAAGTGCTTGTTCAATACAGCTGGTGGTGATATGGCCCAGCAGAATGAATTGTTATCAAAAGCAGAAGAAATAGCAGAGGAGGTAATTAGAAACTTAAGTAGAATAAATATGTGAGCATGTGTAGTGTGTATAACATTGTTGCTAACGGTTTATAGAAAAGAGGAAAAACGTGTAAAGTCATGTCATTCGCCCCAGTTTTAAATGTGACGTGTGCTAAACATGTTAACCATTTCTTTTATTTAGGTACTAAGACGTGGAAAACATATCCTACCAACAGTAGCTAGGTTGTGTCTGATTTCAACATTCCTTGAAGATGGTATCCGAATGTGGGTCCAGTGGACTGAACAACGCGAATATATGGACTTGTCTTGGGGATGCGGCAAGTTTCTGGCCACAGTTTTTGTTTTGGTTAATTTGATTGGACAACTTGGCGGTTGTGTTATGGTTATAGGCAGGTTTCGAGTTACAATTGCTTGCGGAGTATTATTCTTCATTGTTGTTCTTCAGGTGAGTTGTTTATAGCAAGACATGTAGGGAGACTATAATTCAACCAGTGCAGTTGAGAAAGCATCTGTATATTAAGTAAATTCTGGGAAAAATCGTAATGTACAGGTACCTAATAAACACACTGAAAAGGTGGCAGCGTTAAAATGCTTAGGAATGACAGTGTTAAATAGAAATAGTCATTATGAAATTAAGAGTCGATTAAATTTTAGAATCCATGCTATTGTTTCAGAATATTTTGTGTTCCCATGTCTCATATAGGGACCTGGAAAGTAAGTATGTTATATCTACCTATGGTTGTACCTATTGCTTTGTACAAATGTGAAATTTTGGATCTCATTCTAAGGGATGAAACAAGATTGATTCATTTTTATTTAAAATGCAACAGTTCAGTCTTGTCCATTTATCACCATAGCATGGCATGTCCTCAGGTTATGGATAGAGGAAACAGCTTCTAAATATTGATGGTACCTGTAAATATGTTGAATAAGCAGTTATAGAGAGCCAACAAGGACTGGACCTCTGGCTATTGGTTTGGACAAGTGGTTAACAATTCCATACTGTAAACACTAACATGTCATGAGGTGTTACATATTGTCAGCTTCCATGAACATGACAGTGAACTAACTGAGCAACTCTCAGGTTCTCAAGAGCAACTCTGCATGATGGAATTAGATACTAGTTTATTTTGTATCATATTTACTGTAACTAATGTTAACATCCTTCTTTCTTTCAGACCGTCGCATACAGCATTCTGTGGGATGTTCAATTCCTTTTCCGTAATTTGGCTCTTATCGGTGCATTACTCTTGGTCCTTGCAGAAAGTAGAGTTGAGGGGAAGAGTTTATTTGCTGGTGTTCCTTCTTTAGGTGAGTTGAATTTTATATATAATTAAATTATTTATACATAGTTAGCATATTTACTCCAGGGATACTTATGGCATCTTGCAAAAAGAAGGTATGTAGATTTCATCATCGTGGAAATAGATATTTTTGTATTTTAAATATACTGAAGCAAATTATGTCATTGAAAGAAAACTTCATTTCTTATCTTTTTTTAATGCAGAATGTTAGAAGACTGGTTTAGTTTCTACTAGTCAGTAGGAATCAGCCGCTATCGTAAGGTCATCTTCTTTTTAAACAGATTTATATTATTTGCAGGTGAAAATAAGCCCAAAAATATTTTGCAGCTGGCTGGAAGAAGTCTTTTAGCCTTTATGTTCATCACTCTGTTGCGTTTTGAATTATCACCTATGCAGGCAAGTAAACAATTAAGCTATTTTACTTAAAATTATCATGATATGTACAAAAGTTTAAACTGGCATTACTGTTTCATGTGAGTGTGGTTGTTCATGATGTCTTTAACCGTATAGTTAAGTTTCCAGTGTGCTGTATGTACAAAACCTTTTGCAATAAGTACAGTGTTCTTCTTGCATTTGGTATTATAAAACTGATATATCCTTTTTATTATTGGAGCTCCCAAGTACATGGGTTTTTTTTTTGGGGGGGGTTAAATTGTCAGGAATGCTGAACGATTTTATCCTTGAAGGATCACAGAGTGTTTCCTGTAAGAAACATACTAACATGTGACAATATGAATTACTGAGACATCCTAGATTGGGGAACATTTGATGAGTGTACTTTTTATTAAATTTTTAACTTTACTTTCAGATATTTCAAGACGTACTCGGTTCCATATTGATGGTAATGGTGACTATTGGCTTCAAAACCAAGCTCAGTGCATTGATCCTGGTTTGTCTGCTTGGAGCCCTTAATTTCTATCACAACGCCTGGTGGAATATTCCATCATATAAACCTCTCAGGGATTTCCTGAAATATGACTTCTTCCAGGTGAGTGACACTACATACTTCAATGTAACATGATGTTTACTATGCTCTAGTAAGTTCTGATCTCCTTCTCATCCATCTAATTTGCAGTAAGCGTCAGTATGCACAGACACATACACACAGTTCCATGGTTCTGTACTACATGGTGGCTGGTGCATCACTTGCTGCGAGGCACGTATGAATCTTGCCAATTAATCAACAACCTGACAGGTGATAACATTTTGAACGTAGGGAAGTTCTTACCTTGTTCACAGGTCACAGGAGGTGTTGAAAATTCTGTCCCTGTACATGTAGACATTCCTCACACTGGCAGAAGCTGTTCTGCAGGAATATTTGCAATTTCCCTACTGAAACTTTGTACTTCGAACAACTTCAGAAAAAAAAAATCAAACAAGTATTAAGATCAAGTGAACATGCTGGCCAAATACCAATGCTGATAATTCTGTCCCCAAAGACAGACATCAGACAAAGTCTGCATAGATATATGCATATGTATGTATGTGTAGTGTGGGCAGTAGCTGAGTCTTGCTGAAACCAGCTATAGAGTCTTTATTCTTCTGGGAACCCTGAAAAGAATTGCCCGAGATTGACCTGTACATATTTTTTGCAAATAATTGTTTCATTAAAACCACAGGTCCAGCAATCCTTCGTGCACTTACAGCAGACCAGTCACCAACTTTCATCAGATGGAGCAGGACTTCAAGTGTTAGATGTGGATTCTTTAAACTGCAGTAGTGATTATTTTTGCATATTTGTGTATCCCTGTAAGTGAAACTACACTTCATCAGAAAAGAATGTCAATTGCAGATCCATCTCCCCTTCAACGACAGACTGTAGAAACCAGCTACAGAAATGAACTCTGCTAGCTGAATCATGCAGCTGCAATGCATGGATTACTGTTGTTGTATAAGGTCTAAGCTTCAGCAATTTTGTTGCATTCTTGCTTTAGACTTTGACATTCCAGTCTCTTGAACTAGACATTTCAGTGATTTTCTAGGTTCAAGTCTGACCCCTATGTCATCTAATTCTTGTCTTTAAGAGTCCTGTTGTTCTAAGTTTATTCACCAAATTATGAATTGTTTGTCTGCTGGGAACTCTTTCATTGCGAAATTTACGTTGAAATTTTTGCCAACACTTTCTAGCAGATCTGTAATTTACATAGGTGTCAAACAGATATATATGTGTTGCTCTGAAGTATACCTCACCATGATGTACCACACTGTTCACTAACTGTAACTGAGAACAAATGGCCAACGGGGCTGGTAACTGCTGCCATCTTCTGACAAATTATAAACAAAGTTCCACACGAATCACACTCCTCACCGTGAAACAAAATGCCATCAAGCGGCCATTCATTCCAAACATTGGCCATTAAGCATGCTGATTCATTGGAAAGATTCATATATGCTTTCAAAGCAAACAGTGCACTGATTGCCATGAAATTCAGAGCTATGGAACCATTCAACAAATTAAAAACCTCCCTCCCTGTGTGTGTGTATAGTAGAAAATGTAACAAAATGACTGCACCAAAAATATTTGTTTTCTCTGAAACACCACTCAGTCTGCTCAGTTCATGTTTACTTTAGCATTAGATTTCACTCAAACGTAATTTTGTTATACAACTCTTACATTACAGCAGTTTGTTTGAGTGCGTGTGTTTTTCTTTCCAGTATTCTAGATTGTTTTATATTCCAACTCTAAGGAAATCTTTCTCTTGATTGTAATACCACTTCCACAGTACATATTTCATTTCATCACTTGACCTGAATTTCTGGCCTCGTAATTGCCTTCTTCATGGCACAGGCAGCTGGAAGTAACAGATGAGTGACACATCAAGACTATAAGGGGGATGGTGAAAAGCATCCCATGTCACAGCCTCATCAGCCATGTGTAGGCAAGAATTGTCATTAAAAAATAGGCACCTTAGGACAGATCTGCCATCTTCTTTCTAGGATTGATTTCATAGGAGGTCACAGTAGTCATCAGCATTAGTTAAATGGCTTTGATCCAGGAATTACACGATTAACACCTTTAGCTACTGAAAACAGTGGCCATTGCCTTGTTTGCTTATGTCATGGTGTTGACATTTTTTGAGTGGAGGTGAATCTATGTGTTACAACTTCATTACCCTTCAGGAATAAACTCATGGTCACAGATGTTATGATACAATTTCTTTTTATATTGCTGATTCAGAAGTGCTGAAATTTTGAACTAGCATCATCTTTGCTCTGTTAACAACAATTGGACAACCCATCATTCACTGAATTTACTGAAACTCTTAGAAGTTGTGGAAGTGAGCTGTGATTTGTACAGAATTCATGGCACCTGGGAAATCAGAACCCAGCCTATGAAAATCAGCAGCAGTCATAACTTAGTTTTGTATTGTGTTGCCATGGACATCATGACTGACTGACTTACTTACTCGTGGAGCTGAGCCCTTCTTGAGGAGCAGCCAATTCTGCAGCTACCCAAGAATTTCCCAGCATTTTATGGAACCCGAAGGTTCATTACCATTTTCACAAGAGCCCTCCACTGGTCCATATCCTAAGCCAGATCTATCCAATCCATCCCATCCCATCCTATCTCTCTAAGATCCATTGTAATAGTGTCCACCCACGTATGCCTTGGTCTTCCCTGTGGTCTCTTTCCTTCTGGCTTTCCCACCAATATCCTATATGCATTCCTCATCTCCCCCATTCATGCTACATGACCTGTCCACCTCATCCTCCTTGACTTGATCATTCTAATTACACTTGGAGAAGAGTACAAGTTATGACGCACCTCATTGTGCAGTTTTCTCCAACTTCCTGTCATTTCATCCCTCTTTGGTCCAAATATTTTCCTTAACACTCTGTTCTCAAACACCTTCAGTCTGTGTTCCTCCCTTAATGTCAGAGACCAAGTTTCACACCCATGAAGAACCACAGGCAAAATTATAGTTTTGTATATTCTAATTTTTATGTTTTTGGACAGCAGACAAGAAGACAAAAGGTTCTGGACTGAATGGTAGCAAGCATTACCCGAGTTCAATCTCTTAATTTCCTCCTGAATCAGGTTTTGATCTGTTATCATTGTTCCAAAATATTTGAACTGTGCCACATTTTCAAAACATCTTTTTCCTATCTTTATATCCTGATTTTGCCCTGCATTTTGGTGAAGAGACAGTAACATATACTTAGTTTTCTCTGTGTTTACTTCTAAACCAACCTCTTTACTTGCGTTAATTAAAGTTTGTGTGTTTTTCTTTATGGTATCTACATTATGACCCAGTAGATTTGGACATCATGACAGCTTCACTAAAATAATCTTTTCTCACTATAGAAGCACAACATCTACTTTTGAACTTCACAAGAGATTTATATTGTCTGAGTTATTTTAATGGTTATTCTGTATGTGCATTCATTACTTAGTTTGGCCCCAGTTTTAGTGATGGTAATCCTCCTGTTCATATGAACAGTTTCATCAGTCTTTGCATGTTTTATATATGTTTATTTGACTAGCAACTCTTTGATTTTTCTACTTGTACATTTTTTGTTGACATGTACATCTCTTTAATGTAGTGTACTATAGTTAACACTCTTCTGTGAATGTTCACTTGCCCTTGGAATGTCTCTCTTCAGTCATACAATTAGTCAAAGAAATGGTAAGGTATCTGTCTCTGTGCTTAATTAAGCATCACACCTTGAAGGCATATGATGAGAGTAGAGGTATACTTCATGCATGCTTAACCTCACCACTAGATGGAGGGGAGTGGTCAGTTTCACATTCCATCCAGTTTACCCTGGGGAAAGCATGTCCAGTACAATTTGGGTATGAGCTGGATGGGCCCCAGGGGTGTTTCGGACATGTTGGTAAGGAGAAATATCTAAGCCTCTGCCAGAATCAAATCCCAATTCTTCAGCCATCAGTCCCGTAGTCTAATCACAACTTCAGTTATGCCATACTGCCTCTTTCAAGGAGTGGACCATATTCAATGTGTGATACTATTGATGAGAGTGATACAGGGATTGTGAGAAGTCGTGCACATCACACTAAGCAGTTATATTTTGCTGGTTTAATGCACAAACTACAAGACATGCAGCACTTCTTATTAATGTTTATAACCTTACATCTTAGAAATGCAAAATCAAATCATGTCTTTACAACATATGCTCAAAGTGGCTTCCCCGTTCAGCAATGCATGCACAAGCTCTGTTTCCCATGTTCGAGGCCACTTTGTGGAACACCTGTAAACTGATGCTGTTAATCACCATTGTAATGTTCCTCTTGAGGTCATGCAGTGTATGCAGATTGTTTTTATAGACAAGTCCTTTGAGGTACCCCCAAAGGAAAAAATCTGTGGGTGACAAATCGGACAAACGCAGGGGCCACAATCCTTTCGAAATGAGATGGTCACCAAAAAACTCGCGCAAAAATTGCATGGTTTCATTAGATGTGTGGCATGTGGCACCATCTTGCTGCAACCAATACTCATGTTCATCACCTTCAAGAAGCGCAATAAACTGTGTAATGATGTCTTGCTACACTGGACTGTTCACAGTTGTTTCAAAGAAAATTGGGCCCACTATTCAAAGATGTGATACAGCACACCACACTCCAATTTTCTGACAGTGCAAGGGCTTTTCATGTAGCACAGTGGATTTTCAGATGACCAAATCCTATTGTTTTGACTGTTCATGTAGTCACTAAGGTGAAACCACGCTTCGTCAGTGAAGAAAACCTGATCAAACTCTTTAATTCCATGGTTGCCAACAAATGTCCGAAACCATCTACAGTACACCAAGCATTTTTCTTTATCCAGGTCCTTCAGTTCCTGCACACAGCAAACATGATATGCACGAAGGTGTGACTTCTTCGTCACTTTCTGAGCACTTCCGTACGAAATCCCTGTTTGTGCTGATAGTCTCCTCAGGCTTTTTGAAGGGGAATGCTGCAACATTCTCTCCACGTCAGCCAGTTTAGCCTTAGTCAAAATGGCCAGTCTCCTGGATCTCTTCCTACCTGAAACTGAGCCACATTCCCAAAATTGGTTGATTATTCTCATTATTGTCGAATTGTTAGGATCTGCAGAACCCGGATATTCCCGACAATACTTGTCTGCAACATGTGCATAAGAACGACTTGTGAAATAATGTTTCACAATGAAAACTCGTTCATGGGAAAACGACATGTCTGTCACACAATAAACACAGCTGTACTGCAGATGTCATATGACCGATACATGACAGATGGCGTTTCTACTCACTGTTAGTACTCCTACATTACCATCTGGTGGTAGGAGATATAATTATATTAACTACAATACAATGTATAACAACTTTTAGTTTGATGTGTGCGACTTTTCGATCTTCCTGTAGATAGTCCTTGAACATAGTCATACAGTCTGATATGCCCATTGCCATTAATAATAAAGGTAAGAGGCCATGAAGGCCTATAGGGTTGTAAGATGTTGAGTCTAGACAGTTGGTTTACAGATGGCAGTCAGCCACCCTTTACCCCCCCCCACGAAGATTCCTGGTACTCATTTCTGTTAGAGGCTAAGTTGAGCCAAGGGCCATGGGGGCAGCTGGAAGAATTAGGTCAATTGAAAAAAATCCACTTCATTAGGACTTGAACCTGTGACCTTCTGGCTTGTAGCATAGTGCTTCAACCAACTACACTACCTCATGCCCCCCCCCACCCTATTGCCATTAATATCGGTATCAAAATGCCAATAATTCCAGTATTTATTTGCTGATTCTAATACATTGTGTTTTGTCAAGAATCTTGGTGTTCTTTGTTCTATAGAGATCTTCAGGATGCAGTTCATAAGAGAAAAGTTTTAATAAATTATGTGCAAAGGTATGCTAAATTTGGTTGTAATAGCATTTCATATTGTGTATACAGAAAAGTTAACACAAATAAGACTTTAAGATCAGTGGATAGGCACGTTTACCACAATTATAAATACTGATATGATTTGACAGTGATCCCTTCATTGATGGTGTGTCGAATAACATTCACGTGTGCATTGTGCCTGCCTCAAATTTTCCAAATGGATTATTTAGTTAAAATCAGATTGTTTTGAGAAAATGTAAAAATATTAATAATCTACTCGTCATTTCCTGGTACTTCCTTTCAGTGTTCCATTCTCTGAATTATATCTGCATATGATTTTGGTTTCGTATGGTACAGGACATTATGTGATGAATGATCAGAGAGCAGTCCACTAGTTTTTGGATGTAGAGTTATGTCCTTTATCTTGTGACTTTTAAAGATAATTACAAGTTATCTTCTGGTGGAAAAATTTTACCAAAACTGGTGTAATTTTTATTTATTTCTTACAGACACTCTCCGTGATTGGTGGTCTTTTGATGATTGTATCGCTTGGTCCCGGCGGTGTTTCTATGGATGAACATAAGAAGAAGTGGTAAATGTTTTGTTATTGATGCAGGAAATATGTTGGAAGTGAAGTAATGCAAAAACTACTGATATTTTATTGAAGTACTTTTGACCAAATCTTATGAATCAGCATGACTGTTAAGCCTGACAAAAGATAATTATCATCCCAGGAATGTCATAAGTAAAACCACAAGGGAGGAGTTCTGTTTTGTGTGTGTGTGTGTGTCCCTGCTATGAAATAAGGAAATCTTGAATTCAGGGTACTGATTGGCCATTCTTTACCTCATGACATGTTGGTAAACGAAGCAGTTGAATTAAATGGCAGTTGACTTCATTTTGTATTTTTATTGATCTGGTAAGAGTTGCAATGCTTGCAGGATCTCCAGTACAGTGCATTTCATAGTGTGTCAGTACTCTGTGATCGAGGTTTCCTGCTGTGGATTGTGCTGGTGAGTGTTACAAACAAAATGGACAAAAATGTAAACCCAGTTTTATCCCATTTTCAATTGATGTTTATGTGTCTTTTGGGGTAGTTTCAATGTCCTTTTAGACTATATGTCCATTTCATTTTTGGTTGATTTTGTACTGGTGTAAACTTTATTTTGGATGCCAGTTTGTGTAATTTAAAACACATGACAGCTGAATGAATAATTTTGGGCCTTTGAACAAGTCTGACAGGTTGAAGTGAAATGTTCTGCACATCCAAATTTGTCATTATTGAGAATACCTTTAGTCAATAAACCATCCTGTCTGGAATATTAAGTTTGCTGTGATTTGTCCTCATTGTACAGTTTTAAAATCAAAATTTGTTACCTTCATTGTTCATTATAGGTGTGGTATTCATGGTGTGAATTTTTTATTTCATTGAGTATTGTGATATGATTGGGTTTTGTTGTGTTTACTTTGGCTGGTTTTATGTATTGTAACAAGGCTGAGCATCTTTGTACTTGTCTCAGTTTCAATAGAAGTTTGAATAAGTATGAGTTAGGGGTTCTTTCATACTCAGCACTTTAATTAAGTAAAGATGTTGCATAAAAAGTCTGTACTTATGGATTAGGTGGTGGATAATTACAAAGAACAGCACAGTAATCTGTTATTGGAACAAGAAGGGTAAGTTATATCTAATTTTTGTTTTTTGGTTCAGGAACATTATGATTTTATTTGTATTCACTGGGCATGAATAACCACAGTCTAAATAATGTTTCTGCTAAATTGTGTGCCACAAAAATGACATGAAGCATTATTACCATGTCATAACACTTAAGATTAGCGTAGTGAAGCAGAATTCTGATGTAAGTTCCAGGGAACTGCACTGTTATATATGATTTTTGTTTTAAACAATTAAATTCATATAATGTTTTTCCCCTTGTAATAAGATCAATAGCAATGAGTATTTTTTGTGAGTGCAGAAGAGTTGGATGCTGCTTTGGTTAAGTCAGCTGACCATAATGTGTAAGTTTGCTTCATGAAGGCACTATCTGGAAACTCCACGGAATTATTTTGTTTCATTTCATAAAAGCCACTACCATATATGTATGTCACTGCTCTGAACTGTATAGAAGCAAATGGGAGTAATTGCAAACAGTGCTGTTGAATGCTTTACTAAATTTATTGCCAGTCATGCAGGTATGTCTGTAGGTTATGCAGAAGCTGATGCCCTGAACTGTATTATACAGTTGCCATACTTAGTGTTCATTTAATATGTGGGACCATTTCATGCACAGAAAGGAAATGTGGGTACTGTTATATCACAAATATTAACAATGCTGAGTTCTTGAAATAAGATCATCATTGCTTGAAAATAACTCTGTCATTGTTAAATAATAATTCAACTGTAATTGGAATAGATGCAATGTACATATAAATTTTAATTTTTAATACAGCGACTCCACTGTGTTTATATTATTTATATAAATGGTTTTTATTATTATGTTTCAAATTAAAAATTAGGGAAAGCACATCAAGAATTTGAGAAATGCTGTATGCTAGCCAAGAATGAATGATGTGGTTCAGTGTTTCAGACATCCTTTGCCTTGAAATGTAAGTCACATGTTCTAAAATAAACAGTGAAGAAAACTGAAGTCAGCGATGAACATAACCCAAAACACAAATCTGGCAGTGTAATTTCTGCACTGGCCTCCACCGTTGTGTTGCTGCGCACTAGTTCATAACTTCATTTTTTGGCAGAAAGACATTTCAGTATATCACTCTTCCAGATTTCCAGCAGTCTGTTTCATAACATCTCTATTGCAGGCATAATATTCAATTCTTGGCACACTCACTGGCATGTAGAACAGAATAGAGTGTGTCGGAAATAGAGGGTTTCTAATATGATGCATTTGTTTCCTCGCCATTTCACTGAAAATGCTGCAGTATGTTTGAATAATAAGGGTATATTCAGTGAGGATTTTAAAGGAGGAATTTTCAAATTATTTTGTAGTTTTGTTACAGGACCTTAGTGATAAGCCCAAACCCATTGATGTAACAGTGTACTGAACAAATCTATTTCCATCTGCCTGTAGGTGCATGCCCATCTTGTAATACATGACCATTTAAATTGTATCATTCTGAGTATTAAAATATTTGGTGTTCAATGACCATGTGCTCATGCCATCAGTCACAGTGGCCTTGAAAGCACCTTGAAATGTAGGATTTGCCTGTGTCTCTTCACGTTTCAGAGAAAAATTATTCTTTGACCCTGAAGATGAAGGCAACATGTTCCTCCAAAACATTGGATGGCTTTCAACAGACTACATGGTGTTATATCCCAAAAGATAGGACTTCATAACCACTGCTATGAGAACCTCAAATCCTTCTTTAAATTTGGCTAAAGATATCTCCTTTTTCCATTTCACTTCACATCAGCAGCGTTTTGGGATGACCAGTGATTCAGATAAGAGTCAGAGGAAAACTGCTGCTACTCTTCTAACTCTATTCAAACTTTGAAATTGATTACATACATAGTGGAATTTAAGAGGAGTCACCATATGTAGAAGTTCCTTCAATAAAATCTCAGTTAATATTGATACTGTGGTATGTAGAGCCATTACTATGCAATGATCGTGATATGTTCGGATATACCAGGGCTGTTTCTGGGCAATGGCTCAGTAAACAAGTTCCCACAGCAACAGACACAAATGCAACAATAGAAGACCTGTTTTCTGTGTGGTCCATGCTGAGATGTTATAAGCAAGGGCAAGGTTAGAGCTTAATCAGTTCTGTATGCAAGTCTATGAAGAGAGGACTTGAGCCCAGGGGCAGAGGAATAGCCACTGTGGAGCCATTACCAGAAAATGTCTAGTAACAGACTGAGTACACTAGACTGTGAGCTCTAGTGAACTGTAAGGTGTGGAAATAGCAATAATGTTATACTTATTTGTATTTATGACCTGTAAGTGGTGAATAAATTTATTCACCAATCCAAACCACCCCATATAGTCACACATATACCGACAATACTCTTCAGGTTTTCTCCTTTCAGTTCTGATGCCACTGTATTAGTGGAAAAGGTTTGCAATGTTTTTAGGGGGACACAATGCCTCCATTTTTAGAATACTGCAACACTGTGCATTTTTACAAGCATGATAATTACTAATGACATGCTGTGTAAATGTAAGCATACAATGGCATGTTTAATTATGAAAACTTAAATACCCATCACAAGGGTTATACTTCAGTTAAAATTTTCCCTATTAGATCAGCTTATATAACATGATTAACTCACTGTAGGATGTTAATAAGAACTTACCATTTAAGAACATCCCTTATAAACAGTAATTCAAGCAAAAATTCTTATTTTTCTTCTGTAATTTTTTTACCAAGAACTGAACCAAATTTTAGTTACTATCTGTAGTGAGCATCCACTTTGAATGTCACAATCCTGACACTGGTGAAAATTGTTATGCCCCATTGTCATATTACTATCCTTTATTCGACTGCTAACATCATAGCAGTTTATTTTATGACATGGATTTGCAGTTATTTGTGCACAGTAGTTAGACTGAGCTACCTGCCTCTCTTCAGTTCAAACTTTTACATGCCGCTGCCTGGTAACATGATGTGTAGTCATTTGTAATGGTCTGTGATAAATAATTATTTTTCTCATATATAAACAGGTATAGGAATTTTCCTCTTGGGGTTAAGAGAGTGTGATAAACCACTCACAGGCATAAAATAATTCTCAGGTCATGTATGTGCTGACATCTTTCACTTTGTGACTTTCTTTGACACAACTGATTTGTTGCCAAAACTGAGCATGCAGTGGCGAATGGCTTGCTGACACAGGTGGAAATCCTTGAAAGGTGGAGCCAGTATACTGTCGAGAAGACCCAAGATTTCAGTGTATTTATCCAGAGCCTGTCTCACTTTACCTTCATCCATCAGTTGTGTTGCTTTATGGAACATTGCATCTGTGTCCTGTGGAAAAAGTCAGAGGGGAAGTATTAACTTATTATTTGAAAGATTTTTATTAAATGAAATTAAATGTTAATGGTGGTGTAGTTCATAATATTTATAATTTCACTGTGAACAGAATGGACCACATATCTGCTGAGGGCTACAGGCTCATTCCTTCTTACAGAAATGTTTAGCAATCTGTCACTGCAGTACTGCTTGATCTTCTGTCCTGCCACCTAGTCAATTTCTCATCTCACCAAGACTGTCTTAGTATGTCAGTGCATGAGAGGAAGCTGTCATTCAGATATCCTCTCAGAATTGTTTTAATGATCTGTGCACACCTTATTTCAAATGGCATGCTTTATCTGTTAGGAAGTACTTGTAAATACTACTTTGTTATTCAAGATACAACCGAAAACTGATATACAGCATTGTCACTGTCTAAAGGCATTAACAAATGTGAATACGTTCAATAACTAATTCAAGGTAAAGATTTTTGGATTGCTTTGTACATTGAAAATAAGACAGAAATATTGTCTGATAAAATTGGATGTGATTATATTATCATGTAAAATTTGGCGAGATTTGTGAGGATCTTCTTGCAGTAGCACTGATGTGTGATACCATTGTACTTTAAATTTATTATTTTGAAATGAGCTTTCATATGGGTAGAAGATTATCAGAATACTGTGAATGAAAGTAAATTTATATTAATATTAAATTACAGGAAAATGTTGACTGAAGAAATGTGAAGTACCTGGGATCTGACCTGAAATGATAAAGCTCCCAATCTGGTAGTGGATATTAGAGGGAAAAGATTGGAGTAGTTGAAGTATGTGATTAGAATAGAAAGGATGGTCAAGACATTTTTTGAACATATGACAGAAGATAGAAGGAAAGTGGGAAAGCCTGGACTGAGGTGATTGGAAGATAACAGAGAATGATTTTTGAGAGCTGAAAGTAAAGAGATGGAGGAAAAAGACAGACAGTGAAGATGAATGGGCTGTAGAGGAGATTGATGTTCTTAAAGAACTATAGAGTCAAGGAGTATGAATGCCTACTGGCTTGAGATAGGATAATTATTTTTGTGCTATGGCTGAGTGATGAAATGGGACAGACCAGGGACCTGTTGTAACAAAATCATTGCATTATTTTGTCTTACTCTGTCATTTGTGTTTAACCAATAGGAATGTAAGGATCTCTTTTATTCCAGCAGTGAGTATGTGAACATGATTAAAGTGTTTAAGATAGAAAGTCAGTCCTAAACCACAGGGCCATTTTATGTTGGAAAACATTCTGCATACCACTCTGATGATACAGTCTTCACATGTCATGTACTGATTTCTCAAAACCATGCATGTGAATCCACATTTTGTAATTGGGGCATGTACACTGAGACTGATATTGGCCGTGCCATAGCTCAAGTGGTTAGTCACTGGCTTCCCACTGTGGCGGCCTGGGTTTGATCCCGGGTCTGGTCAAGTGGGATTTGTGGTGGACAGAGTGGCGCTGGGGCAGGTTTTCTCTGAGTACTTCGGTTTTCCCTGCCAATCTTCATTCCACCAATTGCTCCACAATCACCCTCACCTATCATCTGGGGCTGGTACAATAGGCCAGAAGTGGCCGCAGTACAAGGGACTTAGTCCCACCCCACTAGCAATAAAAAAACAGACTGATATTACAAAGAATGGTATACAACGGTGAATGAAGAGTAAGCACACATTTGTAAGGAGGGCTCATCACAGCAGGTATATTATACAGTGCAGCCTGGAGCTCTGCAGATATATGCTCAAAGTGGTCAGTGAAGAAACTGCTGTGTTATACAAGTGATACGAACCAAGGAGTCACATTTCACTCAGCAGCATCCAGTCAGCGTTAATAACCTACAAATGGAAGCCCACATATTAAAAGCACTGAGTGCTTAAGGTTTGTGTGATTCGGTATTTGGGCAGGACTCCATCATTAGTCCACACCTTATATCAGAACATGAAGCTTGCTTCATGTTTACTGCCAACACTGCACCTCCACATTAAAGGGTTTCATGTTCACAGTTTAATGGACATCAATTTTATATGCCAGTGTGAATGAGGAGTGCTGATATGGCCTCTTTAGTCTCCAGCTCTTACTCTTGTGGGGTATTTGTGAGAACAAGTTTTTATGGTTTCCAAAATGTATCTCAGGGGAATGAGTGTAGCTTGCTTGTACACACTTGTAATTAGGCTGACATGCTAATTTGTTGTTATGTTTTTCAGAAATTATTCAGTGTAATGTGGGTCCATTATCATGGCTTGGTACATCCTCAGATTGTGGATGGAGAAGATGGTTTCCAGGTAAGGTGGGTAGCTGCAAATATATTAACTTATCAGTTACTGACAGATAATAATGGGTGATCATAGAGTTTGGGGGTCGAGCAGACACTCAGAATAGGTTTCAATCTGGAGGCTTTGTGAACATAGTAATGAATCTTTATTTTCTGCCTTGAATAACTAACTATGAATTGTTCAAGACCCTATACCACATAGTTTTGTAAGTACATCAATGTCACCTAATGAATGAGCAGTCAGATTTAAGTGAACGAACTATTTCTAGATTTTATGTTAGATCACTATAATTATGTTGTTTTGAAGCTCAACCTTGCCATAACAATTAATCTACTGATTCTAGTACTTCAGATTCAGTGGCAGGCTCCTAATATGTGGCTTCAGCTTATGGAAATACACTGCATAAAATGTTGTAGGTTTTACCACATGTTGGCAAATATTGCAGCTGCCAAACCTCCCTCCACACAAAATCATAACCTTGAAGACAGCAACTTCAGTGTTTGCCAAAGTATTGGAAAACCTTCAACATTTGATGTGTATTCCTGAAAGCCTAATATATCAGATCAAAAATAATGTCTGTCTTTTAATTCAAGTTAAGTAAAACACTGTAATGTGACACTGTTCATTTATTAATTCACATTGTGATCTTCCAGATTATAACACGTTACAGATTTGTAGGTACCTTCTGCTTGAAGATTTCTCCAGTGTTGGTAACCTCCTTTGAAATTACAATTTGTAGTAACCTATCCATTTTTTACTTTCTTTATGAAGGTCTTTCTGATGGTAAATATAAATAAGAATTAACTACAGCAGCATACACGGTGTGTCCAGGTTCTGTTAGGACCGTGTTCATTAAAAATACAAGATGTGAATTTTTTTCAAAATTTCACTCTTTTTATTCAAAATAGTCTCCTTCTGAATCAATACATAGCTGGAATCGATTGAAAAGTTTTAGAAAACAGTCGCTGTACTCCTTTTGTGGAATCACATTTAAAACTGTGGTACATTCCCTTTGGATGTCCTTGATGGTGTCGTGACGGTCTCCTTTCATTGCCAACTTAACTTTTGGGAACAACCAGAAATCTGCTGGAACCAAATCTGGCAAATACGGAGGACGATCAAGGACTGCGATCCCTTTTATGGCCAAAATAATCGTGCATGATCTTCGATTTGTGGGGTGGGGCATTGTTGTGGAGGAGCAACCAGGAACCTTGCTCTTGATATTCAGGTCGAATTCGAAGAATTCTCGCCCACAAATGATTGAGGACTCCGAGATAATAATCAGAATTCACTGTTTGACCTTCTGGCAGAAATTCCTTGTGAATGAATCCTTTGGAATAGAAGAAAATGGTTAGCAGTGTCTTTACTCGACTCTTTTGCATGCGCACTTTCTTTGGTTTCTGTTACTTTGGGCTCAACCACGCTGCATTCTGCCACTTTGTGAGAGGCTCATGTTGAAAATACTATGTCTCGTCAGCAGTAACAATCGATTTTGTAAATTTTGTATCACTTCGGGCTGATCATAACATGTCTTTGCAGTGTTCCAATCTGGCATGTTTTTCGTCGCCTGACAGCATGTGCAGTACAAACTGCACACAGACCTTCTGTTTGCCCAAATCCTTGGTCAAAATTTGATGCACAGTACTTTTTGGTATTCCCAAAAGCTCCTCGATGAGTCTTGCCCTAACACATCTGTCTGATGCAAGGATTTTGGTCACCTTTTCACATTTTCTTCAGTGCGACTTGTTCTTGGCTTTGATGCATTTGGAGCATCTTCAATGTCCTCCCTGCTGTCATGAAATACGACATACCATCGAAAAATGTTCAAGCAACTCAAACAATCACTACTGTACACACTTTTCATCATTTTGTACGCTTCTCAGGCTGTTTTGCCTTACTTCAAACAAAATTTGATGTTGGCTCTCTGTTCAACTGCCATTTTCCGACAAGCGTGAGAACAGTACTGTTACATTCAAGGTCAGAACACATGATGCAGCAATGCTTGCACTTTGAAATTATAGACAGCCGCAACTGAAACTTCAAGAATCTTGACGCCACAATTCGCGTACAGATGGCAATGCAGGGCAAAAAAAAAAAGAGTCCTAACGGATCCTGGACACACCGTGTATATACAAAGTTTGCAAGCTGCTTCTCTTCAGAGACTGCTTTATTTGGGTCTCTTCACTGCCAAAATTTAGTTATTCTTTCATGAACTATGACGAGATATGCAAGATCTGATACCACGGTTTTCACTGGAATGGCAAGCTACTAGGACCACCTAGTGAAGGGAGGTCATTGCCATCTGACTGCAACTTCACAGCTTCACAAATGTGGGATTCATTATTCTAATACCCATCTCCCAACATGTGGTCAGCATGAAACGTTGGAAGGAAGGAGGAATGGTAGCATTCCAGGTTACACAACAGAATCTGTGTATGATGACTGTCAGAGTTTGCTCATTACTTTGTGAGCAAATGTGTGTATTGTATTAATGGGCTGCACTGTCACCCATCACATCAACCCCTGATGACAGAGGAACAGGCAGTCTCTGAAAAGTTGAATACAAATTCTGTTTCTGCAAGCTTCATCATTTGAGAAGATTGAATTAACTAGACATAGTGTAGCTAGATTGCGAACAATGCTGGTACATTACCTGCAGGACTTTCAGTCCTCTGAGTATGTTGGTGTTCTCTTTGCAGACAGCACATCGGATCATGAAGTCTGAAGTGTCTGTTGGTACAATGATCACATTGTTGCACTTACGGATTTTACCGTCTTCTGTGCCAGTACATCGAAATCTCATAATTCCCTGGTTCATGTTGTTGAACATGGGCCAGTCTTCATTACAAGGCACACAGAGACAATCAAATTTATATTGAGATTTCAGAGTAGCTTGCCTCTCTGCTCGAGGGGTCTGAGTGAAAATTGGTCCATAGTTTTCAGCAATCATCTCTCCGCAGTGGATGTTTTTGATGGCACGAGCTATAACTGTTGTTCCCTGGAAATATCTGCAAAGATAAATATTCTACATTAATGTAATTAATATTTATTCAGAAGATTATTCATTGCATAGAGGCAGAATATATTTTAATACATAATGAAATTCTTCTTTAGTTATACTTATCTTATAATAAATATATTAAGAACAAGAATTCATGATTACGTGAATAATTCTATCATCATTAAACCTTTGAAAGAAAAAGAATATACACAGCAGTTTATACAACTTTATACACTTAGTGCAGCCAATCAGGTGGTGTGTTGATTAATCAGTCAGTTTGTATGGCATTTCATGGTATCAGGAAAGTTGTGTGTGTGTGCATGTGTGACTTATATCAGCACAGTTATTTTTTCTTGAGATTTTATGGTTATGAGATCATGTGTTCAAATGTTAAGTTTTTAAAAAGAATGTTTTAGAATTCAGTCCTGTTGATGTCTTTTGCCAATTTATATTTGTACTTTAGCGTGATTCCACAGTTTCTGTCATTAAAGGACAATGAAACTGGAATTCAGAAGTTTTATACTCTTCTGGAAAAAAGTTACTAATAGAAGGGCCCACAGAGACATTTGCAAGAGGAATACTAATGTGTTAATGCAGTAATAATGATAAGTGTAGGGTGGTTCTCATGGCAGTGGTTATGAAGAGGTCTGTCTTCTGGGATATAACACCATGTAGTCCGTTGAAAGTTAACTGATGTTTCTCAGGAACATGTCACCTCACCTTCATCTTCAGTGTCAAAAAATATACCAAGCAAGAAACCAGCGAGAAAGGTGGCGGTTTATTATTCAACCATGAAAATGGAGGCGACATGTTCTTCTGAAACATCGATCGACTTTCAACAGACTACATGGCAGTATATCCCAGAGCAATAGATCTCTTAATGATAAGTGGTTGTTAGTAGTTTTCATTGCTGTATATCTGGTTCAGTTCCAAGAATGTTTGACTTCAAGTGAACAATTTAAATTCTGCTATATTACCTCCTACACTTTTGTGTAGGATTATGTAGAGTAATACTAATAGAGATGGTTGTGCCACTGTTAATCTAGTTTTCTGATATTTAAGACATCACCTTGTTATTCCTGGGTCACATGAATGGTTGAACAGGGCTAGGGTTGGAAATAATCCCCCCCCTAGGAATACAGAGCGAGCAGAATCAATTTTATTTGGTTTTTCCAATTGCAGTTCAGAAATCTCATGAGCATTGAATTGTAATAACTGAAGATGATGCAGCAGTAATGCTCCGACAAACACCTCATCAGGCATTAGCTCCTGTTCTGAAACATGAACATTGTTTTTGTTTTAAATTCAGTGAGTTAACATTGTTCTTACATAAAACTATTTTCAAATACTTTTACAATTATTTATATATGATTTCTTATAATGAGAAGAGTTGTTCTTAGCCCAGGGGTGAATTAGCCAGGGCATGGAGCAGGCCATACCACCGCCATTTAATGCAAGCTTCAGAATGCATGGAACTCTACACCCACTTCCCCATACATCTTCATGGCATGGTGCTTAATTACTTAGGCACAGGGACAGTTTTACCATAACAGTGAAGGCTAGGAGGCTGTGATGGGTAGGCAACATTAAGATTAGTCGTAGGATGGTAGGCAGAAGGAACTGGCTCAGGATCTTGTCCAGTGTTAGGATTTAATATTAGTGGTGCTGAAATCTCAGGCTGTACTAAGCATAACAAGCATAAGGCAGCACTGTACTCTCACAAAGTGGAGAAACCTAGAAGTTCATAATCGTACAACAAAAATAAGATGAATTCTTCCTTCTTTATGGCAGATACATATGATTAGGTACATGGTGTGATATATAAGACGTAGGAAGAAATTACGATGCTTGGATTTCCTTTAACTTCTTCAATTATATTGACAGACCTGCCAAACTAGTAATATGCTTCAGAATATACTCGCCTATATTAATCTAGCTTAAAATGAAGTTGTCTTTTTCTCTAGGAAAATACTGTTACAAATGGAGATCTTCAAGTAACAGTCACAGATCAGACTCACTAGTTTTAAAGTTAATCCTTCAAAGTCCAGCAACATCCTCTTAATCATATAGTATATAATAAAGGTAAAATGTAAGGTAAAGTCCCTGTGCTTAATTAGTTATGAAGGCATATGGGGGACTGGAAGTACAGCTCCACCTTTTTGACTGGGGCACCAGATGGAGGTGAGTGGTCGTCTTCATGTCCTTGTCACTTTATCCCCTGGGGAAAGAGCCACTGATACCCACTGGATATGAGGTATATGTTCTTTATATATGTTTTGATTATAAGGAGAGTGTCATACCTGATTCTGATGGGTGCATGTTGAAAAAACCTGCCACTTTAAGACACCTGAATAATAAAATGGCTGTATCTGTTCTCAGTAAGAAGTCGAGTGCTGTTCGCATTCCTGAATGACCCACAAGATTATATACTGTTCGATAGTCTGTGGGATGATATTTCTGAGAGCTATTTACAACATCACAGCCCTAGAGAGAAGACATTCTGATATAAACAAATACTCCAAATGCTAGCCACTTATTTATTATGACTTTGACAATATGTCTGTAATTCACAGTATACTTTCAAATATCTGTAATTTAAGATGTAACCTATTAATACAGATACAGTATGGTCAGTGATATTTTTCTGTTGGGTATCCAACCTGGAACTTTTTGGACTGGAATTTGAAAAGAATTGTTGAAAGTGTTCTTCTGAAGTTCATATTTTATACACAGATGTCAATGAAACAAACACAAACGCTCTCTCATCATGATGAGCCAACAATGTGGGGTTTACATATGATGGTCATTTCTGCATGAACTGACACAGTACTTTACAAAAAAGTCATGACTCAGTATGACATAATAAATCATTTTGTCTTCTGAAATTTATAAATTGTAATCCAGGATTTAATTTTCCAGTTAATATTCACTATTGTACCATATTTTATTAAGAGATGGCACTTTTGCAGTAATTTACACATATGAAGAGGCAATTTGGAAAGACGCAAGAGCCCAAGAAAGTAAATTTTACAGAAGACATGAAAAACTGTGCAAGATGTAAACAAAAGTAAACAGATTTGAGGCTTTCACAGCGGTGACTATGAAGAAAGCAGTCTTCNTTTAAACAGACCTTCCTAGTAACTTCAGGGTTAAAGAGCCTCTCCTTGATTGCCATTTGTAATTCTGATAATTGTATAGCTTACAAATCATGTTAAAATTTTGGTTTCATGCCTATTTCCAAGAAAGGACAATTTAAAAGTAATCTCACTGAGATAAGTTTATTTCAAAACAGTGTTCTGTATTTTACAACCTCTGTGTTTGGACTAAACTTTCTGTAATTTTACAAATACAGTACATAGGTAAGGCCACTTAGATTAAAACAGTCTGGATGCATGCCATTTTCAAATGGATGACCATAAACAGACCAGTACATTAGAATAATCCAGACTTCTCATATAATGGAGGTGTATGCATGTATGTACATAGTATTTATTTCACCAAAATGTGAACTCATGCCCTTTTCCAAATTACCTCTTCACTTTTATTTGTAGTTTAATGGAATATGTTAATTCAGTTCATTCTGAAATTGGAATGTATATCACAGCATTGAGTAATATAAAATCCTTTCAAACAGTATTCTTCTCTTAGGCAAGAGATCAAGAATCACACCAGTTCAAAACAACAAGCATAATTATAGTTTTATACTGGTGATGAAACAAAGAATAACAGAAATGACAATGGCATTAGTATAGTAGTGGTAACAAATTAAAGGATACAGTTAAACTGTGAGTTCTACTTCTGTGTGTGTGTGTGTGTGTTTCCTGCATGCATGCAAATGTATAAAAATATAAACTGTCTATAGAGGAATGTTGCTAATTTCCTTGTATGACTTTTCCCTATGGTTAGTTGAGACTTATATTTTTACCAGAGACAGCAGTGAAGAAACCTGACTATCCATTCAGCTTTGATTCACATAGGAATGCCATGAGAACTGACCATCGTTTCTATGTGATACAAAATCTGGAACTGTTCTCATCAAATACAAAATGGTAACAGTAATCAGAATGTATGTTTTTTAGCCATGTTTGTTATTTGTTAGATGGACAGGGAATGTTGCACTCATGAGAGAGACTGGAAATGGAAATAAATTTTGGTTGGAAAACCTGAAGAGAAGAGACAATATGGTGAACCTAAACCTAGATGCTAGGATAATATTAAGATTGAACTTAACAAAAATGGGGTGTATGGTTGTAGACTAGATTTCCGAGGTGGGAAGTTCCCGAACTGTTATTGTTGTAACTATCTCTGTGAAAGAAGATGAGAGAGGAAGACAAGGTCACACTTCTGCAAGCCTATTGCATCAGTCTGCCACATGACACAAAGCTGTGAACATGTACTGTTTCTACACGAGTGCTTTTTCGACTTCATGTTTCGTTTTGCCTGCACTGGATGGCAAGATCAAGCAACGTATCTGCATCAAGTTTTGCGTGAAGCTCTGTAAATCTGCTACTGAAAACTTTGAAATGCTTTGTGAGGTTTTTGGAGAACATCCTTTAAGCCAGCCAGTGGTTTTTGAATGGCACTCACGTTTGAAGGCCGGTTGAGTGTCAATTGAAGATGCCAAACATTCAGGGTGACCAAGCACCAGCAAAATGACAGAAAATGTTTAAAAAATTCGAGAACTCATTCATGAAGGCCATCACTGAACAATCCCTGAGCTCGCAGATACCACTGGGATCAGTTATGGAGTTTGTCAGGAGATCTTAACAGAAAATTTGAACATATGCCACATTGCTCCTTCATCACAATGCGTCCACCCAGACGTCCCTGAAAACCATAGAGTTTGTGATCAATAATAATATGGTTATCGTTCCCCATCATCCCTACTCACTGGTCTTAGTCCCTGTGATTTCGCTTTGTTTCCCAAATTGAAAGTGAAACTGAAGGAACGATGTTTTGAAACTGCCTGACATCCAAAGGGAATCACAAGCAGCACTTGTCAGCATTAAGGAAAATGACTTCCACGGCGCTTTTGAAGATGGAAAAAACGTTAGGGTTGCTGTATACGTTCCCAAGGAGATGGCAGCCAAAATTGAGTAAGTTAAGCCGGTATTTCTTTTTGAACCTAGTCCAGAACTTTCTAATACACCTCATATCTAGCTTAGAATGAGATCCAGTTGTGGGTTTTTGTGAACATGATGAATCTTCAGATTCCATGAATGGCCAGCACACAATGACTATCAGTCTCAAAGGAGAACTCCACACTGTTAGTTTAGTTAGTAGATCACCTATTTGTTTATGGCCTTCATATATCACTCTGACAACTGGACATATAACTTTTAATGTAAAATCAGAGTTACTGCAACAAATCTTGGACACCGGCAAATTTATGTCAAAATCTACCATGACCGACTTGGGATTTGCTTAATTTTAATCATAACTCGACATTTGATACCTTTAGGTTTTCAAGATTATATATAGCATTATTTTCATACCTTTTTCAGAATGTCTCTCATATCAAGGAAATATTTGAGTCCCCGCTGTGACAATATTCGTAGAGCCATGAGGCAAATAATGGAAGCTCCTGAGGACCACAGGGTTTCAAGTATAGGACACTCAACTGCATGATGAGTTGCAAGGGCTTCTGACTGGCATGCAACACTGCAGAATGCCACTCTGGTGCATTGATTACATGGGTAAGCAGCTTCCAACCTAATATCACACAGAAATCAGAACCTGTGACAATATGAGTAAGCTTATTCTATTATTCCAGAATACATTTCAGAAAATTATCCATTTTAAATATAATTTTTTTTTGCCCATGATAACAATAAAATTTAAAAAAAGGATATACATTTGTGACTCCATGACTGGCATATGTATACAGACATACAAATAACATTCTAAAACCAAATTCTCATATTCATCAAAATCTCAAGATTAATCTTTTTCAAAATCACAGTACTTTCTCAGGCTAAGTAAAAATAAGACAGAAGTTATCTATGGGAAAATCAAAGTATCAGTACTGTCACTTCATTTTTAAAACTAGAAAAATCACAGCATTTTGTATCCATCTATCTGATCTTTGGCATGATTACAGCCATAACTCCTGAATGCAAGACAACAACTGATCTGTAAAACACAGCAGTGATTGCCATATTGAATTTCCAAAGAGATTTCCAGGAATTCCACAGATACATTCTTGTAATATTAAAATTCTGGAAGCTCATACATTCCCTTACTACCTCATAAAATTCAAAGTTGTCCCTGTGCTTTATTAAGCAATGTCACGAAAATATTTGGGGAGTGGCAACAAAGTTCTACACATTCTTAACTTTGGCACTAAATGGAGATGAGTCAGCTTCATGCTGCAGCTGCTTTTTCTCCAGGGAAGGAATCCCTTGGTCCCACTGGAGAGGAAGCTGAGTCAGCCCCAGAGCCACTCCGGACACTGGAAAACATTTATTCCTGCTTGGAATCAAACCCTGATCCCCTGGTCATCCAACCCATAGCCTGACTGCCATATATTTGTAGCCATTAACCCCTTGAAGTGCATTATTTTTGCAAGAACCCTTATCATACAGTTTTCAGGTATATGATGCCACATAGCTCAGGCTTATTCCATTTTCAGGGTATTAGAGAATTCATTTTAATATTTTAATTTTTATAAAGTTGTTAGATGCATCATACTTGAAACATAGATTAAAATTGTATTTTACTAGATTACACCATGCTTACAATTTTAGTAATTTTTGTGGAATTTTCACCTGATGACAGTCATGTGACTGAAGCATGTTGTTAGACTGTAGCTTATGGAAATAATGTTCATGTGATGGTATACAGTGACCATTTGTGATTCTTATACAGACAGGATGCCAGCATTATGAAATCAGGAAAGCCATGATTAAGGCATGCACTTTTATTATGTACAATACCTTCTGAAGCAATGAAAGCAATGTGTGCCAGCATGTTCTGCTAATAAGACTGCAACAAATGCTGATTCAACCACCAGCGTATCTCCTACTTTCACTTCTTTCCCTGCCACTGCAAATCGCCCCATATCCTTGTTCTCTTCTATTTTTACTGCAGAACTTGCTGACACATAACGTGAATGCTGCTGCCAAGTCACACTGGGTAAAGTTGCATCTTCTGGAAGTGTTCTAGGCTCTGATTGAAATATAAAGGAATTACATGATCTGCTTTATGTCCTCATTATGGCAGAATAAATGAAGCTGACTTATGATGGATAATTATTAATCTTTTGTAGTTCATCGTGGAATGGTTTGGTGAATTTACATTTCCAAAACATATATACATATATGTTGCACTTCTTGAGATTTCTTTTTTGTTATGAAAATGTGACTAACTTTCAGGTAGATGTTTAGGATTGGAGAGTACACTATTAGAAGCCATGTCTATGATATGGATGTTTCAGAATAGGGTCACTGACTCTCAAAGCTGTCATACAAATTATATTAGCAAATCAGCCAATAAACCAGCTGACCATGCCTGATTAGCAATAACTTGATTACATTTTTTTATATTAATTTTTGATACAGAATCAGGAATTTACTTCACATAGCATTACTTGCTATAAATAGAGAGTGGCACATGAAATGATCCAGTATTTGGTTTAGTATCAAATATTCAACTCTGTAATGAACAATGTTTTGTAACATGTTAATCATGGAGATTAGTTCTAACTCTTCCTGAGTGCACTAGTGTGGCACTGTTCCTGCTTATGTGCTAGTTTACACAAGATGGCTGACAAAGGAAAACTGTCTGTAGAACAGCGCATTAAAACAATGCTGTTCTTTACTGAAACAAGAAGTGTTGTGGTCACACAGAGGCTGTTTCATGCCTGTTTCAAATGTGATGGGCACATTCATTCAAAACAATTCATAAATTTTATAATCAGTTTAATAATGATGGTTCAATGTTGGAGAGGAAACGTCGCCAGCTTTCATCTGTGCATTCTCTGGAGAATGACGCTGTCAGAGTGGCGCTGCAAAGAAGCCCCAGTAAATCAACAAGGAAGGCTGCAGCACAACTAGGGATATCCAGACAAAGGGTGCAATGAATATTGAAAAGTGATTTACAAAATGACAGCGTTGCCTAAACTTGCACTTCAAAACAAACATCAAAGAATGACATTTGCTGAATTGGCTCAGAATAATGAGGTATTGTTAAACAATATCTGGTTTTCTGATGAGGCACACTTGCACTTGGATCATGTGGTTAGTAAACAAAAAATTCAATTCTTGGCATCAGAGAATCCATGTGTGATTCATGAGGAGGTGCATCAGGCACCGAAAATTACAGTGTGGGTCACCATCTCAAGTTACATACTGCTAGGGCCAATTTTATTTGAAGACACAGTGAAGAGTGACCATGTTGCACAATACTTTTTTGCCTCACCTTCTTGCTACAGGTTTACAGTTACAAACTCAGTGGCTCATGCAGGATGCAGCCAGGCCGCACACAGCCAATGTTGTTTTGGACTTTCTGCATGATACTTTTGACTTGCGTGTCATCTCAAACCAATTTCCTTGATTGTTTCGCATGTGGGCAGAAGTGATCATGATTTAAACCCATGTGACTACGTTTTGGGGGATTCCTTAAGTAAAAGGTTAAGTCACAAACAATAAAGGAATTGAGAGCACTAATCATTCAGGCCTGCAACGAGATAACTGAGGATATGTGCCGTTGAATAGTCAACAACATCGCAGTTCATGTTGAAGAAGTTGCCAGATATAATGATGTCATATTGAACACTTGATTCACAGAAGATAAATATCCATGCAAATTTCTTTCTTTTTGTATGTTCATTTCTAGTATTGTACTTGAAATAAAGATTTTATTAATAGATCAGGTACTGGATCACTTCATGTGCCACCCTGTATGAAATTGCAGGAGTATACAGACTTACATGTTGGGATTGCAAAAAGTTTACACAGGACAGACCAAACATTAACTGAACATTAGATATAAAAGCCATAAAAGAAACAAAGTATAATAGGGAACATTCAGGCTACATTACACACATCTTAAATTATATTCATAGATATGGGAAAATAGAAGATATCACAGAGAAAATACATTATGCACAAAAATACTGGTTAATGGACAAAAATGAAAGTTTCTATATTTACATGTATAAGGAACAGGATAAAGTAATACATGAACAATTATTTGGAACAAAAAATAATTATCTGTTCGACATAGTCTTAACTATAACATCCCCGAAACATACATATGATCATGCATATGCACAAAAACAACCAAATATAAACCCACACACACCCTGCACCCTGTATCTAAACACTTCTACATTCGTTTTCCTGCAACAAATATCTTCACAATTGAACCACAGCATCATAGTAAGCTCACACATAAACTATACACAAGCACTTATTTTGAATGCATAAAATTCTAATAAAATAAAACAAACTCCGTGGCCTGTAATCCGCAAGTGAACTGTACTGACTGAGCAACCGCCGCTTGTCTGCAAAGTTAGTGACAACTTTAGCAGATAGAGGGTATCGTGGTCAGCACAACGAATCCCCATGGCCGTTAATCTCGGTTTTCTAGACCAGAGCCGCTATTTCATTGAAATAGCTCCTCAGTTATGCTCACGAGGCTGAGTGAACCCCGTTCCAGACCTACTACTTCTCAGAAAATCTGGTAGCGCTGGGAATCAGACCCAGACCTCTGGATCTGTAGTCAGGAACTCTGACCACAGAGGCGGTCATCATTACATTATATTTACAGACACCAACAAGTGAACAAGACAACTAAAACTAGCATCTCATCAGTGTGTGCTACATCACAGTAAATATTAAATTAAATTCACATGTAAGCTATGCATATACACCCATTTGAGATGCATGAAATCCTAATGTCACTACATTATAAACGAATGAGACGACAACCCAACCGGTACACAGCATAGTATACAGCTCAATTATAACAATGATAAATGGTGCACGGCTTTAACATGGCATTAGCTTTATTATTTTCATAATAATTATATTTGCTTATTTTAGTTTGTATATATTTATTTATTTGTTTTTATTAATTTTGAATCATTACAACTTGGATTCCGTCCATATAATACCCTTGAAAAGTTTCCTTTTAATATCTGTAAAAAAAAATACCCTGAAGATGGTCTAATTAGGACTGAAACATGTTGGGGAATTAGAAGTATATGATCGACAAAAGTTCAACAGAAATTATATACTTTCATGGTATAATGTGTTGAGTTTATGTAAAAGTATAACAGGAAGAGTCCTTAAGTTGTTTCCATTGGATTACTTTGTCTGAAGATTTTACTAACTGTGAAATTACTGGTGTGTTGACATCCATTTTTTGCCATCTTGAAATTGATTTTCCTATACTGTATAGTAAGATGTGAATTACATGCTATGCATAAATTGTTTAATCATACCTAATCAGGCTTTTTAGTAAAAAAAAAAAATCTAAAAATAAGTTCATAAGTACCATTAGCAAGGACCTTGTTCTTGGCCAACATTGTAAGCATAATTTGCACGTCCATTTCCCATTTTCGCTTTCTTTCCACAGGTAGTTTGGCTAAGTCCAGGGCCGTGAGAGTGCACCTGAAAGCTTCGAGTGCATCCTTCAGTTGTTTTATTGCAAGAAGACAGCGAGCTTTCCTGATATAAAACACAGTTCAGTGAATTACTTACCGTCAAGTAACACTGTGTATTATCATGATACGTATTATATTTTTTGTTTGAATATATTCATGTAGGAAGTTTGAGTGAAGATAAGAAAAAAATATTACAATATTATTTGAAAAATTAATTACCTATTTCTTTTCAGCTTATGCCAGAGAACACTAACAAGGTATGGTAGCTGAAGCCAGGAAATGCACATCATAGCATCACAGTAATTATTTACATTGCTTTCTTATTATTCAGGGTACAATAAACACAGAATAAGCCAGGATAGCTTATTTGGTATAATGACAGGCTATGGGCTGGATGGCTTGGGTTTGATTCTTGGCAAGGGCAAGAGATTTTTCTCTACTCCACAGCATCCAAACTGGTTCTGGGGACCACCCAGCCTCCTATCCAATGAGTACTGGGGACAGAGCGGATCAGTATCTTATCCATTATTCTTGGGAGTGGCAGTAAATCCTTTAGGAAGGGCCACACATAGCTCAAGTGGTCAGTCGCTGGCTTCCCACCGCAGCAGCCCGGGTTCAATCCCGGGTCTGGTCAAGTGGGATTTGTGGTGGACAAAGTGGCGCTGGGGCAGGTTTTCTCCGAGTACTTCGGTTTCCCCTGCCAATCTTCATTCCACCAATTGCTCCACAATCACCCTCACCTATCATCTGGGGCTGGTACAATAGGCCAGAAGTGGCTGCAGTACAAGGGACTTAGTTCCACCGCACTAGCAATAAAAAAAAAACTTTGGGATTTATACTCTTACAACAGTGGAAACTCTGTACTTTAAAGAATTCAAGACATGTGATCCTTACAGTGATCAAGTGACAGACATCTATAAGCACACAATAAGTACTTGACTATTTAAGAAATTCTGTATTATTACAGAACCTGGAGATTCAATCTCATCACTGCAAGAGCCATCTCTGTCCTGATCCACTAACATTCCAGCAGTGTGTGTCCCTTCCATACATTTTACTATTATTCTTCCATTAATAACGTGACACATGCCCATTGGTAGGCAACAACTCGGTCAACACATTCCCGTGGCAAGAATTGGATAACTTCCATTGCTATGCAGTGGCGCTGTAAATACAACACTAGAGCCAGTATAGCAAGAGGTGTTTCCTGTGTGGTTCGCATATATCCATTGTTGGGCCATGGATGTGTTTTCTATGGATCCACCTTGAGTCCTGCGGGATTAGGACCTGAGAATGACTGCTGGCGAGGACCAGCAGGAATTGTAAATGACAGACTCATCCTCTCATCAGAGAGGATGTTGCATAAGGACTATAACCACAAGTGTTCAGTTGGAAAATAAAATTACCGATCGTGAGCCTCAAGGGGCTTGTTGCCATGACGAACTGACTGGCGTAAACCGCCAGTCTTAAAGTAACTCTGACTCTGACTCAAATCTGAGAAAATGAGAATGGGGCGAGTCCTCGGCAGTGAAGGAAGAAGGGTTCAGCTGAAGATTGATTGTGATTAAGAGAGATTGTAAAAGAAGGTGTTAATAAATCCAGTCCAAAACTGTTATTATTAGTCACAGACCCATAAACTCATGACAGTATCTTCATATCCCATGTAATCTGTTTGACTAAGATTTCCCAATATAACTATTATATGCATTTCCTGTGCTATAGTTCCTGTCCTCCTCATCATTCCTGATTTATATACAGAAAACAAAATATTGAGGCCCCTTATTTCAGAATTCTTTTCCCCATTTATCAATTCCATTTCAAATATTTCTGTCACCAATTTATATTTAAAAACATTTTTTTCCTCCTCCCAAGTGAAATTTCATTTTCATATACGAGTAGTCTCCTGTATCAAAATAAAATAACTGAAACATACTGCATCTTGCATCTGTAAGTATGGATGGATCAGTACTCATTGTGTTGTGTCTTTGTATTATATGTAACACAATGTTGCTTGCACTAGTCACATTACACTTTATGTTTGGTTCTAATAGTACATGTTTGCTCTGAACAACATCTTCAAATCTATGAAGCTTCCTGTTTCCCATATTTTTCCAATTCAGAACATATAATTTTAGTCCCTATATTTGTATAGTGAGGATATTTGCTTTTATCGGTTCTTGTATATATACACACTACCAAAGTCTGTAAGTTCCTGGAGCGGCTGCAAAGCGTCATATGGGAATTTACTGCCAATATGTTTACGCAGTGCTTCCGACAGCTATATCAACGTTGGCAGACTTGCATTGCGGCCAACGGCAACTACTTGGAGGTCCAATGTGGATCTGTATAAGTGTATGTGAATACCTTTTAATATGATGCGATAAAACCACATTCCACGAACTTAAAGACTCTACCACATGTATATATATATAGTATACATACACACTTGGTCGTCGATTTACAACCGACTTCCATTCTGACTGACAGATCATAAGTCGATCTGGTCGTATGTCAGCCATATATTTATTACCAGTATTTTTTAACTTTTTTAATCTTTTTATCATCTTTATAATTTATTTTTAGAAACTTTTACATTTTAATCATCTTTTATTTTTAATTTTTTTGTGGTCGTAAATCGACGAAGCGTGTGTCTATATATATATATATGTGTGCACTTTTTTAACAGGATAATCAATATATATTGATTATCCTGTTAAAAAAGTGCAGAAAAAATTTAAAAGACTATAAATAGTATTCATGCGAGATCTAAGGTCAGTGACTATGGTATATTAATATAATAATTGCGTTTTTCAACATTATCTATCATCCTATTATTTTTCTTTTTCTTGTTTAAATCACAACGTTTCAGAGATTGGATTCTGTCTCTGTCCTCACATAAAAGTCTGCTCAGTTGGACCCAATTGATAGAGCTAGTTATTCTCTTTTGTGTTCTATCTGAGGACTCAGAGAGATCATCTTCAAGTTGACTCTATGGTATATGTCTCCCAGCATAAAGCAGGGATTAAAGATCAGTAAGCAAGAATATCTAGTGACTAATTCTATCGATTGAGCCCAACTGAGTAGGCTTTTGCCTGAAGACCGAGACAATATCCAGTCTCTGAAACATTGTGTTTTAAACAAAAAACAGGACGATGGATAATGTCCAAAAAATCAACAAAATTATTCATATAAATGTCACTTTATTTGGTGATTATGCTACAGCTGTCTGTACAGAAGGAAATCTCAAGAGGGCCTTTATAAATTATATAATATAAATAATGAATAGAATATGAAATTTTCAACCCCAGAAGCAACAACAACTGCATTTTGAAGGAAAGGACCTATAAGAACAAACATGACTATTAGAGAGATAATGCTGTTAATGTAAAAATAACAGATTTAAATCTGTGGAACACCCTCACTATAAGTTCTTCTCTTAGAATAAGAGACCAAATTCCACGCCAATGCAAAACACGTAAAATGTGTACCTAGCTGCTCAGCAATATCCAGATTCACACTTTTTGTCCTAAAATGTATTTGTGTTTATATATGGGCAGTACTTTGTTCATACTTACCTGTCAAGAACTTTGTAGCTAAGTTCTGGTGGATAATCAAGTGAGAAGACCAGGTCAATATCTTGCAATGCCAATTGATACTTCTGTAAGTGGTAGAATGTAGCAGAACGGTTGGCCACTGTAATAGCAAGTTCCCGGGTTGAATCTGAAAGTTATTGAAACTGTGCAAGATATTTGTCATGTAATGGGATTATTCTGAGCTAGCTGCAGTCTCTGATTTTAGTCTCTGATGGGACTGGAGAAGACATATAGTGGGATCATTTCTGTAAGTTTCTACTAACTTCTGAGCCAATAAACTAATGATGATGAAAGAATACACCAGTCTTACCACTGAAGGGTCTTCCTTACACCTTGTTAATTTTCATCTCTTACAGGTACTGTGCTGAAATTTTGAAATTAAAGAATATTAACCCAGCAACACTATGAGCACTGAAGGGAGAAGCAGAATTAGCATTAATAAATAAAGTCACATTTCAAAATAAGGTAGATGAAGTACATCACTTTTGTAGGGTAAATTTTCCCATAAATCAAGTAACAGTATGGCTGAACCACATTTTCCTGATTTAATGATCTGTTATAGTCAGGCATGTAACATGTAGCTTTCAATGAGATCTATTAAAACTTCCATATTCTGAACATGAATTTAATATGAAGATGACTCAAATTATGTGTGAAACTGCTATGTATGTCTCCAGACAATGAACTATCTGTGTTATGTGGGCAATTTATTAATCATTTTGGGTGTATTTATTCAAAGTCACAAGGTCAGATAAACAATATTAAACCATTAAATGCATTACATATCTTACACCCTGTAAAGTAAGAGCTCTGATATATTTCGGTTTTCAATTGCCAGTTTGTTTGAGTAACACTCTTCTCCAGTCATCTCCTTAAGTGGCTCCGCTATTGTTTCATATATAACTGTAGGTTCTCATTGTTTCTATTAACAGGTGTCCTATGTTTATTACCACTAACATTTGTGTGAACAGAAGGGATAGATGACCTGAGGGAAATATAGGGAAGTATACTGGAAAGGGAATTATAACAATATTATATTTAAGCATCCTGTTGCACTCCATACGATAAATGATATAAACTCCGTCTAGATATAAACTAGCCGCTGCAGCACTTCAAACACAGGGCGAATAACCCTAACAATTTTAAAATTTTAAAATTTGGACAAGAATTTAAAGGTTTAAAATTAGAACTAAAGATTTTATTATGGTGCTATTACAATAAACTCAAAATTAACGTGTGTGAAGTAATCTACGGGTGGACAGCTATCAACGAAGTAGAAGTTGATAATGACAGGGAGAGTGTTTTAGATGTTAAACTTTGAACTGGGTGCAGTGTGACAGCGACGTGAGTGTTTACACCTGATGATGGCCGTCTGAGGCCGAAACATGTAGTGTAGGGAGCAAGATCAAAGACACAAATATATTGTTTGCACTTGAGACGGAGTTTATATCATTTATCGAATTATGACAGTTCAAGGGAAATATGGAAGGAGTTAGTACATGGACGTCATTCTTTTTAATTGTGCACAGAAAAAAATATTTTATACAGAATTTGAAGACGCCATATATTTAGAATCAATCTCACTATAACATGTCATGTGCCTAGCAAAAAGAGTCTCTTAGTTATTGTCATCAGATGGAAAGGTGAAGTTACAAGCAGGGTGATGACTTGAACCATTTAGGAACAGGTTAGTAACTGAAATGTTGTATATTTAAGAAAATCATCAGTCCTCTTTTTCCTTATTTTATTTAACTCTAATATAGAGCTGCGTTTCTTTAATCATTGGCATCAGTTTCGAGTTTACATGTATTTATAGGACATTATATCAGTAATATAAATTGAGAAAATCTACTACTCTGCAGACATACATTACAGGTGACATCCTAATTTGGAAATCACCACAGTATTATCTGTATATTACATATGAGAAAATAAATGTATCAAACAATTAAAATCACTGTACAATGATGCTACCACACAAAATAATTTAAATTCCATTTATAGACTATGTTTTAGTATGTTAAACATGGCTGGAAATACAGTACACCCATGTCAACTGCAAACAATTTTGATTATACATGCAAAAACAATGGCAAACAATTATCTAGAAGATTTGAATATACATACAATGTTTGACCCTGGCCATGACTCTGAAACACTACAATTTGGTTAGCCTAATGCCACTGTAATATTTTACCTCCTAACATGACATCTACCCTGCAACCTATGGACCAAGTAGGTATCAAAACATGCATGTTTTATTATACATGAAGTCTCTATAGGTGCAGAATCCAAGCTACACACTTTTGTACTTTGGTAGCTCAAAGCAGGTCACGTGCATATCTAGGCAATAATGGAGTTCATGCAACCATACACATATCCTCATTTAACCTACAAAATAGTTTCTCCAATGCAGACTTACCCGACATATTCTTTTCAAGGAATCAAATTCCTGAGCTGGATGAGGGTTTTCTGTATTTAATGTAATTACATTATACTTTGTTAGATACGGCAGGGGGTTAATAATGCAAATTCTTATTACAAAATTTCTAATTACAGTGGATGTTTTATAAGATAAAGCTGAAATTTCATTTGAGCCTAATATTTACAATATTTTTCCTGATAGAGGAATTATTTGTGTTTTTGGACTTGCATATCTCTATTGTCTTTCTAGATCTTAAATACTACTTTCAACAACATGAAAGTTATTACAGTATAGAGGGAGCAAGAAATATATTTCAGGATGAAATCTAAAAGATGAACTTCCTTGCATTAGGAAAATTCCTACCTTTAGCCCATGGTATTTTCATAATGCTCTTTGTGTAACTTTGCATTGCACTCTGGTAGTTTCCATTTTGGAATGCTTTGTTTCCTTCTTCCTTTAATTGTCCTGCTTCTGTTTCATTTTTTCCAGAACTGGAAGCCTTTACCTCATATTCATGAACAACAGGCAATTTATAGACAAATGAAAATCGCTTTTCATCACTTTGAAGAGTTGACAGTTCTTGTAATTTTTCATCACTAATTGAATTACGAAGATTTGAATGGTGACACTTTAAGAAACCACAGTCTGTGTCTAACTTCTTTTCTGCTAAAGAATCCAGTTTCATTTTAGATGTTTTCAGCTTGTCTTCTTAGCTTTATATACTAACTGGGCAGTGCTGCAGACATGAGCAGGAGGCATGGGTTGCTAAATTTGGCACAGTCTATTTTAAACCTTTAGTATGAGAGCACCATTAACATGCCACTGCCTGCAGCCAATTGAAATAGCAGAAAAGCTATTTGATCTTATTCCAGATTCATAATTCACACAGTATGGTATGCATTAAGCATAAAATGCAAGGTCAGATATCTTGGAAAATCAAAATAAGGTATGAATTATGTTTGCTTCCAGGATCTGTTCCTATCCAACAAGATATTTATGAACAGTACAAAAGTTACGAGTAATTCTGACATGATATAAAATACAACACTGAAAATCACATAAGCATTATATGGAACATTATATATACATTTTTATTTATCGATAGTGGGGTGGGACTAAGTCCCTTGTACTGCGGCCACTTCTGGCCTATTGTACCAGCCCCAGATGATAAGTGAGGGTGATTGTGGAGCAATTGGTGGAATGAATGTTGGCAGTGGAAACCGAAGTACTCGGGGAAAACCTGCCCCAGTGGCACTTTGTCCACCGCAAATCCCACTTGACCAGACCCAGGATCGAACCCAGGCCACCGCAGTGGGATGCCAGCAAGTAACTGCTTGCGCTATGGTGCAGCCTATATATACATTACTTCAGAAAATGGTAATGTATCTTGATTCAAGTTTGACTCAAGTTTCTCCCTAGTTTGCTTGGGTAAATAAGAGGAAAATGTCCTAAAATATGTTGTGGCCACTTCAATCCAAATCATTTCTAGAATACTGTGCTTAATACACAGAATTACTGAGGTTTTGGACTTTTTCCATTGTCTGGAATTTTAGGTAATAGAGGACACGACGTTTTGGAAACTGGATTTGTTTCCATCTTCAGGTGGGAAAGAAAGACACCTACTCAGTTGGGTCCCTTAGAAAGAGCCAACTCCAGTGAATACAAAATTATAATTTTGCCTGTGGTTCTATATGGGTGTGAAACTTGGTCTCTGACATTAAGGGAGCAAGATAGACTGAGGGTGTTAGAGAACAGGGTGTTGAGGAGAATATTTGGACCGAAGAGAGATGAAGTGACAGGAAGTTGGAGAAAATTGCACAATAAGGAGCTTCATAACTTATACTCTTCTCCAAGTATAATTAGAATGATCTAGTTGAGGAGGATAAGGTGGGCAGGGCATGTAGCACGAATGGGGGAGACGAGGAATGCATACAGGATATTGGTGGGAAAGCCAGAAGGAAAGAGACCACTGGGAAGACCAAGGCATAGGTGGGTAGAGAATATTAAAATGGATCTTAGCGATAGGATTGAATGGTATTAATTGGATTGATCTGGCTCAGGATAGGGACCAGTGGAGGACTCTTGTGAACATGGTAATGAACCATCGGGTTCCATAAAATGCTGGGAATTTCTTGGGTAGCTGCAGAATTAGCTGCTCCTCAAGGACTCAGCTCCATGAGTAAGTAAGTATTTATGCATCATAATTTGAGCCTGTTAACAAGAATCTGATGAGTGCATCGCTGATATGTAATAAGATTATAAATTACGTAAGGTCCTTACCATAGATAACACTAATCTGGGGCCTTATGTAACCTGAAAATGACTAAATTGTACACAAACATGTCATTTTATTAACTTAAGGTCCAGCTTATGGTGAGAATTGCTGTTCATAAAAATTAACTGTTTTGCATTTATCGCCTATTTTTCTACCAGCTTTACTATCCTTGTGGTAGTACATCGGTTTTATACCTCAAAGAGTGAATGACACGGCTTGCCTCAGTTTTACTCAGTATCGCTGAGTATGAACTACACAGGGTCAGAGGGGTCAGAGCATTAAACAAAATCTTTTCCGGCAGAAACAGCTGCCTTACTATCGGATCGAGATATCGGAACCTTGGACCCCTTGGACCGGGCGGACCATTGCTACCGATCACTACCGATTGCTACCGATGGCTACCCATGTGTTGAACAGTGATCCCTAGTGCCAACTACGGCATCTCAACACGATTCAATTCCGCCATGCAGACATTGTTTTAACAGCAGTTTCAGGATCATATATAAAAAAAATCTTCTTGATTAAATAAATTGGTGCATAATCTACCTAAATTATCTCGAAGAATAGATAAAACCTGTTAGACGGTAACTGTGCTCTGCACTTTTCCATAAGTTCCATCTTCAATATTGGTAGAGGGTATAATAATCAGCACCACCGTAATCACGTGTTTTACGTAGAAGTTGATCTGTGTGAAGTTTTTTACGACTGTACGTTGGTTGGAGTGCAGTATATTATGTCGAAATCACCTGAAGCTAGACATCTGCTTCATAGTGGATATTTTCATCCTGTACTTCGAAAATTACAAACATCAAATGTTGAAATTTCGCCTTATAACTTGGTGTTTCCAGTATTTGTTGGGTAAGTTGAAGGTTATCTTTGATGTCCTTACTCTACCCACAGGGATTATAACTGGCGGCACGCGATCCGTATACGGACGGGGACAATTTCCACCTGTTCCCCAAAATAAGTTTTAACGATTCTCTGCCCTGTATAAAAGACGACCATTCTTGTCGACAACACTTACGAGAAGTGCTTTCGAGGTATTTCATGTAATTTTCCAGTTTATTTCACACGACACTTAATAAAGAACTTCGGAAAATTATGGAATTAATATGACTCCATGATCGTATGCCGTCTCCATACAATGTAGCATGTTTAGCGGCTTAAGAGTACTGTTTTCTGGGAAGTAACACTGTAGTCCAGTAGCTTACTGTTGTGAAGAAACGTGCTTTAACCATCTTGGTTGTCCTTTGACCCTGAAGATGGAGGCTGTAGTTTCTTTAAAACTTAGAAAACTTTTCTAGGCTTTATCACAGTATTCTAGAAGACAGTAATATTCAGCCACCAGTATGAGAACCTCAGATCTAACTTCAGCAGCTGATATTTAGCATGGTAAGCCTGGCAATAAGCCCCTACCCCATATGTAATGGTGAGATCACCTTGCTGGGAGTTTACTATAAAGTCACAGTGCATGCCACTTAAGTCTTGCTCATGAGCATAACCACACAGCATGACAACAGATGGCACTGCTACTGTTGACGTTAGAAGTAATGCGTTAATAATTACATTTGTCAGTTGCATTTATTTTCTTAACTTGGGACATAATTACACCCTTTTATGTTACAACATATTGTATTGAATACTGAGAAATGCTCAGCTTGCAGATGTTCAGTCACCAAGTCATCTTTTGGCCAATTGCCATAGGCACCTGTATTTTCACATGGGCATTACTAGTTCAAGTAAATGTTTTTGAGTTCTGTGAGTTCAATTCTTAATTTGTGTGTTTGTGCTTAATCATTGCAGGATTGATATCTGAATCAGTATATTTGAAAGAAATATATTTTTATAATGAGCCCATGGGTAGGTATCTAAGTATAGTGCAGTCATCAGATAGGTACTTAAATTCTCCATAAACATTATCACCAGTACAGGCACAATAGGACATATGGAAGCTGACGTGCCGAGGGGACCTAATATGGATTCCACCTCACACTATGTGAAATCTTAACTATTGTAAACAATTTTAAGTGTTGTAACTTTATTCTCTTAGTGTAATCAGCCAATATACAGTAACTGACTTGTCCTGTATCATGTAACAATGATCTATAGAGACAAAATAAATACATACATACATACATAAGGTACAGTGTGACTCCACAGTGGCTTGAAATTGGAGAGCTCTGCCTTATTTCTTTATTCTTCTCTTAATTGTAAATTCTAATTAAAATGTGAGTAGATTTCTTGTATACCAAGGTGCAGCAGCAGTATCTGTAACTGATCTACACTACTGTTATGCAATGCAAGATGGTATTCATCACTCAACATGCTCATTGGCATGTAGAACAACCCCTTGCATCATGAGGATATTGGGTATAAATATGAACACTTTGCTCATGTTGGCCTAGCTGTGGTTGGGCTTCTGTACTTCTGTACGTGAGAGTTCTACCCCAAGTTAATGGGAGGTCTTGATTGTAATGTAGATGTAATAAATAACAGCAATGCCAGTAAAGTTTAAACTTTTGTCTTCCTATTATTTAGGAATAACGAGAAACCGGTAGATGTTAAAAGCATGCCAGGAGTAGTCCAGTATGGTGTCAGCAATATAGAGGAATGTTTGAGACCAATTGTGAATAAAGGGCTGAAATTAGTACTGCTATTTGGTGTAGAACATGGAATTCTAAAGGTTGGTGATTATCACTACTTCTTCAAAGTTGGAACTCTTTCATGCCTTTAAAACCAAGTTTGTTTCAGGTTAAAGACTCCAGATTGCCTCACAAATATACTGACTTTACAAAAGCAAGGACATTTGTACAGTCAGTACGGGCTGTTATAACAATCTGGAAGTTGTAACATGATAGCCATACTTTATCATATCTTATTAAATCATTAGAACCCCAATAAATGTCCATGTACTGACAGTAATCTGAAGTGAATATGAGACAAGTACCTTATATAACTTTTCATACTGTGAAGTGCTAAAACTTCTTGATGTGTTGTTTTGGAGAACGTTTTAATCCTGAATGGAAGACAGACAATAGACTCATCAAGAGAATGAAACGGACCATAGATAGGCCTGATCCATGAAGATGGTTGTGGTGGTGGTGGTGGTGGTGGTAGTGGTGGCGGTAGTGGTGGCAGTAGTGGTGGAGGAGATCCTTGGTCTGTTTTAATATATTGCCTCAAGGGACACAGGGAAGCCTGTGTCTTAGCCAGCACTGAGGGAAGTATCTCCCATTGTATAACACCATTCACTTCTAGTTTATGTGCATGTTGTCCTAATAAGGAATAGGGAAATATTTAACATAAAAAATACTAATTTCCCTGCAGTTATAATTGACAGTAACCTGAGCTAGGAAGTACGTATTAACTCGCTTTAGAATTAGCTGCTACTTATTTACAATTAATAGACTATCTAAAATACTTGATAATGAATGTACGCTCAATGCTGTATTATGGTTTGATTTAACCTTTTCTGGCATATGGAATTGTATGGGGATAGAGTGTGCAGGCACTTACTAGATGAATATTCACCCTTCAAAAAGGGCTGTAAGGTACAGGCAGGGTTAAAACAACTGGAATCATATAGAGATAGTTTTAAGCAACTAAAAATATTAACAGTACACTTGCTATATGTTCAGAAAACAATCTTATATATGAAAGATAAGTGTAACTCTGCTGTAAATAAAGAAATACATACAGGGTTGAATAAAAAGTAGTGGCAACACCTCTACATTTCTGAAATGACTTTATTACCTGAGGTAAACACACTTATATTCCTTCAATATAATCGCCCCCCCCCCTGTGTACCACCTTCTGCCAAATTTGTGGAAGGCATTGTACACCATCAGTGCGTCCACTTCTGTTGATGTCCAGCAGTGACTGCCCTACAGCATGAATAATCTCCTCTCTTGTGTTGTAACGTGTCCCTCGCAGTGGTTCTTTCATTTTGACAAAGAGATCATAATTGCACGGACTCATACTGGGTGAGTATGGCAGATGTTGCAGTATCCCATTGCCAGCGGCAAAGGAGATCCTTGACAGCATCAGCAGTATGAGCCCTTGCATTGTCATGAAGGATAATGTGGTTCGTTGCCAACAAATGTCGCTTTCTCCTGAGTGCTGGATGAAGATGATTGCACAGGAAATTGCAGTAGTAGGCAGCATTTACCGTCTGTCATTGAGGTACATTATTGTCACTTCAAGTGAGGTTCGTATGAGTGAGCCCAAGTTTCGTCCAGAGTGACGATCCTTCCAAGGAAGTCGTCACCTTCCCTCTGGTACCGGTCCAACAGGTCCTGTGCAATTGCATAACATTGCCATTGTTGCACCTCTGCCATTGTATGGGGTACCCAACGTGCTGCAATTTTGTGGTATCCAAGGATATCATGCAGAATGTGGAGCACAGTTTTGTGACGTACGCCTACCTCAGCAGCAAACTCCCGTGCAGCCCATTGATGATCGACATCCAGCAAAGAAGCAATAAGCTGAATTATGTGGTTGTCAACATGGGATCGTTCTGAACGATGGCTGTCCTGCATGGCATTCCTCCCTTCATGGAATAATTTCACCCATTGTGGCACTGTGCGATATGGCAAAGCAGCATCACCACATGCTTCTCACAGTCCCTGATAACAGTTTTCTGCACTACGACCTCATGCAACTTCAATTTACATCCAGGAGCATTGTTCTTGTTTCATAAACATGTTGTTAGGGTGCTTGAACTGGGCTCCTGCACTTCAAGACGATGCACAATGCAACTCAATGAAACACAACCAGAGCCACTCACTGCACTACTTCAACTGAACTTCTGCCATCAGCTACAGACGGCGCTAGTGCCACCTGATGCACAACTTTCATGTTACGGCAGTGTTGCCACCAAATTTTATCCAACCCTTGTGCATACAATACTGTGGCGTATTGGCTCTATGCAGGAACTGTTAAGCCACAGAGGGCGATTATATTGGCATGTTGCTAGGTGACAACTCTGTGAACACTTGGGTTGTGCAATAGGAAGTGCGAGTGACGTCACACACTCCACTCATCCTGTAACTGCGCAGCACTCGGTAAGCACCCCTCCCTGCTATGCTGCGACATCACACAACAGGCGAGTCCATAAAGAGACTATTGCTAGGCACTCAGTATACATGATGTTACATAACAGTGGTAGCTATCATGTAACTGTTTTCTGTGTTGTCAGTGTGGAAGCTAAATAACGTGAGTATTTGTCAGAGAGAGTTACTAGCATTAAGAGAGTATTCAGTATGAGTTGAGGTCCAGCAGCCACGAGTTGTTAAGTTGTATCGAGTGAATGGCAGTGACTACAGTGGGAGAAGTAATTGTGATACTGCAGATGGCAGTAATTTGGACACTGTAAATTGTGTAAATGTAAGAGTGAGTATACAATAAATTTGCTACATCCAAGATGGCGTGAAGTTATTTGTTGTGTTACAAACACCCAACATATGACGATACAAATAATAATGACTGTCATAAGTATGTACATAGCGGCCTCCGTAGTCTAGGGGTAACGTTCCCACCTCATGACTCAAGGTAAGCGGGTTCAAACCCGGTGAAGGTTGTGGAATTTTTAAGGGTGGAAAAATTCAGGGAACAAGTCCTCTGGGAGGGACTTAAGCTGTGGGTCCCGTGTCATAGATTTATGGCACATAAAAGATCCTCATGCCTCTGGGAGACCTCTGAGGGAAATTAGGCAACAATTTCCCACCCAAGTAGTTTCAAATGCTTGTGGTAGATGGGGGAAATATCAGGTACCGACGGCCGACCTCGTTGGCTGAATGGGGCTGATAGCACGCACCAGTACCGGTAGGGTATGGGGACAGTAGAAATTAAAGGGGTATGCACAATGGACCAATAACTGGTCTAAGTGCATAGGGAAACCCACCCCCTCTAATAATAATAATAATAATAATAATAATAATAATAATAATAACAATAATAATAATAAGTATGTACATAATTTAGAACCCTTGGTAGCAGGTTGTATCTTGTATAACAAATTGCCTAACAACATAAAACAAGTAGGTAAGAACAAACAGTTTAAGGAGGAATTGAAGGGCTTGCTTGTTAAAGGGATGCTGTCATTCAATGGAAGAATTCTATGAATTGGCTACTGATAAGCAGATGTATAGAATAAGCTATATTTCTAATAAGTTTGTACCAACAACAACAAGAACAACAACAACAACAATTAAAACCACATGGGAACTGTAAAAATAGAATCAGACAAATGAATTAATTAAAATAACAATATCAGCATACAAGAAATAAATGTGGATGTCGATTCCCCTGGTAATCGACAAGTTATTGCTAGTGTCCTTAGTGAATACTTCCTCAACGACGATGACCATGCTGGTATTAGTGATATCAAGGGTAAACATAAAAGCACCATTAATAGTGATCCATCACACTATCTGGCCCAGGCCTTAAATAACTTCTTGCTGAACATACAACTCAAATTTTCGACAACAAAGGAAATTGAAAGCATCATTAAATCTCTTAAACCTATAAAAAGAAAAGAGTTGGTATGGTGAAATACCCACTAAATTACTTAAGGTCAACTCTCCTTATATTATCTCACTTCTGAGTCATATATGTAATACATCCCCTTTATCAAGAGTCTTTCCTCATTGCCTGAAGTACTCTATAGTAAAACCATAAATTGAAAAAGGTCATAGAATGGATATTTCCAACTACAGACCAATGCCCATGCTGACCTCTTTCTCAAAAGTCCTTGAAAAACGTAATATATAAGACTGCTTGAACACATAATTAGTAACAACATACTAGCGAAAGAGCAGTTTAGATGCAGGATAAATCTAACAACAGAAAAAACAACCTATGTACTAAGTAATGAAATCATAGATGCCCTTGATAAAAAATTACTAGTAGGCGAGATCTTCTGTGATCTAGCTAAAGCGTTCAACTGCATTAATTGTGATCCTCTAGTGCTCAAATTAAATTGATGTGGGATAAGTGGCAAAGCTGATAATGGGATTAAATCTTACCTTGTTGATAAATATCAGAGGGTGGAAATAAAAAACATAAACTTTAGCAGTCAGATAGCTTCGAATGGGGTAAAATAAGGCATGGCATCCTACAAGGATCCATACTAGGTTCTTTGCTCTTATCTTCTCATTACCAAACTTTGTTAAGAATAAATCTAAACAAATTCTGTTTGCAGATGATATTAGTATAATAGTTACCAACTCTAACCCCACAGATTTTGTAGGTGACATAATGACCATATTCCGATACTTAAATAAAAGTTCAGGGCCGCACCATAGCTCAAGCGGTTAGTCGCTGGTTTCCCACCGTGGTGGCCCAGGTTCGATCCCAGGTCTGGTCATGTGGGATTTGTGGTGGACAAAGTGGTGCTGGGGCAGGTTTTCTCTGAGTACTTCGGTTTCCCCTGCCAATCTTCAGTCCACCAATTGCTACACAATCACAGTGGGCCAGAAGTGGCCGCAGTACAAGGGACTTAGTGCCACCCCACTAGCATTAAAATTTTTTTTTATAATTTTTATAATCTCATACAATTTACAACAATTGTACAACAAAAAATGGGCCCCAAATTAACCTGGATGTAAGGTACACTAAGAAAACAATTTTTAATGCACATGATACAACATTAATTGGATTAATTATAGACAGTATGCTGTCTTGGAAGCCGGTCACGGTAGCCGAGCAGTCTAAGGCATGTACTGTTTTCGCTTGCTCTGAAGCCGGGATCGTGGGTTCGAATCCCACTCAGGGCATGGATGTTTGTGTGCGTTTTTCTGTGTTTGTCTGCAGGTAGAGGCCTTGCGACAAGCTGATCTCTCTCCCAAGGAGTCCTACCGTATGTGTAAGATCTAGAAAAACCGAAGTGAACGGAGTTCATGGATGTATGCCTAGGCCCACTGGGGCTGTAGTGCCAAGGAAAAAAAAAATGCTGTCTTGGAAATTACATATTGAGCATGTTTACACATGCTATGTAGAGCTTGTTATGTGCTCAGATCTGTTAAACCTTACATGTCTCAGGAAGTAATGAAAATGGTTTACTGTGCCTACTTTCACTCCGCTATATCATATATTCTGGGGAAACTATGAATAGCACTGAAATCATCAAGATGCAGAAGAGGGTAATTAGAATTATTACAGGATGGCAAGAATAAATATTCTTGCAGAGATTTTTTTAAAAACTTAAAAATATTACGGTTTCACTCACAGTACAAACTCTCACTCCTAGTACAAACGACACAGCATGCACGTAAACTACACGACTAATAATAAGAATATACAATCAAGAGAAATAAACGACATCTCCCACCATCAGAAGGAAAACAACGAGACCCAAAGTTGGCTCACGATATTTTAACATAACTAATTTTTTACATACAAAAGAAAATTTTAATACAATTTTAAATACATTGGGAGGCTACCGTATGGAAAAGCGAATATCATATTGTGTGCAGTGGAAAATCCCAATCAGAATACCCAGCAAATACACTTAAAAGAAACAGCATAATCTACACTACAAGAAGCGTCATCGTGAATGCCTAAGACAACATCAAAACTAACTGTGATAATAACAAAATTTATACAGTGAGCATTATTCATAGCTTAAGTGCATATCATTAAAACATCTTATGTGACAGTGTTTCCTGATCGTAGTGGTGCGCCTCTGAGGATGATTCTTTTGAATTGAAACATGTAAGGTGATAAAGACTGAAGTATTGTAAAGTTGTATGTCACACTGGACTGAAAAATATCCACTTTGTAATTAATAGCGTGATGGACCAGAATGAGACAAATCAAACTCACTCCTAGTATTTGTGGTAGACAACAAAAGCATGTACAATTTAAATTCTAACATACACAACATAAATATGAGGCAAAAATTCCACTTCCACCAACATTCAGCAAAGCTATCTATGTATCAAAAATAGTTCACTCCTACGACATCAGAGTATTCAGTAACTTCCCTCAAAGTCTCAAAAAAGCAACTGGTAATATTAAGCAATTTAAAACAGCATTGAAACGTTACTTACTCCTCCATACGGAGATATTTCAATGTAAACAAACAGTAACTAGTATCAATTCTAAGCTACAGTGTATTCTCAAGCATGTTCCTGTATCATTTTGCTTATTTGCAGACTGTGCAATATGTATCCAATTAGCATGGTAATATTAATACTATATTATAATCTATAAACTTTTCAAGCAAAAGTATTACTGTACAGATACTATGTTTTTGTATTGTACTTGACTTTCTCCATATCCTATGCAGTCAACCAGTAATTTGATTTATAGATCATAAATAAATTCAAATTCATAATTATTAATGTATTTTGATAATAATATAGATGGGCATGTTCTATATCAATGTATTTTGATAAAATAAAAACGAATGAGTGAATGAATGAAGAGCATGCTAACCCTCATACAAGATGTGTACTGTATCAATAATAAACTGTTTTTCAGAGCAGCTTCTTTTCTATACTACTGGTATACAGAAAATTAGATGCAGGAAAATAAATCTGTTTACTTATTTCCTAAATATCACTTACTTTTAATCACTCTGTGCTGGATTTTAAAACTGAAGTTCTAATATATATCCCCTTTTGACTTTGTTTTTTCCTCTGACATGTCATACATGTATGCAGTTCTGTATCTGCTATTTCTGCCTCTCAGTAAAACAATGCACCACGCACAGTAATTGAGAAGAGTTGTTACTTTGGTTCTGTCCTTCCAGTTTAAGCAATATTGCCTCTTTGAATTCTGGCATGTTTATAAATATTCATGGTTTGATGCAGGATGAGAAAGGATCATATGCTGACTCCCCAAGAAATCCAGTAATTCAAGTGATACCCAAATTAAGAAGATGCTTCCCAGATCTTATAATCATGTGTGATGTAAGTAAGCAGTTATAATAAGGTATGACATTTGAACACTCAGCAGGTGACCAGCTATAGTGTTAACATTCCATCGTTTGTAGTACTAGTGAACTGAAAACATTATCTGTCACCATTATAGATTTAATAGTAAGTATGTGTTTGTACATTCATAGAGGAACACCAGACTATTCCATGTTTAATCTTCTGGCCTGTCTGCTATACCAGAAACTTCATAAAAGTAATGTGATATATGTTACTTGCTGCAGGTATGTTTGTGTGCATATACAAACCATGGCCATTGTGGCATTATGAGCAGTGATGGAGTCATTGATAATGAAGCCAGCATTGAACGAATTGCACAGGTAGCATTGGCTTATGCACAAGCAGGTATTTTCAATATTTGAGTCCAATGTGAGAAGAATGAACATTGATCCCCAGGGTAAACATATTTAAGCAGCCTCCCTCCTTTCACAATCACAACTCCAAATAATAACATACTATGTAGGATTTGAGGTTTTCACAGTGGTGACTAAGAAGATTACTATCTTATGGAGTGTGACATTGACTTTTGTACCAAATGACATGGCATTACTTCTGAGAAGACAGTAGTGTTGAAAGACACTAAATGGAGCAGTTTTGATTTGCCTTACATGTAAGCTAAGGTAGTGTATAATACAGTAAAGAGGAATCAGTGAACTATTAGGGGCAGATGTATATTCGTGAACTATGTACAAGTTTTGTATTAAAAGTTATAACAGAAAAATTGTAGACTTTATTGCATTAAACAGTAGTGGGCTTCACAGATAGTCTTGCAAGAGGGAAATGTTTCATTTTTACAATGTGAAATGTAAATTGACAACTTTTCTATTAGACTTATGGCTAGATTCACTGGTATGAATGTCAGATAAATAAATCACAACAGGTCACAAACCATTGTCCATGCATGATATATAAAATTCATATGTTACTATGTTTACATGTTTTCAGCTCCCATTGAAGCCACTTTCTTTGTGTGTTCCCCTTTTGTGAATTCAGTGTTGATCTTGAGACTGCCCTGCTTGCTAGTTCAGCTTTACATTTACATTTACATTTATTTTCATTTCATCGATCCAATCCTTTCCCTGTAGGGCTCGTTGTAGAAGATGTCACATATTACAAATTCATGATAACTATACATCATAAATCTTAGGTCCAATAGAGTATATAAGTCAGGCTTCATGCAGACAGCACAAGTTGTCAAGACAATATACATAAACTGTTGAAACACTATTGTCACATTGTCACTGTTGCTGGATATGACACTCAAGCAAAAATGTTAAATAAAATTCCTTTTTTTTTTTTGAAACAAATGTGAATAGGGATTGCTCAGTCAGTCAGTGAACTGGGTGACCAGGATTTGCTTCCCAACATAGGTAGGGATTGTCCTCCTTGCTACCACATCCAGAATAGCTCTGGGCCCCATCCGGCACACCTAAGGAGTGATGGTCTCTCTCTACTTCCTATTTAATTAATTATTTTTTTAATTTAATTAAACAATGGAAAACTTAACTATTTCTCTTATTTTGAAGAAAGTGTTAAATTAATATTAAAAACTTGATGTTAATTTTCAGAACCAGTATTTCATCAATGAAGTCAACAACCATCAATAAGACCGATTCCACAGGAACAGAGTCTTCCATAGAACCTTCTGATAGTTGTCCATTGTCATTCAGTACACCAAAAATTGTTTCATGTTCAGTGATAGGATATAGGATGCTCTGTGTAGCAAGGACACAACTGACTTTTAAGATATGTGTATACTTCAAATTAGGATGAATTTTGTTATCCTAACATATATGCCTGATTCTTATTCCCTGAAGCATAATGCTCGTTGTGAAAGTGATGGTTTATCAGATAGTTGAGAAATTCCCAACAGTTTTGTGAAACCCAAAGATTCATTACCGTGTTCACAAGAATCTACCAACAAGTCCTTTCCTGAATCAGATGAAACCAGTCCAATTCTCACACCTGTTTCAGTAAGATTTATCTTACTATCCTCCCATCTATGCTGAGATCTTCCATATTGTCTCTTGTGTTTATGTTTTCCAACCAAAGTGTGCTTGTATTCTGTCAGAACCTTTATGGGATGTATTTTAGCACATTTTATTTAACTGTTATATGAATCCATTCTTTTATTTATTTTGATTATAAAAATACATGAATAAGAATGTGTAATACATTAACTCTTCTAACTGTTTTGTACTAAACAATTAAAATCAAAGCTGACGAGGTGTAATTCAAAAGCTGCAAGTATTATGTTTTTGGAAATTATCCATTGTCTTGTCTATTTAAAAAAAACCGTCCTGTTTCTTTTTCAAAACACATCTATTGGACCCAACTGAGTAGGTTTTACCTGAGGACAGGGACAGAATCGAGTCTTCAAAACGTGTTTTGAAAAAGAAACAGGACTTTTTTTTTTAAATAGAAAAGATGATGGATAATGTCCAAAACATAATACTTACTCACTCATGGAGCTGAGCCCTTCTGGAGGAGCCGCCAATTGTACAGCTACTCAAGAATTTCCCAGCATTTTATGGAACCCGAAGGTTCATTACCATGTTCACAAGAACCCTCTACTGGCCCCTATCCTGAGCCAGATCAATCCAGTTCATAACATCCCATCCTATCTCTCTAAGATCCATTTTAAAATTGTNTTCAAAACGTGTTTTGAAAAAGAAACAGGACTTTTTTTTTTAAATAGAAAAGATGATGGATAATGTCCAAAACATAATACTTACTCACTCATGGAGCTGAGCCCTTCTGGAGGAGCCGCCAATTGTACAGCTACTCAAGAATTTCCCAGCAATTTATGGAACCCGAAGGTTCATTACCATGTTCACAAGAACCCTCCACTGGCCCCTATCCTGAGCCAGATCAATCCAATTCATAACATCCCATCCTATCTCTCTAAGATCCATTTTAAAATTGTCCACCCACCTACGCCTTGGTCTTCCCAGTGGTCTCTTTCCTTCTGGCTTTCCCACCAATATCCTATACAAATTCCTCATCTCCCCCATTCATGCTACATGCCTTACCCACCTTATCCCCCTTGACCTGATCATTCTAATTATACTTGGAGAAGAGTACAATTTATGAAGCTCCTCATTATGCAGTTTTCTCCACNTAGCAAGCATTACCCAGTTCAATCTCCTCTTAATTTCCTCCCAAAACATAATACTGTAGCAATATACCATCGTCACAAACTTTTAGATCTTATTTTTAATTCAAAAGACTGACCATAACATATACTGTACATGGGAAGTTTAATTCGGACACAAAGACACTTTGGATGACCTAAAGACTGAATCTGATTTGATATTTTTGACTACAGAAGAATGTGGTTTGGTATGTTTATACAGTGTGGAGAGATTTCATTTAAATACTGGATACCTGGAACAGAAGTCAAGTATGGGCATTGAAGAGAGAGCCATTTGAGACCAGAATTGGTTTTATAGCTTCATGATGATGATTATAGATATCACCAGTATAATAAATGCTAACGCCATACTGAGTGTTATATAAAATATCGATTTAATTATGATTTTTCATTTAAGTATTATGTTACATTATGGAATATTCATAGTTTTACTGTTAGGTTAATCAGTATCTAAGAAAAGGAAGGTTTCTTTGGGGGGAGGGGAAGTGGAAAAGTTATGTAGTACTTGTTAGTACCAAGCCATTAATAGTGTATGTGCATAGAACTAGAAAAGTGCAGTAATGTACTCATTTGTGTGAGTTCACTGTGGGCGTGTTCTTTTGCTACTGGTGTTATCAGATAAAATAGAGAAAGTATTAATCATTGAAATCATTCTAATTTTACAGAGTATAATATGAATTTTAATATAAAATTAGGAGTATTTGAGTTTTAAATTTCTGTAAATAAGGACATATTTCAAAGAAGGGGAACATAGTTTTAGTAAATGAAAGCGTTATTACATAAATGAATAAAAAAATTAATGTACTGTTATCATATGCCATTCAAGCCCCAATTTACCTTTAGAGATCTGATATTTTGAGAGAAGTAGGGGATTTAGGTAGCTGTAGTATGTGAGGAACGTGTTTTATAACCAAACTTTATTTTATTCTGAAAAGGGATGTAATAATAATTAAGTATAGCTTGAAAAATGATGTCCAAATCAATTTTGTACCATTGCAACAGAGCAAAAATATATTGCCCATAATAATGTGAAAATTACTACTGAAAATTCTACTGAAAATATATGACAGACATGTAAGGAAAATGAAATTATTGAGTGCTCTGTGGGAGATACAAGGTGGAAACACAATATTTTGTTAAACTCTGAGTCATATTCAAGCTGTTCATCCATCACACTGATGAGAATATAGCATAAGTGGTAAACATGAAGCATGCAGAAAATGTTAGACCTTTATATCCTGAAGACAAACCTATTAATATGTTTATAGAATATTTGCAAGTTTCTTTACCTACAGTAAAAAAACCAGGGTCTCAATTTTCAGGGGCTCATATTGTGGCTCCATCAGATATGATGGATGGACGAATTGGTGCAATTAAAAGAAGCCTCATTGATTATGGACTTGGGAATCGTGTCAGTGTATTGTCTTATGCTGCCAAGTTTGCTTCCGGTTTCTATGGTCCATTCCGAGATGTCACTAAGTCTGCACCTGTGTTTAGTGATCGGAAATGTTATCAGCTTCCACCTGGGAGCAAAGGACTTGCTACTCGAGCTGTTGTAAGTAAAGTTCTTAATCTGCATATAAATATAATGTTGTTTAATGGTTTCCCAGAAGTCTGGAGAAACTTTAATAATGAGGACTTTTAAATTTGTGCTCTTCACCAAATATTATTTGTTAAAAAAAGTAAAGCTATCCCTGTAACAGGCCGTGAAGGCCCATAGGGTTGTGAGATGTTGAGGGTCCCACATTATCTACACAATCGGCTCAAAGATGGCGGCAAGGTTGTCATCCTTACGCGCTGGCCGCGCTTTACTCCCCAGGAAAATTATTTAATTAATTCCTGGTACTCATTTCTGTTAGAGGCTGAGTCAACCCCAGCGTCATAGTGCAGCCGGAAGGAATAGGTCAATTGAAAAAAATCCAATGACCTCATCAGGACTTGAACTCGTGACCTTCCGGCTTGTAGCGTAGTGTCTCAACTAACTACGCTACCACATGCACCCAATATTTGGTTGATGAATAAAATGCCAGAGAGGCTGATATGGGCAGGACATGTAGAACATATGGGGAGATGGAAAATGCATAAACTGCTTTTATTGGTATAATGTAAAGGAAATTTTATGAATTAAATAATTGAATTTCAGTAACTGATTATTTGGTTTTTATATAAATTTAATAAAGTTTGATCAAAGCTTGTAAAATTGTTCAGTGAGTTTGATTTGTTTCATTTTTGGTCCGTCACACTAACAGTGTGACGAGTCCATCCAATGTGACTCACTTTTCTCACTTTATGATTCACTAGCCTTACATGTTTCGATCCATTTGGATCATCTTCAGAGGCACCAAACACTTTTTAGAAACCACTATCACAACAGTTGTCATATCAATTACACATGTATTGCCAAGTACACAATGTTCCATCTATCAGTCACAGTAGCCTTTCTGGTTATAGAAATACAGTAGAACTTGGTTATAACATCATCAAAGGGACCTAAAAATGGTGTCGTTATAAACGAATGTCGTTGTAACCGAAATGGGCACTTCCACAGTAGCCTTATGTTAGTCACGTAAAAATCTACCAAAAACCGAGTTAAAATGTTGCATTTTTTAGTGAAATACGTAGCTAAGTACAGACTAAGGTAACATTAACGTGGAATTGCCCAAATGTGTAATATCAAAGACATATTACAGCGCTTTTCACTGACAATACACACAATATTTCACGAATCACTTCTTTCCCTTCAATACTTAAAACTTTCCTTTTCATTGCCATGTTTTCGCTACTGCACTTCTCTGGGTTTAGGCAGGAACACTATAGGGTAAGAAGACAATGTGAGGTCCTGTTAGACGAGATTCTAGGAAAGGAATGCAGTTAACAACCTGCCGCGTCCTCTTGCACTATTCACGCAGTCCCACCCCACACCTTTGTTTTCGCATAAAACCCACGCTCCTCTTGCAGCCCGCGGTCGTATTCTTCCAGGACAGTCACGTCAGCAAGTAGAGAAAGTGAGGGTGGGCAGACACATCGAACTTTCCCACGATATCAGAGAAATTCAGGAATGAAAATGACGTTACATACGAGGTTGATGCATTTGTGCATGTCGTACTAAGCAAGGTATAAAAACAGTTGCTTTATGAGGAATTAGTTTGTACCATTGAATATTTGACGCAATAGACAAGGTGTCGCAGAAACCGATGTTGCTATAACCAAGTTTTACTGTATTTAAAGTTGTTTTTAAAAACTTTGATCAAAATTAAAATTCATAAACCTTACGGTTTGTGTCAATAACCCCTGTTGTCTCTCTTCTAGGTGGCTGATGTTGTGCTGCCTATGTAACTTGAGTAAGGAGATTCTTAATATAGTCCATTATGATTTCTGAAGATGATCCAAATGGATCGAAACATGTAAGGCTAGTGAATCATAAAGTGAGAAAACTGAAATAGTCACACCAGATGGACTTGTCTTTTATAATTTATAATTGTTCAGTGAGTGTTTTAATTATCTGTGGAATGTCCACTATAAATAGTATAGTATAGTCTTACAACTTACAGTGTATCAGAATTCCCTGTACTATGGTGATGTTAGTTTAAGACTAGCAGTTAATGAAAAATTAAGTCATGAAGTTTACAAGATCACTGCCAAAATGCATGTGTATGCTAGACCATGAGTTAAGTTTCCTGAATTAAAAAATGATCATTTATTTTAGCAGAATTTCTCTACAGATTTAGAAAATTTATACATAGTGCTCATGTGATGTTCATACCTTGTTGAACACCTGAAATGTGACTGACTTAATGTAGATTACTATGAGAAAAGGACTTGTGAGGGGGGGGGATAGTATGTTTTGCATGGTAGGTAAGGCTAGCACTGTATTCTAGCAGTCATTACTTAAAGTTAAGAGTTTTGAAAATGAGAGAACACAATGTTTATTTATGCCCTGTGACATCAGACACTTCAGAATGGGAGTTTGTTATTCCTTAGGTTGGCTGTTTTAGTATCGCTTCTAAGGATTGATGGTAGCAGTACACGATCCAAGATTAGAGAATGCAGATTTTTAAACAAAACTATTTATCCTTATGCCACTCTTACAAATGAAATTGTTAGATTAAGTTCTGGTATAGGTGGCTAAAAAGTATAAAATTTGGATTATTAAAATATTTGAACTAGGCAGCATCATAACACCAATGTGGCTGTTTATGTATTATGGGTTTTTAAGTGTGCCTGTGTTTCGTGCACTGCTGCAGATATAGCCCCTGTTGAAGAATTCTGTCTTCTAGGATGTGACATTCCTTTGTAGCTTTGGTGCACTTCCATCAGACTACACCAAATCACATCCCAGAAGATAGTAATCTTCATTATCAGTGCCTTTAGAATCTCAAATCTCACATAGTTCCCATTGCTTAGAATGATCCTTTGCATAAGAAATTTTCTTATAAACCCCTTGTGAATGTCAGGATGGCTTTTTAATTGTTGAATAATTCTTTCGTACTTCTAATTCAGACAGACATGATTCTTCGTTAATTTGTCATTTGCATTAGTCTTTGAAAACCCCATTTTAACCACAAAAAGTAATCTCTGAACTTCATTATTGTGTTACAGAGCAGTTATTCATCATATAACCACAGAGGAAATGTGTGCATACACCCATATGTGTCAGTGTATGTGTATATTTTTTCGCAGTAAAATTAAATCATGTTGCCATTCCAAACTTTCATTGCCCTGTAGGTCATTAGACAAATGAATCTTCATGATCTCTCTGGTATGTTATTTTCAGTTGCGAGATGTAACTGAAGGGTGTGATATGTTGATGGTGAAACCCGGACTTGCTTATCTGGATATTGTCAAGCAGACCAAAGATGCACATCCAGAATACCCATTGTTTGTGTATCAGGTAAGCACAGTTCATTTCTTGATTTTGTATGAGTAAAATTACTATATGAAGTTGCCTGGTGCAGAGTAATCTGAGGATATAAATTATGTTAAAATTGGTTTTAAAAGTAATTTGAAAGGTAAAGAGATGTGTTGTGCCCTTATTTTTCGTGATTAATACTTTCACTAATTTAGGTATCCGGTGAGTATGCAATGTTATACCATGCTGCTAAAGCTGGTGCCATTGATCTTCGAGGTGTTCTGGAAGAAGTCTTACTTTCAATGAGGAGAGCTGGTAAGTTCATTGCCAACATAAAGAAAATTCATATGTTCTAGGCACGTGTCATGATGCATGTTAGATATTAGTATGTTACCATATGTAAATTTTACTGCATCCCAATACTATCAAATCAGTTCATTTTAGATTCGATTTATACATTATATTATCATGATTTATGGGTGCCTATCAAAAGGGGTTTTGGAATAGATCTTGGATTTATTGACCACATTAACACACTATTCATAGTTGCACTTTACAGATCACTGACTCACATGAACTAGTGTCCTCAGTCTATTGCATTGGCAAGGCAACAGATTTTGACACCGGAATTCTACATTTTCGCTGAATTACACACTTCAGATATCACACATAGTCTTCTTTCTACAGCTGTACTCTTCAACTTAATCTTTTCATTACAGCCTCCAGTGCAGAACTCTTCTCAACTGTAGCACCATCTTTTCTCAGCCTTTTGTAAATCTCAACTGAACTAGTTGCCCCAATTCTTTTCTTATAATTCCTTGGCATGGGCCATGTAGACAACACCTCATTTCCCCCCGTTGCTGTGGGAACATGTTTACTGAGCAGTAACTCTGTTGTTGTAGAGGTGTGTTTACCACACCATTGCACAGCAACGTCCGCCATCCGGTTGTTTGCTTCGAGGTCCTTGCCCAGCAATGGGTCTATATGCCACAGTATTGTAACGTGTTTTTTGTCACTGAAGACACCGTTCAGATTGTTAATTGGTTTATTTAACAACCTACAAGTCTTGGCTACAATTAATTATCACAATGTTACAGGTTTACACATTTTACAAACCCTACACACAAATCTCTTCACACTGTCCTCAGTAGTCTACATGTATTCACAGTACAATACGAGAGCTATACCAGTGTCACTGTATCACACACTCCCAATTATTTCTCAGTTATCACAAACTATCACTGATTATCACACATGCGTCCGGTTCTTCTTTCTGCGACTGCTGCTAGATTCCAACTGTCTTCGGCGGCTGCTACATTTTAACTGTCTCCGGTGACGGCTACATTTCAACTCGACTCAACTCACTCAACTGTCTTCGGCGGCTGCTACACTTTAACTGTCTTCGTAGGCAGTGTACTTCTCTTATAAACCTTCAGCTGGACAATGGGAAAACGCCTTGCTTCCTTGTTGCCTAGTCGCGTGTGTACCGGCGTTGCTGGGCTTCACTGCCAGGAGTTGTTTACGGCTATGTAGCAACTGCGGCGTCCCGTGTTACATCACCGTTGGTGGGGTAGGGGAAGGAGTGTTGATTTGCCTGTTGCCGTAGTAACGACAGTGCTCCGATGCCGCCACGTCACCGCTGGGGAGGGAGCGGGTGTCCTCCATAGCGCAACATGTCACAGTATCATAGATTTTCAGAATGTCAGAACCAATTTAATGTTACTACATTGTAAAGCATTAGGTATGCTGAAGACTTTAAAGGACAGATAAAGCACAATAAACCACTGTAGGACGAGGTGCAAGGGCAGTGAAAGCCACCCCTGTACATTCATTATAGGACAGATAAATACATTCTGAAGTGCAGTATCTAAATGCCACATGCCTCTGTTATGACTTTACTCATTCTTAGGTGTTAATGTTAGAAGGAGCTGAGTGATCAGCTGTGTGTTCCAGAAATAGTAATAGACACTTAGTGTGTATTGGACAGGAGGCTGGAAAGCCAGGTATCATTGTGATTAAACTCTAGCTGTATTTTTCTAATGTGCCATATTTCTAACCATGATTTTGTTGCAATACATGTATAGGAAGTCCTATGGTTCTTATTTGCAGGTAGGAAAAGTCAGATTAACAGGACTGGCTTTTAATAACCATAGAATAAGTAATACATTATGAATATTACTTGTACATATGATATGTTATTATCTCCACATAAGAGACAAATGGAGCAATGTCCCATCTATGGAGGTTCTACATTTATTTTAGATAATTTTCTAACCAATTCTTGATGATAATAAAGGCCAAAACATCTAGGATTGTATGCAATAATTTTAATAAATCGTAAATTGTATGTGATGGTTTAAATAATACAAATGTAGATAATTGCTCAATACAGTGGTAAAATGGATTTTACATCCAAAAAGTTAGCTTAATGTTTGTTTCTCTCCATTTTGAAGTTTCTGTATCACTTGTAATATTTACAATTCTGTTCTTTATTTCAGGTGCTGACTGCATTATCACATACTTCACACCAATTATATTAGATTGGTTACAAGTGAAAAGTAAATATTAACTATATATATATACATACATATATCCATACGTATATATACAGACATACACAGGGCTTTTTTCTGCCAGTATGCATACCAGCAAACAACCGGTCTGGTCTTGAAAACTTGTCAAAAGTTATTTATTTTGACCCAGAGCTGAAACCAAGTGTGAGAATACCAGGAAACATATTTTTTAAAAAAGCACTGTCTGTGTGTGTGAATAAACGTAAATGAGGTGTGATTAGAATATTTATGGACTGATTGTGAGGTGTTACTACCACAGTACAGAATTCCTCTTTTAGACGATTTTTTTTATTTCTAGTGGGGTGGGACTAAGTCCCTTGTATTGTGACCACCTCTGGCCTATTGTACCAGCCCAAGATGATAGGTGAGGGTGATTGTGGAGCAGTTAGTGAAAATTGGCATGGAAAACCGAAGTACTCGGAGAAAACCTGCCCCAGCACCACTTTGTCCACCACAAATCCCACTTGACCAGACCCAGGATCGAACACAGGCCGCCGCGGTGGGAAGCCAGCGACTAACTGCTTGATCTATGGCGTGGCCTTTAGATGATGATAGAATACATTCTGATCTGTTGAATCAAATTCTAGAATATAGAAGTCTGAAGTGACTTGTTGTGAAGAGATGTGCTGGCAGTGGTTCTTATTTTGAAACAGTTAGGCTTTAAAGAACAGTGACTGTGCATGAAGTTCTATTTTAAACTAGATACAGGTTCTATAGAAATTTCTGTCCTGCTTTTTATGTGGGGGGAAAATGAAAAGAGCTAAATCGTTTGATTGTTCTTTTATAATTTCAAAATGGAATGACTTCGGTAGAAAATTTATACACAAATGTTCTGTGGCAACTACAGGAAGATGTGCAGTGAGAACATGCTAAGAAATTGCGCCCTGAAAATATTTTTTTTTTCCCACCATGTCAGTGTTCTTGCTCACCCTACTTTTTCTGTAAGAAACTTCTGGCATGCATGTCTGTTCTACAGATCTATTTCCATGTGGACTTTTCCTGTATGAAAAATTCTAGTACCCAAGTGGAACAAATTTGATTATATTGGTATAATTAAAAAGCAATTACAAGAGAAAAGGGAACTATATAAAAGGTGACAACATGGAATAGCCACTAAATGTGCTAAATATGAAAGGGAATTCAGTTAGGAAATTTTTATGACACCTGATATAGTTTTCTGCATAGCAGGTGAATATTTGTACTTTGTTTGTATAACATGATCTCCTATGTTACTTCTGCAATGTCAGTCATGACATGTCCAGTGAGAGGAACATGGTAATGAACCTTCATATTCTATAAATAGAAGCAAATCTGTTGACCACCTGAGTAGCTATCATCTTGTCAAGTACTCCTGAAGTTAATTTTGCGAAGTGAATTTGTGTACAGACCTTTTTAATGGTTCATGTTAAGAGTTGTCTTTTATGAGCTCTCTTTCCAATTGCAAGCTCAACAAAAGGTCTCAAAATTTTGCATAATATCACAGTGCTGTAGTGTCTTCCTTTTTGATTGTAGTTCTTATTCAAGTGCCAGTTCATGTAAGGGTAAATGCTGTTTGTCATGTTAAGTACAGTAAAACTTGGTTATAGCAACATCGGTTTCTGCGACANAAATTTTAACTATAAATTCACAGAGATTTATTTAAAAACTTATACGTGTACATACCCTCACTCCTATTATTTGTGACAAACAAAAGAATGTACAATTTAAATACTGACATCCATAACATAAATATGAGGCAAAAACTCAAGTTCCTCCAACATTCAGAAAGCCTGTCTCTGTATCAGAATGGAGTTAACTCCTTGGCATCAAAGTGTTCAATAGCCTCCCTCAAAGTCTCAAAAAATAACTGGTAATATTAAGCAATTCAAAACAGCACTGAAACTCCTTCTACTCCATAGGTGAATATTTCACTGTAAACAAACAGTAACTAGTCTCAATTCTAAGCTACAGTGTATTCTCAAGCATGTTACTGTACCATTTTGCTTATTTGCAGACTGTGCTGTATGTAACCAATTAGCATGGTAATATTAATACTATATTATAATCTTATTAATTTTTCAAGCAAAACTATTATTGTACAGATATTATGTATCTGTACTTGATTTATTCCATATCCTATGGTGTCAACCTGTACTTAGATTTATGGAACATAAATTCAGATTCAAATGAATAAACTACAAGGATGTGAGCATGCATGACAACAATATTTACATGTTGTTTACCCATATATATATATATATATATATATGGCATTTGAACCTTCAATCATGAGTTCAGGGGTTCTCTGGTAGGCTGCACAGTGTGATTCTCTCTCTATGTTATCTGAAATTATGGATCACTTAATGGAGCTGCTACTTACAGAAACTAATTTGTAAGATGTGAACTACCCTTACATGAAACATTTCATCACTGTTGAAGTTTCTGTTATTTTTAGAGAGCACTATCCTCTGGAACTGCTAAATGCTACTTTAATTACAGTCATGTATCTCAAAACTACATTTATGTTGGCAAAACAATATATTAAAGTTAATAGTTATAACTGAAGTACAGATATTGGTATAACTGTTAGAATATTGGGTTTTATAATTGTAATAATAAATTTTATGAGGAGTATATATATTATTTTTTAAATACATGTTGTGACAAATAAATTGTATTTTTTGAATGGTTTTCTTTTGACTTGGCCAGTCTGGCATGGAGGCTCCTGAATGCAAGTTTATGTACAGACTGCTACAATATGGTTACAATGTACTGATAGGTTAAAACACATTCCTGAGCACAGAATATATCATATGAAATGGAATAAACAAGATTCCCTAATTGTATGAGAAATGTGCAGTACGAAGCTTGCTGTCATCTGGATTGTGGCTTGTTCACAACTTCTTGAAGGTGGAGGTAGCACATTTCTCTGACACATTTATACCCATCTACCAAACTATGTGACATCATGTCTCAGAAAACAGCAATCTTCACAGTTGCTGCCATGAGAATCTCTGATCTCATACAGTGTACAATAAAAGTCTGGGATTGAACTTTCTGTTGTGCTTGGAACAAAATGACAAGCTAACATAGCTTGTGTGAAACATCTAGAAGTGAAGTATACATTTCTGTACATGATTGTTTTTATTGTTGTTACTGCTGATGACAATGGAACAGGTCGATAGGCAGTAGGTGCAATACTGTTTCATTAAAGTCTTGTTTCTAAGGAAATTTTCAAACAGATTTATTTGCTGCCATGTGATCATGAGTCAAGGAGTTCGAATGACGTGTACAACTCTAGTAAGCTCAGAACATATCAGAGTTGTTCCAATATGTACTGCAGGATATGCATGAAAATATTAGCTGTGTTTATGCCTGTACTTCAGTCATAAGACATATGACTGCAGATAAAATTACTGACAGATGGAATATTTGTCTACCAGTTGGTTGCGAAACTACTGAATGTAGCTCAAAAGAAATGCCAGAAAGCAATGTGAAGAATGCCTGCTGTGTCGCTAGGAAGAAGGAAATTGCCTTTTTCAAAGGGTAACAATTTGAGACTACTGAACATTAACACTCCACCTTAGAAAGTAATTCAGGCCATTTACAGATAAAGTAATGGTTACTATTTTTGGACTTTTTGGAGTTATTCATATTAATTTGCTGGCAGGTGATACCAAAAGTGGCTACTGAATATCTATTAAATGCAATTAGGAATATGATACAGACTTGTCATTTTCAAATTGAAGGATGCTGTTGCTGAATTTGGAAATGAAGTCAAATCTAATGTCACCTACCTAATTAACCTGACATCAACTTTACCGAATCAAAAATAATAGATTAAAAATCAGCAAGAAATAAAGTGAATGTACACATATAAGCTAATGTGGATGCAACTGCAGCAAAGTAGCTGTGGCCTCAGTCATAACTGCAGCAAAGTAGCTGTGGCCTCAGTCATGTATGACTCCCTTACAGATGCCAAAATCACACTTACAGCCAATGTTCTTCAAATACAAATGGGAATATGACAACACTGAAGCCACATGACATCAATATTATGACAAGAGCCTAACAAGAGATGGCATCCCTTCCTGGGCAATGACACGATAAACAGACTGTTACATCATAAAAGAAGTTAGACATTGCTACAAAATGAATAAACACACAGCAGAGCAAAAGTTGAAGATGGTGCTTTCTATGCTATCCAACCCAAGGTTATATAACGAGCCCTCTGGGGCCCAAGAAAGACTGCGCTGGCAAGGCCAGCAGCATGTACAAATGGCAGACCCACCCAAACAAGACCATAACTGTCAAATAGTAATAGATATCTCGACACCCAAGGCTTACTGACTGACTATCCGCCAGTTGCAATGTGACTTTGACTTTTCCTGAATTTCTTCTTAACTGAGTTCATATTGTTGCGTGTTACCTATGTAATGTGTCTCTTAGATAACGCGACGAATAAATTCACGCAAGTCTCAGATTCAGTGAATCTTTATTGGACACACAAGTACCATTATCATCCACATATAACGTCGTCAAACGTTTCTTGCAACTCCATTATAGTTACTTCTTGCAGTGCTAATCTCGATGAACTCTTGTATTCCCTTTGTTGGATTCGAGCTTGCTTCTGCTCTACTTGGGGCTACCCTAAGAACTGACTGGTCTCTTGTCGAAGCGGGCTTTTACTAGTGACATTCAAAAATGATTGACACTAGATGTTTTTTCATCACAGCAACCATTTACTGGAACAAAGTACATACAGATTATATTAGAGGTATTCCCCGCCAATGTCTATGCACCTTTGCCGCGGTTCTGGCAGTTTCCGTATTTGCACAGCAAACCAGACCTTGGGGGGGGGGTATCCCGGTGCCAGTGCTGGACAACTGCCTGAAGCTCGTCGTTGGAGGTGAACCGTCTTTCATTGCATCGAATAGAGCGTAGTCGCTAGGGGCAAGATCAGGCAAGTATGGCGCATGAGGCAGCACGTGTACCCTAGAGCACCCAGGGCGGCAATGGTCTGCCGACTGCCATGACGCTGTGCACTGTCATGTTGGAAAAGAATGGGGCACCCGTTGAGCACCGACCATCTTCAAGTCCTGATGGATGACGGTGTGCAGTGCTCTGCGCGACAAACCTGTTGCGTTCTCTAGTTCATCGAAAGTGATGCGCCTGTTCTGCAGTATCAAGTCTGACGCGCTGGGTGCTGTCTGGTGTGCATGCTGTTGCTGGACGCTCACTTCTTTTGCTTTTTTCCGCACAGTCCTTGCCGTCTTCGAACTCTGCTATCCAGCGAAACACGGTTCTGCAACTTGGTGCTGCTTCCCCACATATGGCTGCTAACCTCGTGTGAATGTGTGAAGCAGCCACTCCTTCCCCCCAGAGAAACCATGTCCACCGTTGCCCATGATCGTCTGCTTCCATGTTGTCTGAGCGTTGTCCACAACTGCACCTGCACACCGCCACGAATGACGCAGCACTGTTCGACTTACGCGCAGTAGAATGGTCATCTCGTGGATATTGTTTTTATAAAGTTTCTCCCGTGTGAGACAAACACTAATCAATTATAATCACATAATTCATTAATAATCGGTTTTGGGAATCCCTACTGTGCAGTTTTTCTTTCTTTTTTCCAGCAACAAAGATAATAATTGTTTTTCTTCTTTGAAATAACCTAATTCTGGTTATTTCAAAGAGGGCGTCCTTTTTATCACTGTATCGTATTCAGCTGTGTTAACAGATGGCGATAGTGTGTGCTATAGTGATTTCGTAAGGCAGATTATCCGTAGCGCTATAATTATTTGTAATTACCAGTTACAACCATTTAACAAATCCAATTACCAATCCAAACCACTAACATCACTAGGCACTAACATATGACGGGTTTTAGCGTGTTATTTGTGGCAGCAAACCTACTTTGTAATCCGTGGTGGCCAGGATTTGTGCGATATGTTCCATCTACGTAAATTTATTTTCTCGTCTGTAGTACGAATAATTAGGAAGTTGATAGTTCATATTCACAAAAATAGTGAATAAAATACCCAGAGTTAATAATTTTGTGAATAACCAATATAATGGGTTGGACTGTCATTGTAACATTGTACCAAAATCCTAAACTTTCTCATCATGAAATTTCATTCATTTGATATATTGTACTCCAAATTTTACAAACGCTATAATTAATAATTATGTTAGAATTTTTGCACTGAAGTATCTTCTGGTTATTGTCAGATTGTCCGTACTAAATTTTTGGTGTAGGATAATTATTTTGGATATGCTTTAAAATGATATACTAAGGAGTATCGAGCTCCATGCCGGACATAACGTCAACGACGTCACCAGTCTCGATAGCCACTAATCAAGGTAGACTGGGTGACGTGAATAGTCCAGTTGCGACGTGAGTAAACGAAATAAGTAGTTAATAATTTTAACGATTTTTTTGTATGTTTAATTAGGGTTACCACCTATTAAAATTGGAAAGACGTTTCTATGGTCGTTATAGAATCTTGTTTGTATTCTAAATTTTGCTTTATGTATAATGTAGTAGCGTATGTAATAAAATTTTCCTGAAGAAAGCAAACATCTGTGAGTTTGTTTCCTGCATAAACTTGCTGCTTTAGCTCGAATGACGGAATTTATGGTGTTGTGTTATATAGCCTTAGGATTTCGCCTGTATTTGAAAATTTTTTCTATTCAAATATTTCACATTTTGAACTTTGGAAATGTCAAGATGTGAAGTTTGACAGTACTTATTTAATTTATAGTAGGTAAATTTGCCTTCGTATTGTCGCGGAAGCATCATTTTATATATTGTAAACATTATGTTTATATTAGTGTAACAACCGTGTTTTTTTTGAGGGGGGGAAGGGGGTGATATTTTATGTATTGTGGCTACAGAATTTCTGCTCCTGTTGTTTGTCCCCATTTTCTGTTGGATTCGTACAGTATGACTGGCAGTTTATCTGTCTTAAATTGTAGGAATTAATGGCATGAGTAAACATCTTCAGATTCAATGATGATGTGTCATACTGACATGCTGCAGTCTTTTACTGTTCTTCTGGTTACAAAATTTAGGTTTATGGTGTTGGACAAATTCTGTGCACTGTCATCACACATTGTAAAATATCTATGATATAGTTTCAGACTGCTGTTATGTAACTTTCCTGGCTCATGTAGAAGTATGTCAAGTTGAGACTGACCATTTTGTTCTATTTTTGAGGCTTGTCTGAATCACGGCAGAGGAGTATTGAAATGCTACATTCATTGTGAAGTATTAAATGCCAGAGTTACTTTATATATTTACATTTTTTTCATCTGCTGTATAAGTGCTTTCTTGTCACCAAAATGTAGGGCAAAATCATGACATGAAGATAGGAAACAGGTGTTTTGAAAATGTGTCACAGTTCAGATATTTGGGAATGATGATAACAAATCAAAACCTGATTCAGGAGGAAATTAAGAGGAGATTGAACTCAGGTAATGCTTGTTACCATTCAGCCCAGAACCTTTTGTCTTCTCATCTCTTGTCCAAAAACAAAAATTAGAATGTACAAAACTATAATTTTGCCTGTGGTTCTGTATGGGTGTGAAACTTGGTCTCTGACAAGAAATAAGAAACATAGACTGAGGGTGTGTGAGAACAGGTTGTTGAGAATATTTGGACCAAAGGGAGATGAAGTGACAGGAGGTTGGAGAAAACTACATAATGAGGAGTTTCATGACTTGTACCCTTCTCCAAGTATAATTAGAATGATCAAGTCAAGGAGGATGAGGTGGGCAGGTCATGCAGCATGAATGGGGGAGATGAATGCATATAGGATAGTGGTGGGAAAGCCAGAAGGAAAGAGACCACAGGGAAGACCAAGGCATAGGTGGGTGGTCAGTATTAAAATGGATCTTAGATAAGATGGGATGGTATAGATTGGATTTATCTGGCTCAGGATAAGGACCAGTGGAGGGCTCTTGTGAACATGCTAATGAACCTTCAGGTTCCATAAAATGCTGGGAAATTCTTGAGTAGCTGCAGAGTTGGCTGCTCCTCCAGAAGGGCTCAGCTCCTTGAGTAAGTAAGTATAAGTGCTAGAAAAAACAGGAGAGAAGTAAATGGTTTTGGAAGTGTGTTTTGTGTACCTAGGCCATGTATTTCTTCTTTGAACTTCAGTCTCTTGTTTTAGACTTGTGTCTGCAGTGTGGAATGATTTCTTGTTCCCACTTCATACAGCCAGTATGAAGAAAAATAATATTAAGCAATAACAGGGAAGGGCACCGCAAAACAACAGTAAACAACAGATGAAGAAACAGACCAGTTAAGAATGCCAAATGTTGTAGTGTTGAATGGAATATCAGTTTCGGTCAGAACTTTGGCACTAATTTTATCTTAATGTTACTCCCCTCACATCAACAATGACAATGCAAATGATAGTGTATCAATTTATGGAATAGTACAACACAGGTGACCACCTGAGAATGTCCGCATTACCACACAGTGATCAGAACATGCCATATTATGTTCTAATTGATTCCATATCCATTGTGAGCCAAAAGTCCCTGTACACTTATTGCAGATGATGAGTATATTCAGACAGTCCCTATACAGGGTGATTCAGAAAGATGGACACAATTTCAATTGGCTATATTTCCTGAATTATATGTTGCATTTGAATTCTGTAAATTACATTTGATTATACATAAAGGAAGTTCATAGATGTTCAATGTGCCCCCCTCCGGCTGCACGGATAACATCAAGACGGTAGCTGAATTCATCCCACACTCGATGACAAATATCTTGCGTCACTGAGTTCACAGCAGCTGTGATACGGTTTCTTAGGTCATTCAGATTTGTGGGAAGAGGTGGTACGTAAACTGCATTTTTCACGAATCCCCACAGGAAAGAGTTGCAGGGTGTGAGATCAGGAGACCTCGGTGACCAGAACTGAAATGCCAGGTCTTCATTCCCCATGCGACCTATCCATCGTTGAGGTAGAGATTCATTCAGGTGCCATTGAGGTGGAGCTCCGTCCTGCTGGAAAATGTAATCTCCTGAATTAGAGACTTTACAACATCCTCTTTCAAATGTACTTTACAGAATTCAAATGCAACATACAGTTCAGGAAATATAGCCAACTGAAATTGTGTCCATCTTTCTGAATCACTCTGTACATTACTTAAGTTACAGCATATGTTGGAAATGGCACCCACATGCTTGTAAACAACCATATGGACATATTGTTTGCAAATACGGACAACAGTTGAATCAGAGGGATGATCCTGATGAAATTGTGATAATTTTCTTAATTTCAAGGAGAGTGAGGATTTTATTTTTAAACTGTCCCTTTCATTGCCTGACGCTGTGTCGACAGTGGCATTGCGCGCCATGTCACAGTGCAGAGGGGGGGGGGATGGAGCGCTGACTCACCCGCCACGTCACTGCTGGGTAGGGAGGGGTTGTCCTCCATTGCGCAACATGTCACACTATATATATACACTGCCGTCCAAAAAGTATCCGACTTTATTTTTTTCCACTGTAAGTAATGGCCAAAGGGATGGGGAAGCTGAATGTAGTGGTAGAAGGGACTTAATGTGCATGCGTGATTTTTCTCTAACTTGCAACACTGCCGGATGCTTCTGTAGCTGCCAGATAGCGAAGTAGTGTAACACGTGTTTGTCTCGTTCTCATTTCCCTCAAGATGACAGAACACCTGGAGCAGCGATACTGCATCAAGTTTTGTCAGAAACTTTTGGATACCCAAGGGGAAACAATCCACAAAATTAAGCAGGCTTTTGGCAATGATGCAATGGGGTCACTCAAGATAAAGAGTGGTTCAGCCGCTTTAAAGATGGCTGTATGTAGGCATACAGTGACCAGCATTCCGGGAGACCGTCAGTGAGCTGAAATGCAGATGTCATTGAAAAAATGCGGACACTGATCATGGAGGAATGTCGTTTGACCATCTGGGAAGTTGCTGATGAGGTTGGGCTCAGCAGAGGTTCCACAAACACAATTTTAACTGGGGATTTGGGCATGCGAAGAGTGGTGGAAAAATTTGTGCCCAAGCTGCTTTCGCTGGAGCAGCAACAACTCCTTCTTGAGGTCGCGCAGGACATGCTGGAGTGCGCCAGCAGAGATCCTGAGTTCCTGAAGACTGTGATCACTGGTGACGAGTCGTGGGTGTATGGATATGACCCGAAAACCAAGGTCCGGCATCACAGTGAAACCATCCAACATCCCCAAGGCCCAAAATAGCATGATAGGTTTGGAGCAATGTGAAGGTGATGCTAACTGTTTTTTTTTATTACCGAGGTGTTCTGCATCATGAGTACGCACCACTGGGCCAAACTGTCAGTAAGGAGTACTACCAAGAAGTCCTTAGCCATTTTCATAATGCATTTCGGCGCAAGAGACCGGAGCTGTGGGATGCACACACCTGGCAGCTGTATCATGACAACGCCCAGCTTATTCAGCACACATGATCCAGGGTTTCCTGTCCAAGCATGGCATTTCTGCAGGTTCGCCAGGCTCCGTACTCTCCTGACATGGCTCCTTGTGATTTCTGGCTGTTCCCGAGATTGAAGACACCGCCAAAAGGCTGCCGTTTTGACAGCTGCGAGGACATCATGCAGAATGTGACAGTGCAGCTGTATGCCATCCCAAAAGAAGCCTTCCAAAATTGCTTTCAGTGATGGAAGGACTGCTGGGCTAAATGTGTGGAGTCACAAGGGGCCTACTTTGAAGGGGATTCGGTATTGTAACCACCCAGATACAGAACTTTGCTTTCCCAGCCCAAGGTCGGATACTTTTTGGACAGTAAATTAGATATGATGTATGTAGTTAACTTGAACTGTTGTGAAAGCAACTCTGTTTCTGTAGACTATCTTTGTATATATCGCAATGTATATGCTGAAGTTCTTGCTTCTTTTGATACCTGATTTTGTTTTGATTGCTTGCATCCTGTTCTTTCACAGACTGGAGACAAATGCTTCCTAATGACTGCCCCCACTGCAAACAACCATTCTTGGTTCAATGCAAAGAATGAAGGTCCAGGACACCAAGAGGTTGCACACAACCCTCATCTATATAACAGAAACTTGCCACAACATGTAGGTCCTCCCAGTGATGTAAGCAGATTTACATAAATATGGTCTTTCTTTTCTTGTATATCTGATCAAAGGAAAAAGTTTAGTCTGACTGTTAAAGAAAGTGTAGCATGATTGTAAATAAAGTGACCAAATCAGTGTATTATTAAGAGTTCATCTGATAAAATAGAAAGGCACATTAATTTCTTAAGGTCTGAAGGTTTACCATGAATCTGAAATTAATATTGTTGTGTGTTTTAGCAATGTTAGCAGTTTTACTTGCATCAGTGAGGTAAATAAATATTAGTTGAATGCAGTGCAGCAGTGAGAAAATGGATGGATGATATTAGTTCCTACTTTTCCACCCTTTTATTTTTCTGAAGTAACTCACCATACATTCAAACTGAAATGTTTTTCAGTGTCCAAAAAATTAAATGTAATCTGTTCTGTAACTGAAATTATGTGTTTTTATTTTCACTTTTCTTCATTGGAAAAGAACCACGCTTGTGTCATCACTATACTGTCCTTGCATTCCCTCTTCAAACTTTAATGTAATTTGCCTGTTTTTATAAAATTTTGTATGAATTTCATGCCATTGAAAGTCACCCCCAACCATTTTTTTTTTAATTTCCTAGAATCAGTAATAACTTGGCATATGTAGAAACTTGTGAGGTGGAATGACACAGATGACACTGTAAGAGCATGAAGTCATATTTGGTTATAGATAATGGAAAAATATGCAAATTCTGTTGTAATAGAGCTCAAAGACATGGGAGATGAAACTAATTTCCTGTATATCTTGTGGTTTTGTGTTTTGAAATGTAATGCATTGGTAAGAGCTCATTTCTAACTTATCTTATGTTAAATTTAACGAAAAAAGAAAAGAAAACATTACTGTGTCTAACAGCCACTATGGAATTAATGTTACTTCTTGAATTCTGAAATAAACAGTGTGTTCAACTTGTGACAGATAATGATACATGCGTGAGAGAAGTGAAAGGGAAAAATCAAATAGTAGGTTACTGAGCTTAAGTTACAGTTGCTTCCTTCTTCAGGTATATTACCATTATTTTAGACTGAAAGAACAATAATTTGTTATTGTCATCTCAGAAAATTCCTTTGTGATAAATGAACATAAAGAATATGTGAAGTATATATATTTTCAGATATTTTGTTGTTTAATTTTCATATAATTTCATGATGCATTCTCTTCTTCCTTTGACATTTGAACTTTTACGTGGATTTCCAACAACCAACTCTCTCCTTCATCTTTGTTTTCCAAAAGGCCCCCCTCCAGAATTTCCTCCTGTGTTCTTCTTTCTGCATGACATGTTAGTTAACCCCATGTTCCCATATCATTTCCATTTCATTATTCACTAATCTTCATATTGTTTTGTGCTATACAGTGTATCTCAGGAGGAAAGGTCAATATTCTGGGAGGTCATAGTATCGGTTATTCTAAGCAAAAAAGTGTGTGTGTATATATATATATATATATTTGTGTGTGTGTGTGTGTGTGTCCGATTCCAAATGGCTGTGTCACTATACAGTAGTTAGGATTTGGCACCCAATATTGTCCTTCCCTCCCACCATACTCCACCACTGTCTGTGAATTGGTGTGAAGCATCAGTTGGCCATTGTGACTGTTGATAGTGACATGGTAGGAGTGTTGTGAAAAATGGCACACATCTTCACAAATACCCAACATACTGATGTGCTGTACATTTACAACTTCTGCGATGGCAGTGACACCACTGCTGTTGAAGAACACTGTCACTAGTTTCCTGTGCACAGAATTCTAGATTGTAGAGTGTTTTTCAAGGTGTTCAGTGCATTTCGTGAATGTGGTATGCTTCCCAGTGCTCATGTCTTATCTGCATGAACATGTCAACAACATGTGGAGGAACAGGAAAACATTCTTGAAATGGTACAGTGTAGCCCTACTACTAGCCCGCAAAGACTTCCTATACGTCTTGGTGTTTCACAAACATGTGTATGGTGAACATTGCATGGTGACAGCTTGTACCCATTTCACACAAAGCATATGCAAAATCTACACCCAGGGGACAGTGCCATGCATCTAGGATTTTGTCATTGGTTACATACTAATTGCAAATTGCTTAAATTAATACTCTTCACTGATGAAGCTACTTTAAACCGTAATGGAATCAACAACACATGTTACTTGCATCTTGCATCTCATGACAGTCCACATGGTACTGTGGAAACAATTTTTCAGTTGTCATTTTTCTACGAGTGTGTTTTGCTTTATGATCGATGACATGTTGATAGGTCCTGTTATTTTAGAAGATTGTATGACAGGACATAATTACTTAGACTTTCTGCAAAGTGGATTACCAGAGCAACTAGAGGATGTTTCTTTGACAACATGGATTGCTATGTACTTTCAGCATGATGGAGCCCCTTCTCATTACACCTGACTTATGATGCAGCATCTCATTGACACTTTCTCTAATCTCTGGATTGGTTGTGGTAGTACCATTAAGCAGTCACCAAGAACTCCAGGCATAATCCCGTTTGATTTTTGTTTATGGTATGTATACAGTGGCCGCAGCTAAAAAAGGGAACACACATCACAAGATACGGTTTACACAGAATATAAGAAAAATGACCCCCATAGTGGAAGAACCACACGCAAGTTTTAATTAAGACACATAAGATGAATAATCTTAACAAGTTTTAGTGTGTGTAAATTTATTATAGTTGACGAATATGCACTTTTTAAATACTTTTTAAATAATTTTATAAAGACATATAATGACAATCAATGCAATAGATTAGCATAATTAGGGCACCTGATGATGGCACTATGTTGCCAAAACATGTCGTGAAGTAACAGGTGAAATTGAGTGCACTACAAGATGGCCACTGTATACATATCATGGATGAAAATCAGTGCAACAGGACGCTAAAATACAGCATTTGTTTATGGAGTTGGATGAAGAGTAAAGTACAGAAGAAAAGTGGATACACAAGACAAACTACTCAGTCACATGGTGGAGGTTATCCTGCACTTAAAGGAATGTCAGGATGCGCTCAGACAAGCAACACGCCATGTCCTCACATGAGGTGCAAAGTGCATTAATGTTGATGGTGGAGTTTTTGAAAATGTTTTATACTAGCTAAACTGTACCAGCTTTGTCACATGAACAGTAAATGCTGGTATTGGAAACAGTATGTAGTATCTCTTTTCTATCAACAATTTTGGAACTGTACAGTGACATAGCTCTGTCTTGGAAACCGTTTGGAGTAGGACATGTGCATATATACTTTTTTGCTTAGAATGACTGATACTAGGACCTCCCAAAATATTGAACATTTCTCCTGGGACACTGTATATTGAGACAATAGCAGTGTCATAATATAAACCACACACATACAAGCTCACATTCTTTCTGTCTCTCTCTCTCACCCCCTAATAATTTTATCTCAGTTGTGCCTAGTTCATAAACATCTGTTGTGGTCCATGTCCACGTTTCTTATCTGTATGTTAATATAGACATGTAATAATTTGTGAATGAACGTATTTTCCTGTCTTTGGCATTTCCCATTCCCAAAATGTATCCCCAACCTGATTGGTAAAATTTCCTTGCATTTTATTCTTTTTTTAATTTCTTCTTCTTATTGAGTATACCATGTATATACGTACAAATGCTCTTTGGTCTGGCTTATAGCAAGCATGGCAGTCTCAGTATCAGTGGTACACTCCGGCATCAAAACCCCCACTGAACACAAGCCACCAGATGAACAGTGGCACAGGGACTAGTGACTCATGGAACTGGGGTGGTGGTACAAGCTATCAGCAGCAGCCCATGCAGTATGGGCAACAGTTACAACAGAACAGTCAACAGTATTTCTCACCATACAGGTAGAATTCTGAAATATTTGCAGTAGATAATAACTACAGTAACACTGTGTTAAGGAAGCAGATATTCGTTGAAGATACCATCGACTAAAGGTGGCATAAGAAATATTCTAATCTTGTAGATGTTTGTAGATGAAAGTAGGTCAACATATCAAGTGTTGCATAGTACTCCTTGTTTATGAAACTGTACTTACTTACTCACTCATGAAGCTGAGCCCTTCTGGGGGAGCTGCCAAGTCTGCAGCTACTCTAGAATTTCCCAGCATTTTATGGAACCCAAAGGTTCATTACTGTGTTCACAAGAGCCCTCCACTGGTCCCTATCCTGAGCCAGATCAATCCACTCAATACGATCCCATCCTATTTCTCTAAGATCAAATTTAAGATTGTCCATCCACCTACGCCTTGGTTTTCCCAGTGGTCTCTTTCATTCTGGCTTTCCCACCAATATCCTATACGCATTCCTCGTCTCCCCCATTCGTGCTACATGCCCCGCCCACCTCGTAACTTTCATAATGAAGTGAGCACTCCAAGAATATATATAGGACCATGTAAGGTGTATTAAATTCACATATTTTCCAAGATCACAAATTTCTTTAGGCAACTGGGCTCCGAGTTAACTGGCTGCAGTTGGTCAAGAATTAGGATAGCTTGTAAACTCCATGGACTGGAGTGTCTTGAGGAGCTAAAATGTACTCAGTTTGTCAAGGAATTCTCCACGTTTTACAGCACATAAATGTTCAGTTCCTTTTTCACAAGTGCATGCCACTGTGTCAGATCCATTCCATACCATCTCTCCATGTTTATTTAAAGTCAATTTGGAAATTATCCTCCTGTCTCTGTTTAGGTCTTCTGAGTGGTCTGTCCAGGTTTTGTGACTAAAATTGTGTGAGAATTTCTCATCGTAATGTGTTATGTGGCCCGCCCATCTCGGTTTCCTTGGTTTAATAATCCTAAAAATATTTGGTGAGAAAACAAATAATTGGGCTCCTTATTTTATTTTCTGTTTCCTGCTGTACATTCTCTTGTTAAGTCCAAATCTTCTCAGCACCAGCCTCTGATCTTTACAGTTTTAAATAAGGGACGGGGAGACCAAAGACTTTGAATTGAATGGTAACAAGGTTGTAACATAAAAATTATTGAAATAGTTTTAGTAGTACTGTTTTCTTCCCTATACAGTGGTGTGATACGCAGTGTGGTTTACATTGTCTTTTTTAGACATTGAAAAACAAAGTTGGCATATGAGATCACCTTGTTATCTATGTGTGTGTCTGTGTATACCACGTCTAACATTTGGATGTGTCATTTTCTATGCAGTCCATGTCCTATCAAAGGAAAGTAGGTGATTAGTTCTTCCCAGAACTTCTTATTATAAAACTATATCCATGTCCCCAAATATTATAAGGGTAGTAAAATCAGGGAGGATTAGATGAGTGTGGCATGTAGTATGCATGCAGAGGTGAGGAATACATACACATTATATGGATGGAAGAGGAGTTGGGTTAGCTCAACTGGTATAGCAACAGGCTACAGGCTGGAAAGCCACGTACAATTCCTGGCTGGGACAAGATTTTTCTCTTGCACACAACTTCCAGACCAGCTCTGGGGCCCATCCAGCATCTTACCCAGTGGGTACTATGGGCAATTGCCATGGGTAAATCCACCAAGGTATGAAGTTGCCTACCCTCTGGGTAATAGTGAGGTCAAGAATGGTGGAGCTATACCTCTACTCCCACAGAGGGTGTAAGGGTGTGGATGGGATTTGTCTTAGGATAGGGTGCAGTGGGAGACTCTTGTTAATATAGAAGTAGACGTTAGGATTTTCTCCACACATTGTGTGGTTTTCGTCTAAAATATTTAAGCTTGACTTTGGGCTGGAAAATGCTTCTCAGGCTTCACAGTGTTGTTCTTTGTTTGGAGTCTTGGCTACAGCATTTGCACTGGTTGACTTGATAGAAAATAATATAGTTACTTAGCTAACAAGAATTACTGTAACCACTGAGTATTTTAAGCTCAGTAAAATAAAAGAGTTCTGTCATACTCCTTGCTGTCTATTGTTTCACCGTGAAATGTTTCTAACTGTGAAACTTTTGTAGTAATACTGAAAAGATGTTTTTGTGAAGTTTTGTGTTTTAGTAGCATATAGTCATAATTGCATTATTTGTTGTATTGTTGTTTTCCTTAATCTGAATTTTAACAGAAATTGTCACAACTTTTAGTGCAACAGTCTTGCGATTTCATTCTTTCAGAAACCATTATGATCCGTCTGTGGCTAGACCTTACCCAGACCCATGGAACTGGGGCTGGGAAGAGTCTGGGATCTCAGAGAATTCAGAGCCTCTTAGCAGCAGCAGCAGTAATAACAATAATAATAATAACATTAATCCTGATCCTGCATGGAGGTGGTCTGTAGAGAATACGGCAACCTACCAAGAACATAATATTCCAAGTACTAATGCAGGTTACAGTTCAGGACAGCATGGGCAGAATTACACCATTGCCCCTGTGCATGCAACTTTCAACACTGGGCCAAATACTGCAGTAATGACTCCTGGTACAGCTGCTGTTATAGCAGAATCCTTCGGTTCAGGTTCTGCTGACCAGACAGCATTATTTCACAGTGGTAGTTCACAGCATCTTGAAGGAAATAGGAATCCCTTCACACCGAACTATGTAAAAAATAATACTGTAAATCATCCCGTTATTACATCTGATAATCAGTATGCTACAATAAGTACAGCATCAAATTTTGATCAAGGTATTTATAATCATGGATCCCATGGTGCAAAAAGCAATTTTGAACAAGGCCATGTGAGTAATGTTAACATTTATCAGCAAGAGACTTGCAGAGCGGGAAGAGGTGGAGAAGGAATGGTAGATCAAACTGCAGTAACAAAGGAGTTGAAGAATGTAGAAAATATTAAACAAGACACTCGGCAGTTATCATTGGATTATGTCACAGGAGGTGGAGAATTCACAAATGTTCCTCTAAGTGCCAATGATACAGAGACCATGAAAGATACTAAGGAAGAATTGGACTCACCAGCAAATGATGTTCCCGAGTTAAGCACAGAAAGCTCAAGTAGAGAACAAGACACAAGTAAACAAAGTTTCAGTGCAGGAAATGATGGTCTTTCTTCACAGTGGTCTACAGAGAGTTTACCAAGTTCTGAAGAGCTGTCTCAGACTGTAGAAGGGAATGAAATTGTTTCTTCTCACCCAACTGTACCTCAGTCACATCTGGTTACCAATACGCTTCAGGTAAATGAGCAGAATGATCAATACCAGAATTATGAACCCAGCACTTATGAATTTAATGATGTTAAGCAGGGTGATAGTCAGGCAGAAAGAGCTGATCAAGTACAGAGCTTGAAAGGTGTTACAAATAACACTTCTGTCAGTGAATCAAGAAATTTATATCATCAAGACTACCAGAACTACTGTACTGATCGTTATGCTGTAGAACAGACCACAAATGAGACAGTAAGTTGGAATAAAGATACAGGAAACAGAGGGTGCAGTCAAGTTGATACAAACTCTAATGCATATGGTCATTTGTCTGTTGGTAGTAATAGTTCAGCATCGTCCTCCAACCTCTATGTGCATGGTGATCTATGTACAACACAAACAGAATCCATGACCATTAAGACGGCGTTGTCTGTAGAAAGTGTTTCCAGTGCTTTAGATAGCTTAACAATATCAAATGAAAATTTCAGATCACCAGATGTGGAAAACAAAGAGATCATTTATCCTGAACTTGAAGACAATTCAGGTGCATTGTTGCCTTCTCCGGGACATAGCAACCAATCTTTTGAAAGTAATGTGAATGTGACTCCACCACCTGCAGTGCCTGGACATCCTCCAAAGAGTATTGGGATTACTCAGGGAAGGAACAGTAAACCGTACTCACTGAACCAGAAACATACAAATAAATACCAAACCATTCCACCTAGTGGAGAAGGAGCAACTGGTGTAATTGAGCACAGAAGCTACAGTCATCTACACTTACCTTCAGTAGGACCAATTGAACCAGGTGTGAATATTTCACAGTTTACAGCAATACCAGAGATTATGTCACACACAGTAAACAACCTCATGCAGCCAACATACAGTCACAAGGCTGTGGAAGCTCCAGGAAGCCTTGTTAGCAGAAAAAAGAAAACACCACCACCTCCCATGACTGAAGATGCGGTGAACTTGGAGACAGTACCAGATAATAAGGAGAGACCTGACTTCATAGATGTTCCACAAACAGCTCCTGTAACAAGACCACATACTGCTCCTGTTGGCCAGGTAGGCTTACAGAGTTTCTTGGAGTAAGCTAGTATTTTTGGATGTTTTAATGAGAGAGCTATGGATTTACTTTATTTTGCCATGCACTGCTCCTGGGTATGTCAGTAAGCAGGCCTAGCTGCTATAGATTGAAGGGTACTTAGGCAGTTTAGGCATATTGTCACACATAAGGGGTTAGAATGACGAATAATTGTGGATTCTAGATTTGATGATTGGATTTATTGGATGTCTCTGTTACAGTTACAGTTGATTATAACAGCTTGCACATTGAACTACTCCTCAATAAAGAAAATATCATCGTTGTCTGAATCTTGAAGAGTTTCTAGTGTTAAATTCTGTATCTCGATCTTTACCCTCTCAAACTCTCTCTGGCTGTCTGAATCTCAGACTGAACTAACTTCATGCAGACCGAATATAGATCGCCATATCGAACAGTTGATTGTTCTCTTTTATTCTTTTTTGCCATGAAATATGTGACAATCTCTGGGCAGCGCTTTGATTTGTACAAGCGTATTTGTTGCCGTTGGAAATGTGTTTCAGCTAGCTGTTGTCTAGCAACAGATGTCTCTGCTGTGCTTCTCTGACTGCACACTTCTGGCATTCAGGTGTCATGTCACACTATTAAACTGTAAGTGGAAGATAGTTAACAAATAATAAATAGAATATATATATATATATATATTGTGACGTGAATGGTGCAGCAGGAAGTAGGGGTCATGAGTGATGTCACATACCCCCACTCCTTCCATCATTACACAACGCTTGGTAAACACCCCTCCCCGCTAGGCTGTGATGTCACGCAACAGGAAAGTCCATGCAGCAACTGTTGCTAGGCAATCGGTAAACACGGCGATTACACAACAGGGAAGTGAGGTGCATTTTCTGCTCTTTGGCTGAAGGTTTATAAGAGACACTGGAATGCCTAAGCAGTGCAGTGGAAGTCTAGCATTTGCTGCAGTTAGTTGGGCATTAGCAGTCGGTTTCCAGTCTTCAAAGAGATGAGGCGAAGTCCAGCAGTTACAAGTTGTTGAGTAGTATCAAGTGAATGGCAGTGACTACAGCAGGAGAAGTAATTGTGACACTGCAGATGGCAGTAACTTGTGTGTAAATTGTGTGAATGTAAGAGCGAGTGTGGAATAAATTCGCTAGATCCAAGATGGTGTGAAGTTATTTGTCGCATGACATACACCCAACATGTGACAATATATTTAATGGAATGAAGACTGTAATATAAATAAGGCTCATCTCTGAGCAAAATAACATCTTTGGGCATTGAATAAGTAACAAAATCCTAAACATAATTTGGCCCAAGAAGAAAATAATATACTGTAGTATGATCTACATCTGCCCATACCAAGGTAAAACTCCCGGAACATAGGGGATGCGTAACACGCTAGATACATAACGAACTAGTCTTGAACTATGAATTATTTTGCAGAGTTATGAAATCTGTGGATTGACTAAAGCTTCAGTGACCCTTCCTGATTAAAGTTTCTCCCATTCACTAACCATAGAAAATTGGTGGATTTTACAGGGTGTTCTTATTCTAGAATTCTCAAGGTGATTAACTGCATAATGTTGAGTTGCTCAACACTGATGCATCTGATCACTCAAGAGTATTCACTTACAGATACACTTATTTGATGTTTCAGGATTCGTTAAGAGGAATGGCATCTCAGTGGACCCAACCATCAAGTTACAGTACAAGTCCTGAAAACCAAGAGGTGGCTCCCCGTTGTGGACCAGATAGAAACCAATATCTTGAGACTGGGCAACTCAGCAGTGATGAGAGAGAGATTAGATCTGCAGTGCCAGATGTGATGGAAACGCAATACCGAATTTCAAGGAATGGTAACAGCAGTGTTTCAAGTGAAGGATTCTCGCCACTGCTTGGACTTCGTCGCATGATTCCCGGTCAGATTACTGATCAGCATACCAGCACAAACATTTATCAACCAGAGAATGTAGTTGACATCAATTGTGGGGATAATTTTAGTGAAGATATTTCAACACCTCCACCAGGCCTCCATAGAATGGTTCCTGGGCAGTTTACAGAAAACGAGAATTCCATAATGCAAGTTTTGGACTCTGCTCATACTACTGAAAATTCTTCAGGTGAAATGTTCCTTGATAGAATGGTCCCAGGACAGCTGACTGAGGAAAGTGTTGGTGGTGGTAGTTTTGTTTCAGATGCTGGAAGCGTTAAAACAGTACCAGCACACAGCTCAGTGGATGATATTCCACCACCTGGTTTGAGGAGGATGGTTCCTGGGGAATCTAGTAGCCCAGAAAGTCAAGGAAATTTTGTACAGTCAGGATTGACAGCAGGCACGTTCCAGCCCATTGATGCAGTTCCCTTGGAGCCAAGGGTTGTCACGGGTGTGGCACAAGATGAAATGGATGGTGTGGGACCTGCTGGAACGTTACCATTGCCACCGTCACCAAGTATGTGAAAGAGTTAACCTTCTGTTTTTTTAACATTGAGGAAAATGAACCTTCAGATTCTAGAAGAAATAGGGAATTTCTTGGCCATTGAGTGGCTATCAGCCTCTCAGTCTTTAGAGCTAGTTTGTTAGTGTATGATATGGCAGCTGTTCCACTGTTGAATCAGTATTTTTTGTATGTGGACTGTTTTCGTATCATAAGGAGCCATGATTTGTTTTTTATCTTCTGGTATCAAGAGGTAGTCCTCATACCAATCAACAAGTGTCATTACACAGTGTAAAGGTGGGGAGTGGTGTGCTGCAAGTGCATGGTAAATTATTGGCCCTAGTGCTTTTCACCAGACTGTGAATTCAGACTGGTATGTGAGCGATGTGTTCCATCAGCTCAGAACATCAAGCTTATTATATTGTCACGTGTTGGGTGTATAACGCGACAAATAACTTCACGCCGTATTTCATATAGCGAATTTATTTCACATTCGCTCTTACAATCACACAATTCACAGATTCACAACTACTGCTATTTGCAGTATCACAAATACTAGACTGTAAATGCTAGACTACAACTGAAGGGTTGACTGTCTGGCTAACTCGTAACTATCTTGTGAATTCGTAACTCGAGAACTGTTGATCACACACTCTCTCTTAGGCTTGCTCAGAACTAACTCGGAACTAACTGTGAATAGTCTTCGCTGCTCCGTATCTATCCTCGTTCCGGACAACTCAGAAAACAGCCACGTAATAGGCACCATTGTTGTCTGCCGCAGTCGCGCTAGCAACACTATGTACCGCTCTTATTACCGTTGTCTCTCGCAACCATTGTTTACCCGCTTTGCCTAGCAACCGCTGTTGACTCGCGTGGCATAGCGACCAGTGTGCTGGGACTAGGCTCACTTCGGCTCCGCTTNAACATGCAAAAATAGAGGAACCCTCAGAAGCCATATTTTCTATGTGCTCCGTGCCATTCTCTGTGTGATTCTTGCGATGGTTTGGAGTGAGTTGTCATGAGTTAGTTGAAGTTGGGAGTCAGCAGTAAGTAGTGAGTTGTCAGTCACCAGCTGACAAGAACATAAGCACAGAAGTAGAGAAATGTCCAGTCTTAGCATTAGCAGCCTGTACCTAGCAACAAACAAATAACAAACAGAAGACTATGCTGTAGTTATTGTGATGTATAGAGTGTGTGAATTAGTGACAGTGCCAACATTATTTATAGCTATGAGTTATAAGTGTGAAATAAATCCAGTAGTTATTCCAAATCCCTTGTCTAGTCACAGACATGTGACAATATGGCAAGTTTCTGTCACCTTTTTACTGTGATCACTAATGAAGTTCTGTTTAAATAGTCAGGGAAAATCATTGTGCTGTTGCCATAGAAGCAACAGTACAGTGATTTTCCCTGTCTAAACAGAACTTCATTACTGATCACAGTAGAAAGGTGACAGAAACTTGCTCCTTTCTGTCTCAGTCAAATGCTCTGTACGTCAAATACCAGTCACATTCTACAATCATCAGATACTAGAGAAAATAAAGGGAGTACAGTGAGGCAGGAGAGATAAGGTAAAGTGTTCGTTTGCTTAGTTAATACCATACCATGAAACTGTATGAGGGAGTTGAGTTGTAGCTGCATACAGTCTTAACCTTCACTAAGTGGAGGCAAGCTTCACACTCTTAACTGCTTTAAAGAGGAAAGAGCCCTCAGAACTTAATTGGATAGAAGGTTGGATTGGCTCCAGACCTGTTTGGATTCTACAACTCTGATTCTTCAGTCTTTCAGCCTTTAGTCTGGTCACCATTCCACCTAGAGAACTAGTTGGCCGAATTAAGGTGACATTTAAATAGAATCTGTAAACGTTTTTCCCATTCACTCTGTATTCAGACCTATCTGAAATGAGGAGATGCCTTAGCTTTTTGGCTTCACTTTAGAATACACCATTATGAAAGTTTAAGATTAGATGTTTGCAGGAGTGTCCAATGTTAATATAATAGGTGAAACAGATATTACATTATTTTATGTTATCTCTTATATAGCTTTCAGAATCTAATAACTTATAAAATGAAACTGCATTAAGTGAAGGATATTTGTGAGGATGTAATTCCATACAAGGGGGGACCCAAAAATAACCGGAAACGACCTGTTGTGCGCGCATGCTTTGTAGTTACGAGTTGTGCTGCTAGGTGGTGTTAGCTGGGGGTCTCCCGCGACTGTTAGTGAGCTGGCGTCAGTCTGAGTTAAGTGGTTTGTCTGTGGTGCTCTGTTGTGTGCGTTCCTGTTTCAACCCCTTGGCGTTTAGTGAGATGGCCTACCAGAAGGAACAAAGAGTGTGTGTGAAATTGATGAAGATCGTCGAAAGACCATTGACCAACTTTCTGAGGAAACGAACATCTCATGGAGCACGGTCCAGCGAATTTTAACCGAAGGTTTGCACATGAGACGGGTGTCTGCAAAATTTGTTCCTCGCTTGCTCGGAGATGACCAAAGAGAAAACCGCGTGAATGTTTGCTGCGACTTGAAGAGTGAAGTGCAGTTTTCCCTAACAGAAAGCAAAATTTCACGCACACTCTTTGTTCCTTCTGGTCGGCCATCTCACTAATCGCCAAAGGGTTGAAACAGGAACGCACACAACAGAGCACCACAGACAAACCACTTAACTCAGACTGACGCCAGCTCACTAACAGTCGCGGGAGACCCCCAGTTAACACCACCTAGCAGCACAACTCGTAACTACAAAGCATGTGCGCGCAACTGGTCGTTTCCGGTTATTTTTGGGTCCCCCTTCATATACTGTTAACCTCTCATGTAAAATTAGTGTCAACATTTTGGTCAGGAAGCTTGAATGAAAACATGATTTGGGAGACTAGACGTGGATGGGAAGATAATATTAAAATAGGTCTTTGGAAAATAAGTTGTTAGGATATGGACTGGATTCATCTGGTTCAGGATAGTCCTCAATGGCAGGCACTTAACAAAAACAGTAATGAGCCTTCAGGTTCAATAAATGTGAAGAATTTTACTTCTTCATGGTGTTAATTGTAATTAAAATAGTGTAAATTTTTACACAAGTGCCTTTGTTTGGTGCAGTGTCAGCAAGTAGTCATGCAAAGAGTGAACCTGTTAGCCCATTAGCAGAGCAAGCTCTGAATGGCAACAGCTTACCACAGCCCCCATCTGAACGAAGTGAGACTATTGGTTCTGATGGTGTAGAAGTGTACCCACCGCCTCCACTGTCCGAAAACACTGTTCGAGATGCAAGGTATTTAATTTATTTTCTTGTTATTTTAGGGTCCTCATTGTTTTATTGATATGTTGTATGATCAATTTACATTGTCTCAGTTGTATTTAAATATACTTACTGAATATTACTGATGAAAGAGTATCGGATCAATACAGTTATCAGTATCATCAAAGTATATGTTGTTCAAGCCCTTATGTAAATGTGTAAGTCCATTTTCTTTTTACAACATGCTGCTTAATTTGACAGGGTTATATTGATTTTTCTTGGTACATATTTGTGATGGGTTCAACAGTGTGAACATGTTCAAACTACAGAATCACACCTTTATGCTGCTATATTCAGTTTTTGTGATTTGTACCAAAATTTATACTCTCGCCATTATACCAGTTAGATATATTTTATAATTTTATACTCATACTCATGCTGAAAAAATTTAATTTAGAGCTTAATTAGTGAACATAAGAAACCAGTGGGTAAACTTTGATACATATGCACTGTTAAAAAAATTCTTTCCTTCTAAGACTTATTGCAGCTTACAGATGCAGTACAAATAATATATGAGAGAATGTGGATTTTGGAATGAGTGCGAAAAATGCTTCCTGCACCTTGTGTGGGGCTATATAATAGCTAATGGAGGTTATTTTGAGGACTTCTTGTGTAAGAATTTTGCTGAACTTGAATCTTGTAGGTACTGAGATAACTCAGAACAACTCATTTTGTCTAGCATTTTGAGACCTTAAAATGGACTAACTTTGTAATCACACAGCTCTGCAAGAAAGCTTTTGACAAAACTGCAAAGGATTTTTGGACTCCAAAACAGTTACCTGATATACCCTTAGGAGGAACATAATTTTGTAATTGTGTGTTTGTGTGTAACAGTGACAGAAGTATTGGATGTAATCTGTGGACAGTTATGTACATGTCTCTTGGGATGGGGCGAGACTGAGTCCTCTTGGTACATTGGCCACTAACTGGCTTATTGTACCAGCCCCGGTTGATAGATGATGAATGTGGAGCAGGTGGTGGAATGAGAATTGGCAAGGGAAACCAAAGTACTTGGAAGAAGCCTGCCCCAGCGTCACTTTGTCCACCACAAATCCCACATGACCTGATCTGGGTTTGAAACCGGCCCATCATGGTGGGAATCCAGCAACTAACCGCCTGAGCTATGGCACAGCCTGTATGTACAAGCATATGTTGTGTAAGATGGTGATACATAAATGTAGAAAAACATAGCTTAATATTTAATAACAAGCATTGTCCTTACTGCAATTTAAAATAATGAAGATTACTGAGAAAAATTTGTCTTCTGCTCATAATATGTTATAGGCTATGATGGTTTTTATGCTGGAGATGAATTTATAGCCTGATTGCAACCTTATGACACCTGTGTGAAGGTTAGACATAAGTCTGTCTGATTAGACTCATCCACAGCCTGAAACAGATGGGTGTCAGGTTAGTTTGTTACAGGCACTTAGTTAAGATCATTCAAACAGAAACAACTTTCATAAGTGAGAATTATGGCAATTTTTAAGATGGAAACCACAGAGTTATCAGTAGCCATGGATGTGAAATAGCATACATTGGAAGCTCATGACAGAAGAAGCACTCTGAGGAAATAATATATCAAGGTAGGAATGCAAGCCCTTGTTTGTAGAGAGATTATGCTTTTCCTAGCATGTCTGCTGTCACCATCTGCCCACCCTGTCACCCTCACTACTGCCATATGCTAAGCCTTAGGTAAGCAGCGTGTTCACACTGGTGCCATAAGATTGTGATTAGCCTTTAACATTTAGGACTTGAGGTTCCCACTGTGGTGGGATGTAAAACTTTGTGGTCTATTGAAGGTAAGCTGATATTTGCCATATACTTTCATGCTGGTATCTTGCTTAGCTTATTCCACCCTGAAGATGGAGGTGATATGTTCGTCTGAATCTTTGGCCTCTAATATTAATAAATATTTGTGCAGTGGTTCTCGGCGAGAGGCCATGAGCAAAGACCGAGAACGTTGGCATCGGGATGATGAGGGTAATAACCATAACTCTCAGCACCAAAGAAGACAGACAGATCGCAGAGACCACTACAGTTTTCGTGATAAAGAGAGGGCTGAATCTCCTGGCACCAGTAGGTATAAGGACCGAGAAGAGTGGGATTGGAAGTATGACTCCAGACATGAGCGAGACAGGGAACGAGTGAGGGACAGAGATGATTCCTCAAGTGGTGGTCGTTACAGAGATGATAGACATTATGATCCTAGGAAAGAGTTTAGGAGTCATGATGATAATCAAAGACCGAGGCGAAAGACAAGGTAAGGGAATGACTGTCTTCATTTATTTCTTTCCAAGTGTGTATTCTTATAGAAATTGTGTATGGTTCTAAAATTACTAGTGTAATATTGATGTAGCTATAGATTATCATGGTACTTATATATATTGACACATTTAAGAATTATACTAGTTGGTTGTATATGGAAATACTATTGAAATATAGATCCAGAAAAGAAAAGCAGTATGTGTATGAGGGGGAAACAGCTTGGTACTAGGACTGGCTGATTTTATTTACATATCTGAATGTATGTATCATTGTATAAAAAATTGAAATTATGGTTTCCACATAGGATTGAGTCCTGTGGTACGATATTTTTATATCTGACTAGTGAACAGCACTTTTTTTTTTGCCTAGGTTTTTTGTAAACAAGCTGAATAAGAAGTTCCTTGTTTATTACGACAGTTATGATTATATAATTCCATTAGCCACTGTCCTGTTATTTACCACTCTGTTGCTTTATAGTGATCAATTTATTTATGCATTACATGACTGCGTAACAACAAAACAGAGGTGGACATAAGTGGCTTTTGCACTTTGAAATCCCAGTTATATTTGCCTTGCAACAAGGTCAGAGATAGAGAAGTCACAGATTGGATGAAAATGCTATATGTAAGCGATGTCAGAGGAGTTATCAGTTGGAAAATTGATCTGGTAATTTGAGTAATTTTTGAAAAGGTGGATTCCTCTTTCTGCACAGAATCAACGAATGTTTATCAGGAATTTCCTAAATTCACTTTTCTTTTGTGTCAGTGAGGAGCTCTTGTGAACATAATGAACCTGCAGCTTCCCCCCCCCCATCACACATAGGTGTATTTATATATAAAATTTCGTTTACTGCTAGAGCAAATATCGGCCATTCAGCCACTCTGTGCTATGAAATTAAGTAATTTTTTTATGTAGAGGTTTTCATGTACTTGTCATGATGAGTGTGACATTTCAGTAAATGGAGTTAGTTAAATAATATTCTCCTAATGTTTGTTAACTCATAAAGCAGGCATTTAAATTACCTTGGTCTTGAACTGCAACAGTATTTAAATTTCCATGCCAAAAATTAAATTACATGATTCTGTTACAAATAATTGACCAGATTTTGAGACAACACAGCATTTGTTTTGGAGAGAAGACTAATTATGTTATAAGGTATTACCCTTAGTTTAATAAAACTCAGGCATATGTTATAGCATTGGCAGTCTTTTCATTGTCTGCAGTTGTTGATTGTGTACATGGGGACTTACTTATACCTCTGACCATCCATCCATCCATCCATCCATCTGTTCATCCATTCCTCCCCTCCCTCCGGACGCAGATCTGTCCATACATTCATCCAGCTGTTCAGCTGTCCACTCATCTACCCACCCACCACCCAGGATAAAAGGTGAATACATTTACAGGACTTAACAATAGTTAAGTATGTTAGTACAACAGATATTAGTGCCTTCTGATTTATTTCTCTCTTGCCAGTTATGATAGGCAGGAAGATGATGCAGATACTGAAGATTATTTTAGTGATCATGATCATGACAAGGCCAGACACCGCGATAATTATGATAGCCGGTACAGAGATCGAGCTGACAGAGAAAGGGGACAGCGTGAAATTGTGCAAAAGATCTCTAGAGAGAGGAAAGATCATAGGTAAGCTTGATGGGTAAAGGGTGGGAAGATGTTTATGTGATGAGACTTCTGTGACTAGTTTGATTGGTATGATTTGTGATACTGAATGGATCAGGAAATTATATGTGGTACTGCCATTTGTTATCTGAAAGCACTTTCCAGGTTTGACTTTATATTAAATGCATGGAGATTGTGTTGGCATAAAAATATTACACATTACACACAGAAACAAGTGAGAATCTTTTACCAGAGAAGAGCTTTCTAAATGTCAGCAGATATTGGCAGTATTGGTATTAACATGGGGAACATAACTTCAGTTGCCCCAAGCACTTAGGTGCCTACTTGGTCTGCTGTGTACCCTTGATACTGTAAGGGTCTTCCAACATAGAGCCCTGTCCATAATGCTAGAGTCGGGAACAACTTAATTGAGGCCCTCCTGATATTTGTTGGCTCTAGCCATCCACATCTGAACATTCTATGCCTAGTGAAAGGGGTACCTATAATGACAAAGTATATAATCGGAGGACTGCTCATTCTGCCAACATTTCCCGCACACAATGCTTTCTGAAAGGCCCATACATAATATTTATGTGCCTCTTCAGTGAACAGTGGGCAGTCAACAAACCAGTCACCAGCCTACCCTCTTTCCTCTCCAAGGACAGTAGGTTCTTATACAATTTTTCCACAGGCTTTTCAATGAAGAGCTTTAATTGCCACATATCTAGTGTCGAGAGTGCCTCTGCTTCAACCACTTTTTAATCTGAAGCCTCTTAGCATATAGTGAGGCTAAATTTGCTGATTTGGAACCCAAAAATTACTATAGTGTTTCTTTGATAAGAAGTTTCAGGGGACCAACAAATAAAGAACTTATTATAAGGGAAATTTAAAATCAAGTTTAAATTTTGGATACGCTTTTGTATTTTGATCCCAAGAAATTTTCATAATACTTCAGTTATATAAAACATGTGTAAGGATTTTGATTATTGTATGTTCCTTTTCTGCTTCTTTTTAGGGCTACAGGAAGAGATCGTGATCGAGATCGTGACCAGGGTCATGATAGAGGACGGGTTCGAGACAGAGAAAGACGAAGGCAAGAGTATTCTGACAGGCATGATTATAGGAGGTTTGACGAACACTACAGTAGAGGTTATGAGGATGATGCTTACTATCGAGATAATCAGAGGTGAGTGAACTTTGCCTGAAGATGGAGCAGCAGGTTCTTCTGAAGCACTTGTACCCAGCCAGCAGACTATATTGGGTCTCATTCCAGAAGGCTCTAATGTTATTATTAGATTCATTTTGCATTCAAATAATGTAACAGTACTATTGTAGGTTAATTTTTAGTTTATCCTATATCAATAAAGGCAGGCTAATGGTATCATGCGTATTCAATTTATTTGAATGTCATTCTGGTGAGAATTGCAAATATTTATGCTTTCTAACCCCTTAGAGCCAATGATATGAGTTTGATTTTTATATGAACTTCATGGTCTGAGATTACTACTGTTAGGGTTTTGAAATTTTCTGTAACAGTAAATCTGCAAAAGATATACAACTTTCATCAGGGTTATATGCTTATACAATGTGAGATAGGAATATGGCAGCTGCATGAAATCTGTTTACCTTTCTGCTTGTTATCAGTCACATATATCAGTGAATTTAATATGGGCATAAATCATAAACATAACAGATTTTGGAAGTTTTTTATGGGGGGGGAAGGGGATGCTAAACATGATAATTATGGCAAATTTAACAACGCTTGAGGTTGTGCTTGATAATTTTCAACTGTTTTAATTGTGATGAGAATATATAGCCTTCACAACGAGCTGGTAGTGTTCCAAAGGAATTATGAAATTCTGAATGATATTTTACAAGACTGATTACCAGCCTTTGCCCTTAAGCCACTGAAGCGCCTAAACTTTGACAGTGTACACATGGTTACTATTGTTACTGAGTTGCCTATTGGCTGTGCTGGAGAATCTGGAGTAAGATAAGAGCCGCTGCATAAGCCAAGCCCATTTGGACTTCACCGAAGAAGGCCAGCATTTTATCAATACCTATGTAGCACGCATCAAATTCAATCCATAGAGGTTATGAATGAAGAAGTAATTCAAGTTGTGGGGGAGTTGACAGGCTCATTGTTATTACTGATACTAATAAACATTTCTCTTCTTTTCCTTTTGGCTCATGTGAGACTTAATTTCAAGTTATGGTAACCAAATATTACATGTTTATTCCTGCTTGACCCTTGAGGCTGGTATTTGCTAATGAGCTGAGTATAACAGGCACCAAGCTGGGTGACAGTGATGGGTTGCCAAGCCGTTGTCTCATATTCATCAGAGAGTTTGCAAGATTTGAAGAATATTGAAATCCTGTTATAATGATGAAAAATTATCAATATCATATTTAAGCATCCTGTTACATTTATATATCTTTCACACACTGTATATTCAGTCCTCAATGCAACTATTTTCAATTTTATTTCTACTCCTTACGATATCATTCGGCCTCAGACGGCCATCATCAGGTGTTTTGTCTTTGCCAAAGCTGTCGCACTGTATAAAATGTTCACTTATTTATATGCATGTAAATGTGATGTTTCTTGTTTAATTTACTGTATGTACTCTCATTATCTATTTGCATTGATTAATTTCACTCACTTTCTAATTTAATTTTGGTTTGAAAATTTTTAAAATTTCTTAAAATTATGTAATTCTTGCACCTCTGTTAGGGGCATCATCCATTTGTCCAGATGATATGGTTCTATGTTGCTGCTTTGTGTCCGTATGTTGCTTCTGTTTGTAAGCCCTTTCTTTGTGTTATCATTTGTTCCTATTTGTATGTTGTTCCGTGCCTCTGCGTATGCTGTCGTTGACTCTTGTGTGTGGTGTAGACAGAACACCTGATGATGGCCGTTTGAGGCTGAAACATGTCATAAGGATGAGAAATCAAAGTGAAAATAGTTGCCTTGAGGACTGAATATATTGTGCCTGAAAGAATTATGAATACTGATTTTACTGTTTGAACACAGTTTTCCTCTATTTTAACATTAAAACATTTGTAATAACTAATAATGAATATCTTATTAGAGCCACTGCTTATCTCTATTGGCTAAAAATGATCTTTATAAATACCTTAAACATCCTTATGTAATAAGTATTTCTCACTATTTCTTGTATTAATTTTTAAATTTCAGGTCCCGTCCTTCAAGTCAAACAGAATATGAGGAATATCATCGAAGAAATTACCATGGATATGGAGGTACAGTACTTTAAGACATAGTGCACATAGTCTGTAAGATAAGAATGACAATATTTTAGGATTTGAGGTTTTCACGGCACTCACTATGAAGAAAGCAGTCTTCTGGGCTGTGGCACCGTGTAGATATTGTGGAAACTAGATAATTTTTTTGGAGGCAGGCCCACTGATTTGGTGATGTGCCAGGACAACACTCTGCTGATACGGTTGAGTATAGTCCCATCATAGGGCAGGAAGGCGACTGAGTCCGGTTTATCGTCGGGCCAGCTGACGTTTGGACGACGGTTGAGAACTCTGTGGATCTGACGGCTGTTGTATCCATTGTGCCTGAAAACGTCCCTCAGGAGCACCAACTCCATATGTAGGCTGTCTTGTTTGCATAGAGCTGTAGCCTGGTGCACCAATGTGGAAAGTACAGCTTGCTTGTTGGAAGGGTGGTGGTGGGACGCAGCGTTAAGGTAGAGGTTTGTATGGGAGGATTTGCGGTACACTCTATGGCCCAGAGAACCATTTGGCCTCCTGTCAATATCTATATCCAGGAAGGGGAGGTGGCCCCCCCATTTCAGTCTCCATTGTGAACTGAATGCATTGGTAGATACTATTTAGGTGGTTCAGGTAGTCCTTAAGCTTGTCGGGCCTGTGTGGCCAGATGACGAAGGTGTCGTCCACATAACGAAACCAGCAGTGGGGCTAGTGTGGAGCCAAGTCAAATGCCTTCTCTTCAAAGTCCTCCATATATAAGTTCGCGATGACCGGAGACAGTGGCGAGCCCATCACCACGCCATCAGTTTGTTCATAGAACTGGCCATTGAAGCTTAAGTATGAGGTGGTCAGGACATGGCGGAAGAGTCTCAAGATATCTTCTTCGAAATGTTGTCCTAGCAGATCCATAGTATCCTTTATAGGCACCCTGATGAAGAGCGACACTACATCGAAACTGACCATTATGTCGTGGGGATCAACATGGAGAGAACCCAAGGTGTGGACAAATCCATGGAGTTAATCACGTGGTGTGCACAGTTGCCAGTGTATGTGCTCAGTAGGCCAGCCAAGTGTTTGCCCAAGCGATAGGTAGGAGAGCCAATAGTGCTCACAGTGGGCCTTAATGGAACATCACGCTTGTGGATCTTCGGCAACCCGTAGAGTCTAGGTGGCCTGGAACCTTGTGATCGTAGCTGTTGGCAGACTTTCTCAGCAAGCATGGACTTTTTCAGGAGAAGAACAATCTTGCGCTCTATGGCATCAGTAGGATCCTTCTTCAACTTCTTGTAGGCCTTGTCTTCCAAGAGAGTGGTGATCTTCGGTTATAGTCTGACGTATCCAGTACCACGGCCGTATTACCCTTGTCAGCCAGAAGGACGATGAGCACCTCATTGGCTTTTAAGGACCGAAGGGCTCTCCTTTTCCTGCTCTTATACAGCTGGGTTTACTCGACTGGACTCAGTCTATTGCACCTGCTCACACTGGTATGCTTGCGGATTTCTTCTTGTCTTCTACCCTGAAGATGGAGGTGATACGTTCCTCCGAAATGTCAGTTAACACAATATCTACACAGTGCCACATCACAGAAGACTGCTTTCTTCTCAGAATATTTTAAATTTTCTATTTATGGCCATATAAAGATGTAATAGTAAAAATAGGAAGGTTTTGATTTTAGTTGCTGTATTAATACATGTGTTTTTTTAGTATATTTATCACACTAGAAGAATAATAAGAATTCTTGAGTGCATTTTGTTTGTTCTGTCTCGGAAGTCAGCTAATTATGATGGAATTTTACTGGAAGTGTTACATTATCATCATTATATATTGCTGTTTCGTGAGAGTAACAGAGCCTTCTCCAGTCTTCTCTCTTTCTTCCCATAAGTACTTGTTATATGCATGTTTAGTCTTTCTATATTATATCATATATAGATGTAATCCTTTCATCCAGCATTGCATGTTTGTCTCTGTATTTGGTTGCTGGGTGAACAGAAGTAGTGTTTACAGTGCCAAAGAGATCTGTGTTCTCTGCTGTTTCATGGTTTGGTAGCCTCACTGAGTGTTTATAATGCGGTAGTAAATCTAGGATGTTGGTGGACAGGAATGTATATTCATGTAATTTTCATTTCATGCATCCTGTTGTGTTATAATATACAATTTCTTTATTAAAACTGTCACAACACAACTATATTAAAGTCAGTGCCAAGTCTGGCTCTGCTACATGTTTCAGCTAAAAAAAAACCATCATCAGGCAAATACATGGCCAACATACTGCCACAGTCAAAAAGTTTGTGGAATAGCCTCAAAGCGTCATACGGGAATTTACTGCCAATATGTTTCGCCAATGTTTTTGATAGCTATATCAACGTTGGGCGGCTTGCATAGTGGCCAGCGGCAACTATTTTGAGGGGCGATGTGGATCTGCGTAAGTGTATGTGAATACCTTGTTATATGATGCAATAAAACCACATTCCACGAACTTAGACTCTACTACATATATACACCACTGAACTGCAGTACTAGTAAAATTGGATACAATAATATTAATTATATTAAAATACTTGGCATAAAAGTACAATAAATAAGACTATATAAAACAAAAGTTATGGTATAAAACAAGATTAAAATTCTTCGAGTGATGCTTCACATCATCGAGTCAGTTGTTGGTTTTTGCAATTTTGTTGTGTTCCCACGGACAAATTGGAGTATTCTGTATTATGTGTATATATAATGAACTGTTTTGGAGGCTCGTGATGTAGATGTAGTAATATTAATGTTAATTGTTATTTCCCAACAGAACGGACAGTACTTTGTAAGATGAGGCACCGACTAAATAATTAACATGAATATTACTACATCTACATCACGAGCCTCCAAAACAATGTATTATATATACACATAATATAGAATACTCCAATTTGTCCATGGGAACACAACAAAATTGCAAAAACCAACTTGAAGAATTTTAATCTTGTTTTATACTGTAACTTTCGTTTTATATAGTCTAATTTATTGTACTTTTATGCCAAGTATTTTAATATAAGTAATATTATTGTAACCAATTTTACTAGTACTGCAGTTCAGTGGTGTATATATGTTGGCCATGTATTTGCCTGATGATGGCTTTTGGCAGCCGAAACATGTAGCAGAGCCAGACTTGACACTGACCTTAATATAGTTGTGTTGTGACGATTTTAATAAAGAAATTGTATGTTCATGTGGTTTTCATAATAAATAAGCAAATTATTACAGTGCAGTTTATGTTGGAAAAATGAAAGATGGGCAAAGAGCAGATGCTTTTGCTAGTTTCTGATATGTCTCGTTGCTAGATATCTTCTTCATCCTTGGTCTCTCAGATGTTCATGTGGTAGTTTGTCTCGTTAAACAAGACACTGAATAGAAAGATGTTAAGATCATAATGGCAGATATTTTGTCATACTCTTTTTCCTGTTTGTCGGAAGAAGGCAGTAGGTATGTGAGGTGATCATGCTGTCTGTTAGAGCAGTCACATTTGTCACACAGAGCTAGATCTGGGGAGAGAGTAGGGTACGGACAAGTCATGGTTTCTGGCCAGAGACTAATACACAAATACCTGTAATGAACAGGAGATTGTTGTGGAGACTTTATAACAGGCCGTTTACTACAAATCAAGTCATATTGGTGCCAGGCCTCTTGAGGTTTCAGAGCTCCCCCTCCCAGTTTGAACGCTTACAGTCATGGTCCTTATGCAACATCCTCTCTGATGAGAGGATAGATTTGTCTCTTATGAATATTCTTGGCCTTTGTCAGTTATACATATCACACATATTCATATAGCGTAATATTGAAAATTCTTCCTTTTACAAGTTTAAGCTTCTTATATTTTCTATGTCTGGCTTCGACATGTCCTATGCTGTGAACATGGCCACTCTCATGATTTTGAATGACCTCTGCTTGTTGCCTACACAATTTTGTTACATAATCATATACATATGGCAGGTTTGAAGCTGTGTGCAAATTGCAGGCTGGTTTGCATCTTTGATAATTTCCAGTGGTGTGGAGAACCTTGTTTTGCAGGCACTGTGATTTCAGGAAATGGGTGTATGCTGCAGACTACTGTCTTGTAATGGCCACTGGTCCTTGCTATATGGCCTTGGCTTGGGCCACACAGAAAACACCACCAACAGCTCTTTTATTGCTGTGTGTGTGTGTATCTGGTTGCTATGAAAGCATGTTTTCAGAGCTGTTCCCAAGCAGTGGCCTTCTCTGCTGGGTTCACTACTTCACTTTTCAGGTGTCATGCCGCAGTATCTTGGATTTGAAAACAAAATGTTAATGTAAATAGATATATAAGAGAGAAATTGAGTTATGTGGCATGTCACATAGCAAAGGACATCGTGATTTATGCAGTATGCCTTTTATTCTTCAGGTAGTGAGCCTAGTAGAATCTGTTTGATTTTGTCTACTCACTGTCTCCATATAACTGATTTAAAGATTTTAAAGTAAACATTTCAAAATTATCGTAGAACTAAAGTGTGTATACATTACATCTGTTGTTCAGTAAGTGAAATATTTTGACTTTCATATGCTAGTTTGGCTGATATTTTTATAATTACAGTTTAAAATTATTTCTTTGTTTCATGACCAGCCTACAATTATGGTGGAAGGCAGGTGGATTCTTACCACTATGATCCTTATGACACTTACAAGTATTACGAATACTTGTGCAGGACTGATCCTGCAGCATATGCAGACTGGTATGCCAAATACTATCCATCACACCAAAGTTACAACCAAGGTACCTTCTCAGAAGACCGTGGCAGTGTGCATTCTGGCAGGAGTTCTGCAAATGAAAAATTGCATAAGGAAAGGTAAGCGTAGCTTGTAAATACATAATATTATTTTAACAGGTCAGAGTTTTAAGTGTGAAATTAATTGGGAAATGAACCTAATATTCAGAATTACTGAAAGGATAAAAGTGTATACCACGTGGTGCAATCCAAAAGTTCTCAAAATATATTAATAAAAACTATTACGTGTTACATGGATCTTATTCTGCACTATCACTTTCAATGTATTCCCCTTGGGAGCGCATACATCGATCCCAGCGTTTCTGCCACTTTTGAAATGCTTCCTGAAAGTCTTTCTTTGTTAGGGTGTTTAGTACCATCTGTGTTTCCGCTAGAATTTCCCCAACTGTATCAAATCTTGCCCCTTCAATTTGATTTTCATCTTGGGGAAGAGAAAGAAGTTGCATGGAGCTAAGTCTGGCGAGTATTGTTGGTGGGGAACAAATGCCATGTTGCTTTTAGCCAAAAGTTCCTGCACAATGTAAGCCATATGCGGTTGTGCGTTGTCTTGGTGGAGTACCCAGTTGTTCGTGCGCCACATCTCTGGACGTTTTCTCCTCATGTCCTCCCTCAAATGCCTTGGAACATCGTGATAGAACTCTTTATTGACTGTCTGACCAGGAGGGACAAACTCCTTATGAACAATCCCGTCAATAAAAAAAAAAACAGATCAGCATGGACTTAATGTTGCTCTTGACTTATTGAGTTTTTTTGGGTGAGGTGAAGAAGGGCTGTTTCATTGCGACAATTGCTGCTAACTTTCAGGGTCGTAGCCATAAACCCAACTTTTGTCACTAGTGACAANCGTTCGTGCGCCACATCTCTGGACGTTTTCTCCTCATGTCCTCCCTCAAATGCCTTGGAACATCGTGATAGAACTCTTTATTGACTGTCTGACCAGGAGGGACAAACTCCTTATGAACAATCCCGTCAATAAAAAAAAAACAGATCAGCATGAACTTAATGTTGCTCTTGACTTATTGAGTTTTTTTGGGTGAGGTGAAGAAGGGCTGTTTCATTGCGACAATTGCTGCTAACTTTCAGGGTCATAGCCATAAACCCAACTTTTGTCACTAGTGACAACCTTTGAAGGAAAGTTTGAATCCTCTTGAAGATGTTGTTGAAGTTCCCTGCAGACTTCGGACGATGCTACTTCTGTAAGTTTTGAGGTTTTCACGGCGATGACAATGAAGAGAGTCGTCTTCTGGGTTTAGGCACCGTGTATTCTTCATGTTGGCCGACGTTTCGGCCTCCGTTCCTCCGAAACGTCGGCCAACACGAAGAATATACGGTGCCTAAACCCAGAAGACGACTCTCTTCGATGCTACTTCTGTTCATTTTGCAGCAGTCATGGCACAAACTCCGCTGCAGTCCTCCTCATGTTCAGTTCCTCTGACAGAATTCGTTGACATGTACCATAGCTTAGTTCCAAGGTGTTACAGAGGTCTTGGATGGTCAGTCTACGATCTTGCAGAATCAGATCCCTAACTTTCGCGACATTTTATGGTGTGGTGCCAGTTGACGGCTGTCCTGAATGATCATCATCATCAGTCGATGTTGGGCCATTTTTGAAAATCTTATACCAGTCGTAAGTTTGTGTCTGGCCTAAACTGTTTTCGCCAAAAGCTTGCTTCAACATTTGGTGCGTTTCTGCAGTGGTTTTCCCAAGTTTAAAACAAAACTTTATACAGACACGCTGCTCTCTCAGGTCAGCCATCGCAATACTGCAAACTCACAGAAACACACCAGTAAACCCAACCACTCAACTCGACACCATTTGCCACACTGATTCAAGAAGGGTGTGTGGGGAGACAAAAATTCAAATTTTGGGAACTTTTGGATTGCACCACATATATTACTATGATTTTGCTATCAACTAAATAGAACTAACTTCATGGAGCAGAGTGCTTGCAAAGCTGATAGTTGCTGAGCTCATTATCATTCACAGGGGCGGAAGCAATTTGCTATTAACTCTTAGAATACAAGGGATATTCATTAAGTAACCTCTGGTGAGCTGTTAACAAAAGAAGCAGTGAAAAAAAATGTATTATATGCAGAAGATATGTACATACTTAAGCTACTTCTTAACATAGTCACCGCTAAAATTGAGGGAATACGTTTATGTGTGCCTGTGTCAAAGTCGTCTGTTGCCTGCGAGCTCAGCCATGTTTTGACACCTTTCATCAACTCATTACTGTTGAAGCACTGTGATTGCAATCAGTTCTTCAGGTAGGTAAACAGGTGGTACTGGTAGTCGCTCACAGTGAAATCAGGGCTGTAAGGAATGTGGTCAGATAACTCCCAGTTGAAGTACTCGAGTGCGAGCTGCAGTATGCAGATGTCCAATGTCATGGAGGAGCGCTATGCCATATGTCAGCATTCCATGCCTTTTGTTCTGAATGGCCCAGTGCAATTCTTTTAGTGCTTTGCAGTACATTTCTGGCATTATTGAGGTCCCTTGTTGCATGACTTCCACCATCAGCAATCCTTTCCTTTCCCAGAAGAGTTGCCATCAGCTTTGTGGCAGGCAGACAACTTTTGATTAAACTTCTTGGTTTGATGAATGTGTGTACATTTACTGCTTTTGACTGCTCTTTAGTTTTAACATTCACAAATGAAACCCAGGTTTCATCACGTGTCAGTTGTATGATGTGATTGAGAAATTCATCACCACCTTTGTGGTATTGCTCTAAAAAATGTCAGAGCCATTCTCTGTGTTTTATGCGCACCTATGAGCATTTTCGGAGCCCATGTTGCACAAAGCTTGTGATAGCTTAGCCTAGCTGTGATAATCTCGTAGAGAACAGTGCATGAAATTTGTGGAAATTCACTTGAAAGTTCTGAAATTGTTAAGTGCTGTCTTTCACAAATTTTTTGTTCAATGCTGCGTACAAGATCATTACTCACTACAGATGGCCAGCTGATCACTTCTATCTTCATCATGAACGTTTATTTGCCCATCTTTGAACATTATACACCATTATCTTACAGTTCCTTCACTCATTACATTTTGGCTGTAAACTCATAATTCACAAAGGATTTCTGCAGCACTCATGATTTTAGCATGAAGAATGCAGATGAGAATTTGAATTTTGCAGCTGGTGAGATTATCATTCAAAGAACACATCATAATGCCATCTGTAAAGAAGAGAACAGACATTAGATAACCAATCGTGTGATGGTTTACAAAGCAGTAAGTCTTGTGACGCTATCTCACGTGTGCAAACTCCATGTGGGTCCTTTCTCTCGTAGGGTTCTCAACCCTTGCATTTTTGCCTGGCGAATGGTCCAGTATTATGAAACTTACTTTCCTTCTCACCACCCCTATGAGCCTCTGCTAATAACTGGGCACATGACCAGTGTTCCACATGTTTTATAGTGCTATATCTGTTTTTACCACCATCAGCTAATAAAACAAATGTTGACACAGCAGTTTCTATTTTGTCTCTTTCAGAACTGTTGTTGTGTAGCCTGTCCCATTGTAGGTATATCTTTCTATGAGTTCTCTCTTAATGTGACCCAGCATTGTGAGATGTCATATTTATGGTTGAAGACACTTCCTTTGTGATCTTCCATTTCTGTTGCCAGTCATTCTACTGACCTGTGATTCAATATCTACACATAGAATTATGATGAAGCACAGCTAATTTAGCACTGTCAGATAAACTGTCCACAGTTCAGTTATAAAGCACGAAATCGTATAAAACATATGGTATCTCTTGTGTATTTTTATAATTCTTATATGTCTGTTTTTAAATATTAATGTTTTGATAGTTACTGCATAACCCTTGAACAAGGATAGCTCAGTTGGTATAGTGATGGGCTACCAGCTGGACAGCCTGGGTTCGATTCTCGGCAGTGGAAGTTGTTTTTCTTCTCCACATCATCCAGACCACCTCTGGGGCCCATCCAGTGGCTACCAGGGGCTCTTTCTCCAGGCACAAAGCAGCCAGGGAGTGCCAAGGTCAAGAATGGTGGATCTATACCTCCACTCCCCCATATGTTTTCATGGCATAGTGCTTAACTAATTAAGCACATGGACACCTTTACCTTTATTGCATAACCCTTTGTTGCATCATTTGATTTCAGAGGATGTAAAAGACCTGTTGATTTAGGTGCCCTTTAAATTTTTAAGTATCCAAAATGAAGAACTGCACTGCATCAATAAGTGTAAGCATCATATTGTACAGGAGGAGCCAGAATAGTGAGGGAAATCAGGTATCACCAAAGCAGTAAGAGAAAAAAATTGAACATCTTTTTGCTAGAACAGTAAATTGCAGCGCAATTTGAGTACCTCCCCCTGGTGACATCCACTTTTCCATTTAGTACACAGCCACTGTTCTCCAACATGGGTACTTTTTTTTTTTTTTGAGAAAACTCCTATAGATAAAGTTGTTTTTCTTTCTTTCTTTCAGTCCAGTTATCACACTAACTTCTGTCTAAACTCCATACTCATATTTATGATGCATACTATTGTGGCAAGATAATTTTTTTAATAGACAGTCAATGCAAAATTAACAATATGTTTGAACAAACATCCTACACTCTATTACCATAATGTTTTTTGGCCCATTAATTCCATTCCTTCATATTTATTTATAGTTAATTATAGTATGTGGGCAACAGATATTTCCTTCAGCAGTTTGAATGTGACTGAGGGTTAATGTTGCATTGTGTTATAAATGGAGAAGTTGTGAAATATGTTGGATTATTTCTGTCAACTTTAAGTTATCCTCCTATTCCAGATATGAAAGGACAGGACATTGTTGTTCTCATGATTACTGCCACTCTTCATCTTTTACTGGTGATTGTGACAGTGGGAGGTGAGATTAGCATGTCTGCACTGTACAGAATTCTTAGTTCTCGTTTCTGTTAATTGAATTCAGCTTAGTGAGTTGTGTTGTTGTAGATGTATCTTACTCTTCTGTATGTAGATTTTTGTTTTTTCTTTTTGTGTGTTTGATTTATTCTCGGTTCTGTAACTTTTGGATCATACTAAGTTCAAGGTTCAGTATTTAATGAACTTTTTTCAAGAACTGCTGAACACCGAGTATGTTCATCAGCTTAGAGACTCGCCCAATAATAGAATGGATTTACAAGTGTAGAGGTATGGACATTGTCTTTACAGTTTGCTTCATGATAGTGCTTGAATTTAATAAGAGGACTGTGACTTATTAATTGATAAAATTATTCCTAAATGAGTAGTTTTAATGAAACAGTATTTTAGTATGTTTTCTATATTATGTGGTTTTAGGTTTCTATTCTGCCAAAAGAGATTTTTTTTTTTCCTTTTCTTCTGCTCTTTACAACTTTGAATGGAATGTTTTGCTTTCAGAGAATTTTGTTCTGTTCATCAGACACTTCTTGGCGATTAAATGCAGTACAAATTCTGAAATGTCCGTCCATTTAGTCATTTAAATGAAAGTGCAAGTGTGATGTGGTGATGTATATCATATTGCTGTTTAAACTTTTTCTTTCATTCTCTTTGATGGTTGTAATACTGATGCATGTCCTTTTGTCACGAAGGTTGTTTGTTGAATATCTGAGGATCAGCCAGTATGATGTCTAGAATTTGTGTTCAGAGATTCCATGTTATGGAAGAAGTAGGACGTGTGTATTTTATAGTTTGGATTTCTTATGAAACCTTCCAGGGGTTTCTTCCAGTAATCACAGAGTTCCCTAATTTTTATATATTTGAATTCCTTTGAATATGTTGTTTCTTATGATTAGTAGTTTTATTCTTTTGTAAGGGTTTTGTTTTAAATTTTAGGAAATGGGAAAAGACCTTGCTTGTTCTTAAAATCTATTTTAAATAATATTTGCCTTTATGTGTTTAAAGTATGTTGATAGTTAACAGGCTAATATGATGAGAGAATAATTATTTACAGATCATGAAATATTATTTCATAACTATAGTGTATTGTATAGTACATATTCCAAATTTGGTGGCTCAGAACTATGATCTTCACACAGTATGCTGTTATAGGTTGAATATTTTTGTTATTTACTCTGTATGTATGTATTTATGTACTTACATACATACTGTAATGAATTTGCTCAAAGCATTGCTAGACAATGGCTCAGTAAGCACATTCCAACATGCACCACGCAACAATACAGTGGAAGTGTTCTCTGTGCAGTCTGCACCATGCAACAGTATGAGTGCTGTTTTTTTCTCTGTGGTCCATGGTGCAGCTATATAACAGAAGTCTATAGTACAGAATAGCACAGATGAGTACAGAGTCAAGAACCACAGAGAATTTTGTCTTGTGTGATATAACACTGTGTGATCTCTTGAAAATCAGCTGACATCTTTGAAGAGTTTGCTACCTCTGTCATGCTGATTTCTCTCTTGGCTTATTCTTCAGCCCTTAAGACAGAGGTGATATGTTTCACCAAGATGTTAGATAGTTTTCAATGGGCTACATGAAGTTATACCACAGAAAATGAAAATCTTCTCTGTAGTTTGTATGCACTCATATACATATATTGTAACGATTCTGATTTGTTTTGCAGAGGTCAGGAGCAGACAGATTCATCTGTCATAGAGGATCCCACTGCTACAACTCCACAGAGACTTACACCTGCCAAATTTTCTACTGCTCATGTTAAAGGTAATACAAGTAGGGTAGCAGATAGACGGAACAAGGTTTCTGAGTGCATTATAGGGTTCAAGTCGTAATGAGGTCATTGTATTTTTTCAGTTGACCTAATCCTTCCAGCCGCACTAGGCCCTGGGGTTTACTCACCCTCGAACAGGAATGAGTACCAGGAATTAATTAAAAATATTTTCCTGGGGAGTAAAGCGCAGCTGGCGCGTAAGGCTGACAACCTTACTGCCATCTTTGAGCCTATTGTCTAGATAGTGTGGGATCCTCAACGTCTCACAACCCTATGGGCTTTCACGGCCTGGTACAGGGATAGCTTTGCTTTTTTACTTTTTTACTGTTTTTTTCTTCCGTAATCACAGATATTTTAGAGATTATTCATGTTTGTTATAAATTTGTTCCAACATTAGTCTGCTTGCAGATTTATTTATTTTTCCTTTTACCCTGAAGATGGAGGCGATACGTTCCTCCGAAACGTCAGTTAACACCACATCTGCATGGTGCCATATCCCAAAGACTGTTTTCTTCATTGGTACCTTGTGATCAAAATCACTTGCTTGTAGTTTCAGATGTTTGTTAACACTTGTGTGACATACAAGGTGTGTCCCAAAAGTCATGAAATATATATATATATATAT